GGTGTCCTGCAGATGTTTTTTGTTTTTTTAAGTTTCAGGGTGTCCTGCAGATGTTTTTTGTTTTTTAAGTTTCAGGGTGTCCTGCAGATGTTTTTTGTTTTTTAAGTTTCAGGGTGTCCTGCAGATGTTTTTTGTTTTTTTATGTTTCAGGGTGTCCTGCAGATGTTTTTTGTTTTTTAAGTTTCAGGGTGTCCTGCAGATGTTTTTTGTTTTTTAAGTTTCAGGGTGTCCTGCAGATGTTTTTTGTTTTTAAGTTTCAGGGTGTCCTGCAGATGTTTTTTGTTTTTATGTTTCAGGGTGTCCTGCAGATGTTTTTTGTTTTTTAAGTTTCAGGGTGTCCTGCAGATGTTTTGTTTTTTTAAGTTTCAGAATTGTCCTGCAGATGTTTTTTTGTTTTTTAAGTTTCAGGGGTGTCCTGCAGATGTTTTTGTTTTTAAGTTTCAGGGTGTCCTGCAGATGTTTTTTGTTTTTTTAAAGTTTCCAGGGTGTCCTGCAGATGTTTTGTTTTTTAAGTTTCCAGGGTGTCCTGCAGATGTTTTTTTGTTTTTTAGGTTTCAGGGTGTCCTGCAGATGTTTTTGTTTTTTAAGTTTCAGGGTGTCCTGCAGATGTTTTTTTGCTTTTTAAGTTTTCCAGGGTGTCCTGCAGATGTTTTTTGTTTTTTAAGTTTCAGGGTGTCCTGCAGATGTTTTGTTTTTTAAGTTTCAGGGTGTCCTGCAGTTGTTTTTTGTTTTTTAAGTTTCAGGGTGTCCTGCAGATGTTTTTTGTTTTTTAAGTTTCAGGGTGTCCTGCAGATGTTTTTTGTTTTTTTAAGTTTCAGGGTGTCCTGCAGATGTTTTTTGTTTTTTAAGTTTCAGGGTGTCCTGCAGATGTTTTTTGTTTTTTAAGTTTCAGGGTGTCCTGCAGATGTTTTTTGTTTTTTTAAGTTTCAGGGTGTCCTGCAGATGTTTTTCGTTTTTTAAGTTTCAGGGTGTCCTGCAGATGTTTTTTGTTTTTTAAGTTTCAGGGTGTCCTGCAGATGTTTTTTGTTTTTTAAGTTTCAGGGTGTCCTGCAGATGTTTTTTGTTTTTTTAAGTTTCAGGGTGTCCTGCAGATGTTTTTTGTTTTTTAAGTTTCAGGGTGTCCTGCAGATGTTTTTTGTTTTTTTAAGTTTCAGGGTGTCCTGCAGATGTTTTTTGTTTTTTTTTTAAGTTTCAGGGTGTCCTGCAGATCATTTTGTTTTTTAAGTTTCAGGGTGTCCTGCAGATGTTTTTTGTTTTTTTAAGTTTCAGGGTGTCCCTTGGGCTTTTTGTTTTTAAGTTTCAGGGTGTCCTGCAGATGTTTTTGTTTTTTAAGTTTCAGGGCTGTCTCCAGATGTTTTTTGTTTTTTTTTAAGTTTCAGGGTGTCCTGCAGATGTTTTTGTTTTTAAGTTTCAGGGTGTCCTGCCAGATGTTTTTGTTTTTAAGTTTCGGTGTCCTGCAGATGTTTTTTTGTTTTTAAGTTTCAGGGTGTCCTGCAGATGTTTTTGTTTTTTTTTAGAAGTTTCAGGGTGTCCTGGGTGTCCTGCAGATGTTTTTTGTTTTTTAAGTTTCAGGGTGTCCTGCAGATGTTTTTTGTTTTTTTAAGTTTCAGGGTGTCCTGCAGATGTTTTTTGTTTTTTAAGTTTCAGGGTGTCCTGCAGATGTTTTTGTTTTTTTTTAAGTTTCAGGGTGTCCTGGGTGTCCTGCAGATGTTTTTTGTTTTTTAAGTTTCAGGGTGTCCTGCAGATGTTTTTTGTTTTTTTAAGTTTCAGGGTGTCCTGCAGATGTTTTTTGTTTTTTAAGTTTCAGGGTGTCCTGCAGATGTCTTTTGTTTTTTTAAGTTTCAGGGTGTCCTGCAGATGTTTTTTGTTTTTTAAGTTTCAGGGTGTCCTGCAGATGTTTTTTGTTTTTTAAGTTTCAGGGTGTCCTGCAGATGTTTTTTGTTTTTTTAAGTTTCAGGGTGTCCTGCACGCCTGCAGATTTTTTTTAAGTTTTAGGTGTCCTGCAGATGTTTTTTGTTTTTTTTAAGTTTTCAGGGTGTCCTGCAGATGTTTTTTTGTTTTTTTTAAGTTTCAGGGTGTCCTGCAGATGTTTTTTGTTTTAAGTTTCAGGGTGTCCTGCAGATTGTTTTTGTTTTTTTTTGTTTTTAAAGTTTCAGGGTGTCCTGCAGATGTTTTTTGTTTTTTTTAAGTTTCAGGGTGTCCTGCATATTTTTTGTTTTTAAGTTTCAGGGTGTCCTGCAGATGTTTTGTTTTTTAAGTTTCAGGGTGTCCTGCACATTTTTTTGTTTTTTAAGTTTCAGGGTGTCAAAACTTCCGGCTGCCCCTTATTTGGAGAAGAGGACACTGCACATTTTTTGTTTTTTAAGTTTCAGGGGTGTCCTGCAGATGTTTTTTTGTTTTTTAAGTTTCAGGGTGTCCTGCACATTTTTTGTTTTTTAAGTTTCAGAGATTGTCCTGCAGATGTTTTTTGTTTTTAAGTTTCAGGGGTGTCCTGCACATTTTTTGTTTTTAAGTTTCAGGGTGTCCTGCAGATGTTTTTTTGTTTTTAAGTTTCAGGGTTTCCTGCACATTTTTTTTGTTTTAAGTTTCAGGGTGTCCTGCAGATGTTTTTTGTTTTTTAAGTTTCAGGGTGTCCTGCAGATTGTTTTTGTTTTTTTTTTTTTTAAGTTTCAGGGTGTCCTGCAGATGTTTTTTGTTTTTTAAGTTTCAGGGTTTCCTGCAGATGTTTTTTGTTTTTTAATTTTAAGGGTGTCCTGCAGATTTTTTTGTTTTTTAAGTTTCAGGGTGTCTCTGCAGATGTTTTTGTTTTTTAAGTTTCAGGGTGTCCTGCAGATTGTTTTGTTTTTTTTTAAGTTTCAGGGTGTCCTGCAGATTTTTTTTTGTGTTTTTAAGTTTCAGGGTGTCTGCAAAGATTTTTTGTTTTTTAAGTTTCAGGGTGTCCTGCAGATGTTTTTTGTTTTTAAGTTTCAGGGTGTCCTGCAGATGTTTTTTGTTTTTTAAGTTTCAGGGTGTCCTGCAGATGTTTTTTGTTTTTTAAGTTTCAGGGTGTCCTGCAGATGTTTTTTGTTTTTTTTAGGTTTCAGGGTGTCCTGCAGATTTTTTTGTTTTTTAAGTTTCAGGGTGTCCTGCACATTTTTTTGTTTTTTAAGTTTCAGGGTGTCCTGCAGATGTTTTTTTGTTTTTTAAGTTTCAGGGTGTCCTGCAGATTGTTTTTTTTTTTTTTAAAGTTTCAGGGTGTCCTGCAGATATTATTTTTAAGTTTCAGGGTGTCCTGCCGATTTTTTTGTTTTTTAAGTTTCAGGGTGTCCTGCAGTTTGTTTTTTGTTTTTTAAGTTTCAGGGTGTCCTGCAGATGTTTTTTGTTTTTTAAGTTTCAGGGTGTCCTGCAGATTTGTTTTGTTTTTTAAGTTTCAGGGTGTCCTGCAGATTTTTTTGTTTTTTAAGTTTCAGGGTGTCCTGCAGATTTTTTTGTTTTTTAAGTTTCAGGGTGTCCTGCAGATTTTTTTTGTTTTTTAAGTTTCAGGGTGTCCTGCAGTTTTTGTTTGTTTTTTAAGTTTCAGGGTGTCCTGCAGATGTGTTTTTTGTTTTTTAAGTTTCAGGGTGTCCTGCAGATGTTTTTTGTTTTTTAAGTTTCAGGGTGTCCTGCAGATTTTTTTGTTTTTTAAGTTTCAGGGTGTCCTGCAGATGTTTTTTGTTTTTTAAGTTTCAGGGTGTCCTGCAGATGTTTTTTGTTTTTTAAGTTTCAGGGTGTCCTGCAGATGTTTTTTTTTTTAAAATTTCAGGAATTGTCCTGCAGATTTTTGTTTTTTAAGTTTCAGGGTGTCCTGCAGTGTTTTTTAGTTTTTTTTTAGGATTTCCAGGGTGTCCTGCATTTTGTTTTTTAAGTTTCAGGGTGTCCTGCAGATTTTTTTGTTTTTTTAAGTTTCAGGGTGTCCTGCAGATTTTTTTTGTTTTTTAAGTTTCAGGGTGTCCTGCAGATGTTTTTTGTTTTTTAAGTTTCAGGGTGTCCTGCAGATGTTTTTTGTTTTTTAAGTTTCAGGGTGTCCTGCAGATGTTTTTTGTTTTTTAAGTTTCAGGGTGTCCTGCAGATGTTTTTTGTTTTTTAAGTTTCAGGGTGTCCTGCAGATGTTTTTTTGTTTTTAAGTTTCAGGGTGTCCTGCACATTTTTTTGTTTTTTAAGTTTCAGGGTGTCCTGCAGATGTTTTTTGTTTTTTAAGTTTCAGGGTGTCCTGCAGATTGTTTTTGTTTTTTAAGTTTCAGGGTGTCCTGCAGATTTTTTTGTTTTCTAAGTTTCAGGGTGTCCTGCAGATGTTTTTTGGTTTTTTAAGTTTCAGGGTGTCCTGCAGATTTTTTTGTTTTTTTAAGTTTCAGGGTGTCCTGCAGATGTTTTTTGTTTTTTAAGTTTCAGGGTGTCCTGCAGATATTTTTTTTAAGTTTCAGGGTGTCCTGCAGATGTTTTTTGTTTTTTAAGTTTCAGGGTGTCCTGCAGATTGTTTTTTGTTTTTTAAGTTTCAGGGTGTCCTGCAGATGTTTTTTGTTTTTTAAGTTTCAGGGTGTCCTGCAGATTTTTTTTGTTTTTTAAGTTTCAGGGTGTCCTGCAGATTTTTTTTGTTTTTTAAGTTTCAGGGTGTCCTGCAGATTTTTTTTGTTTTTTAAGTTTCAGGGTGTCCTGCAGATGTTTTTTTGTTTTTTTTTAAGTTTCAGGGTGTCCTGCAGATTTTTTTTGCTTTTTAAGTTTCAGGGTGTCCTGCAGATTTTTTTTGTTTTTTAAGTTTCAGGGTGTCCTGCAGATGTTTTTTGTTTTTTAGTTTCAGGGTGTCCTGCAGATGTTTTTTGTTTTTTAAGTTTCAGGGTGTCCTGCAGATGTTTTTTTGTTTTTTTTAAGTTTCAGGGTGTCCTGCAGTTTTTTTGTTTTTTAAGTTTCAGGGTGTCCTGCAGTGTTTTTTTAGTTTTTTAAGTTTCAGGGTGTCCTGCATTTGTTTTTTTAGTTTCAGGGTGTCCTGCAGACTTAAGTTTCAGGGTGTCCTGCAGATGTTTTTTGTTTTTTAAGTTTCAGGGTGTCCTGCAGATGTTTTTTGTTTTTTAAGTTTCAGGGTGTCCTGCAGATGTTTTTTGTTTTTTAAGTTTCAGGGTGTCCTGCAGATGTTTTTTGTTTTTTAAGTTTCAGGGTGTCCTGCAGATGTTTTTTGTTTTTTTAAGTTTCAGGGTGTCCTGCAGATGTTTTTTGTTTTTTAAGTTTCAGGGTGTCCTGCAGATTTATTTTTTTTAAGTTTCCGGGTGTCCTGCAGATGTTTTTTGTTTTTTAAGTTTCAGGGTGTCCTGCAGATTTTTTTGTTTTTTAAGTTTCAGGGTGTCCTGCAGATTTTTTTGTTTTTTAAGTTTCAGGGTGTCCTGCAGATTTTTTTGTTTTTTAAGTTTCAGGGTGTCCTGCAGATTTTTTTTGTTTTTTAAGTTTCAGGGTGTCCTGCAGATATATTTTTTAAGTTTCAGGGTGTCCTGCAGATTTTTTTTGTTTTTTAAGTTTCAGGGTGTCCTGCAGTTTTTTTGTTTTTTTAAGTTTCAGGGTGTCCTGCAGATGTGTTTTTTGCTTTTTAAGTTTCAGGGTGTCCTGCAGATGTTTTTTGTTTTTTAAGTTTCAGGGTGTCCTGCAGATTTTTTTGTTTTTTAAGTTTCAGGGTGTCCTGCAGATTTTTTTGTTTTTTAAGTTTCAGGGTGTCCTGCAGATGTTTTTTTGTTTTTTTAAGTTTCAGGGTGTCCTGCAGATGTTTTTTTGTTTTTTTAAGTTTCAGGGTGTCCTGCAGATGTTTTTTGTTTTTTAAGTTTCAGGGTGTCCTGCATTTTTTTTTTTTTTTAAGTTTCAGGGTGTCCTGCAGATTTTTTTGTTTTTTAAGTTTCAGGGTGTCCTGCAGATGTTTTTTGTTTTTTAAGTTTCAGGGTGTCCTGCAGATGTTTTTTTTTTTTTAAAGTTTCAGGGTGTCCTGCAGATGTTTTTTGTTTTTTAAGTTTCAGGGTGTCCTGCATTGTTTTTTTTGTTTTTTAAGTTTCAGGGTGTCCTGCAGATGTTTTTTTTGTTTTTTAAGTTTCAGGGTGTCCTGCAGATGTTTTTTGTTTTTTAAGTTTCAGGGTGTCCTGCAGTTTTTTTAGTTTTTTAAGTTTCAGGGTGTCCTGCATTTGTTTTTTTAGTTTCAGGGTGTCCTGCAGACTTTTTTTGTTTTTTAAGTTTCAGGGTGTCCTGCAGATGTTTTTTGTTTTTTTAAGTTTCAGGGTGTCCTGCAGTTTTTGTTTTGTTTTTTAAGTTTCAGGGTGTCCTGCAGTTTTTGTTTTTTTAGTTTCAGGGTGTCCTGCAGATGTTTTTTTTGTTTTTTAAGTTTCAGGGTGTCCTGCAGATGTTTTTTGTTTTTTAAGTTTCAGGGTGTCCTGCAGTTTTTTTTGTTTTTAAGTTTCAGGGTGTCCTGCAGATGTTTTTTGTTTTTTAAGTTTCAGGGTGTCCTGCAGTTTTTTTTAGTTTTTTAAGTTTCAGGGTGTCCTGCATTTGTTTTTTAAGTTTCAGGGTGTCCTGCAGACTTTTTTTGTTTTTTAAGTTTCAGGGTGTCCTGCAGATTTTTTTTGTTTTTTAAGTTTCAGGGTGTCCTGCAGATTTTTTTGTTTTTTAAGTTTCAGGGTGTCCTGCAGATGTTTTTTGTTTTTTAAGTTTCAGGGTGTCCTGCAGATTTTTTTTTGTTTTTTAAGTTTCAGGGTGTCCTGCAGATTTTTTTTGTTTTTTAATTTCAGGGTGTCCTGCAGATGTTTTTTTTTTTTTCAGTTTCAGGGTGTCCTGCAGATGTTGTTTGTTTTTTAAGTTTCAGGGTGTCCTGCAGTTTCTTTGTGCTTCTTTTTTTCTCGGAGCTCCCCCATTTTTTCATCTTTCAGGATTCGCTCCATTTCCCTTTCAGGGTTTCCGAGCCATGTCCCTTTTCAGGGTCCCTTCATAGCCGCTCTTTGAGTTCCGTTTCAGGGTTTCCGAGCCATGTCCTTTTTTGGAACCTCAAGTAACGATCGTAGGGAAACCACCAGTGAATTGATCAACTTTTGAACGGGGGAATCCAGTGACCCATGATTGGATCGGGAGGGTGGTCAAACTATGACCTGAACAAGGGTATTGCAATATCAATTGTGCCTTTCTTTTGTCAAACAGGACCAACAAAATAAAGTGCCCATTGCGGTGATGTTTCGGATTCTTCGAAGGGAATTGAACATTCCCAGACATTTGCTAACGCCTTTCGCCTTTGGAGTTTCCTGGATTTGTGCTTTTGACAATTGTTCCAGCACTTTCTGTTCCTATATGGAAAATGCGTTTGTCCATGAGCGGTCAATATTTACTGCCAGCCACTGTAGTTAAGGAACCCAGGAATGACACTGTACCCACCAAAATACAAAAAAAGAAGTGGGGGTGAACCCTCACCAAAATCCAATATCAAAGGGTGGTGCAATAGAAATGACATGAAATGACTGTGGCTTTGCTACATGGAGGTATTTGCCATGGAAAGCCAGAATTTCTATAGCAGATATTTGGGCATGTGTCACAATTGGGATGTGGACCCACAGAACACTGGTTTTCCTTGGTTCCCTTGAGAATACCTTTACGCCCAGTTGGGTGTGTCTTGTTTAGCTGTCCCAAATGGATTTTTGGTATTCCTCATGAAGGGTTCCCTCAGAAGGACTTCGCCAGCCGTTTGGATACTTTTTGTCTGAGTTGGTGCCCATGTGTGTTTTTTGGGAAACCAACGGGAAAACCGTTGCAAGACCCATCTTGGGGGGTTTAATTTAAAACAGACGAGCCATGTGGGGTGTTTCGTTGTTTTGGGAGACACCCCACAAATTGTGGTTTTCCTTTACCAAAGCAAGTAATCCCAAAAAAACGACACGCCAGTTGGAGGCAGAAAAACACCGGTCCCTGCCCTTGAGGTGCCTGCGCGGCCGTCGCTGGCGCTGGCAGTGGCCATGGGGCGGGGGGGCCCGAGAAGGGGCACTACTGTAAACGTGAAGCCACCAGAATGCATCTCTGGCGGCGTCTAACGCCACACAGAAATCCAGCTGGCTGAGAATTAGGGCAGCATGGCCAGCCTTTTGGCTCTCACCCTCCACGAAATGAGAGACTCTGTCAAACACGACCGGTTAAATGACTTCAGTCTGGAGTTCCAAGCCAAACTAGTTTTGGTGAATTCGCAGAGAAAGACATACGGATACGGGAAAACCCATGGATTGTTGCCCATGTTTCTGTTCTTGGTACATCGCCTTCTTTCAATCTTTGACATGATTTTCCTTGAGGAGGTGATGCTTAAGGAGCGAACCCTTGTCGTGGCAAGCCCGTCAGCGGCACTTCGCAAGGGTCAATCTTGATTCAACGGTCGTTCTTGGCCTCAGAATTGGGGCATTTTAGAAAGTATTTTCGACCCCCCACAGGTCGGGAATAGTGCCCTCCAGTCGTGGCGCTCGCGCGCCGGCGCGGTGCTCCGAGGAAGTACCACTTTGCGTGGTACCAGCAGGATGGCAAGGCCTGGCTCGCGAGAGAAGCCCAGGTGGTCGTTTTGGCATATTTATTTTGTTGGAAACAACCACAGGCTTCCCCCGAAGGTGATTCCGCATGGGAATGTGTTTTAAGAGAACAGCCCTGAGAGGAGGGCCAAACAACAAGCTTATCACTTCCACCAGCTTCCTAAGTTCTTGGACTTTAAAAACTTATTTGGAAGGTCTTTTTAGTCTTAAATAAGAAGTTGACTTTTCGGCCAATCCACTCAGGACGTGAGCCCGAGCAAACCATAGCGATTCCGATATCACAAGGTTATGTGATCTCAGGCCCCATGATAAAGGTTCCTTTATTGAGGTAAGTTCTTGTTGCAGGCGGCATATATCACAATTCACCCAGATAGGGATGTAGGGATGTCAGAACTGGCGTTAAGACCCATGACGAATGTACCTTGGTGAACTGTTCGAGTTTAGCCAGTTCATTTGTTCCGCCGGACACGGGCTTTTCACCACCTGGAACCTGAAAGGTCCCCTGCTCAGTTTTCATTTTTCTTTGGGGGAGGGTCCCACTTTGTATCAACAGGCTACAGATTGGCGTTTAAGGAAGCCGCCGGGATTTGATTGGAAGGGGGTCCAGAAGTGATTCGATTGTTTGAACTTGGTGGATTGATAGAGAGGTCATTACTTTGGTGCATTTTGCTGGGATGTTAGCACTTTAGCTTTTTGCCAACTACTGGGGTTTTCCATTAAACCACTAAAAGTTAAACTTTCAGCAGGGGAGCAGAAAGCAACCGAGATGATTTTGATGAATTCAAAGCAAGCTACAACCGTGTTCCCTTTCCGGCCCTTGAAAACTGAGGTCGCGACCCGACACGAGCGTCGCATTTGCCTGTATTGCGACGAGTTCCGAGAGTTTGGCTGCGCTTTGGTTTGACTGAAAGCGTTTAGCTTTTTAGGATAAGCATGGCGGTAGTTCCCCACAGCAAGTAGTTCCCCACAGCAAGCAGTTCTACTTTTTGGAGGGATCAGTGTGACCAACACCACTTAGTACGCTTTCAATTAGCGTGGCCATGATGACAGGAGTCGATCGCCCAACTTTGCCCCGAGAGATTCTCAGATCCTTTCTAAGAACCCTTCCAAGGACCTAAGAACCATGCTCTCAGAAGCCTAAGTGTTTCCCAAGAGACCTTTCTGGGGTTGGGGGGGGGGGTCAACTAGGTCCCCCGAGTAGTGCGCTTTTAGCCTTTTTGTGGGGGGAGGGTTCCCCTACTAAAAATAGACGACAGAAGAAAAAAAAATCGGGTTCCCTGATTCTAACCTCTCTACTGGAGGACCTAGGCTCGGTTTTTCCATCCGCGGGGATCAGGAGATGGACGTTCACAGCGTCCGCGAGGCTGCGGAGCTCTTGGGTCTCAGCATTCAGCCTCTTGGCCGGCAAGGGGGTGTTTTGTTTTCTTCCTCATGGCTGTGGTTGTCTCAAAACCGTTTTGGGATCCCATTTTGGTTGGTAGGCGAATTCACCACCCATTTTAGGCTTCGGATGTTCACTGGGGGTACGATTTGGATTTTGACCCATGGCCACATCGCTTATCGCCTGGGCTGTGCGGCCATACGGTCGGACTGGCAAGAGGGAGCTCATTCAGGCATTACTCTAAGAAAGTAACTCCAGGAACGACATGGGTGTGTCTTTTTAGAGGACCTGGCGCAACGGTTTTCCTCGTTAAAACCACACAACAAAAGGGTTCCTCAAGAAAAGACAGACCCATATCTAGGAGTTTTTCCCAAAACCCCTGTGTTTCGTGGGGGTTTGGCTATGTAGCTTCCTGGAGATGTTTCTCGGAGTTAACTTGGGATCCCGCATCTACATCGAACTGAAGGGCTTGGCCAAGGCTTTTGGGCTTTCGCTATAGCTCGCTTTGTGTTTGGCGATCCCTTGTAGTAAGTTACAGCAATGTCTGCAGATGGGAATGGTGATTGTTTGTTGGTATTAGTTTCTTTTCCTGTAGTGAAGCTAGGATATATTTCATACGCAGACTAGTTGTAAAGCAAACAATGAGTGCAATGCAATAAATTCCACGCAAATACACTTAATTACGCGCAGCACACACACACACATTCCACAGACGGATATGCTCACAAATACACGTTGACACATTGACACATGTACACACACACACACGTATACGGGCGCGCGCACTCACCCACCAACCCACCCATCCCTCCCACCCACCCACCCACCCACCCACCCACCCACCCACCCACCCACCCACCCACCCACCCACCCACCCTCCCTCCCTCCCTCCCTCCCTCCCTCCCTCCCTCCCTCCCTCCCTCACTCCCGCACCGCACCGCGCCGCGCCGCGATGCGCCCCAGCCCAGCCCAGCCCACCCCAGCCCACCCCAGCCCACCCCACCACACCACACCACACCACACCACACCACACCATGCAACACACACACACACACACACATACGTGAGGTCGAGACGCCCTTGTGCTTGGGGTTGTTGGGTGTGGTCACGGAGCACTTGATGAGGAGTTTAGACGCCCATGATAAGGAATTTAGACGCCGCGACGCGTTGTGGCTCAAGAGCCTTGATCCATGCGCATGTATGCAGTGCACCACGCAGTCACATGCGAAAAGCAAGAGAGTGCAATTAGGCAGAATGAGCAAGGACCAGACACGGTCGACGTGGATGCATTCCTGAAAGTGGAATCCAACAAGGAATACAGGCGCCTTGGGCTTGGATTCATCAAGAGGTACAACCCGGGAGCCGCACTGAAAGCCGGCCAGCTTTCCCAGAAGCTAGGGAAGAGTGGCATGACTTCTCTGGCTGACAAGTTGAGGCCTTCATGTGAATGGCCAGGACCAGCAGCTTGATACCCCGCTCAACAAAGAAGCTGCGGAGAAGCACGCTGAGAAGATTGCTACGATCGCAGCTGAGGGTGATGCGGACGTCGATGTTTACTTCGACAGTACGAAGATGCCTGTGATCTTCCGCTCGTTCACAGGCATCTCGAGCGAAGTAGCCTATTTCCTGCGGGTGATATCTGGCGCGCCTGACGGGGAAGGTGTGGCAACTTTGAAGCCGAAGGGGCCTGTCCAAGAGATAGGTGAAGGCGAGGGTAGTGATGATGAAGATGACAAGCCGGGTTGTTGAGCCTGCCAAGCCTGCGGTGCCACAGCCGAAGAAGAGGCCGCGGGTACGGAAGGGAGAGAAAGCGGAAGGAGCCAAGGCTGGCCCATCTGCAAAGGCCGCACCGGCCGCAGGCTTTACGTTGAAGAAACAGCATGCTGTGGAAGAAGCTGAAGAACTCCAGGTGAAGCCCCTTGCTGAGGTGCCGACTGCCACAGAGTTGAAGGGGCTGGTACAGAGAGGCCTCGAGCTTGTAGGCATCAAGAAGTCCAGCAAGGAAAAGGACAACGCGGGTGCGGAAAAGGAGGCTGCCCAGCAGAAGAGGAGGAAGCAAGAGGGGGTAGATTTTGAAGCCGACCCGCTCGTTCGCGTTGTTAAGCTTAGGAAGAGCAAGGGGGGAGAAGAGCCGGCTCCGCCAGGGAGGTCACCACGGCCTGACGATGCACGCAGTGAGGCGTTGTCTCAGGTGTCTGCTGGAGACGAAACGGCCTATGTGTCCGGGGCAAGCGAGTCATTCTCGAGGCTTCTTGTCGGCATGAAGACTGGCAGACACACCGAGGGTCCCCGGCGCGCGGAACTCCGCAAGATGCTCGTGCGGTATTTCGCGTCAGCGGATGAGGAAGCCTTCGGCAAGGCTGAAGAATTTGCGATTTACTAGCAGGCTATGAAGTTTTTTCAAGGATCGTGAGCGTGAGCACACGGAGGGTAATGCTAAACAGCGGGCTGAGGCAGACTCCCTGTTCTCCAAGGCGTTCGCGATATGCGGCCAGGAGGCGGTGAAGGCCAGAGATCGGCTTCCAGCCGCCGAGCTCGCAGAAGCATACGGATGTCCGGATGTGCCAGCTTGGCCCTCTGTGTGTGCCCTAGCGGCGCTGAAGCCCGTGCTCCTTAAGGATGAGGGGCGATTCAATGTGCTCAAGGCGCTGACGCACAGCGGTCTGCTAATTTTCTGCGCCCGCGCAATGTGACGGCCCATCTGGGGCGGCCCGATGTCGCTACGTACGATCGGCCCGCTGACAACTACCAGGTGAGAGTCGGCGCCTTGGCGCTTCGGGGCCGGATGCTCGTCAAAGACTCCCCCCTCGAGTGTCTCGCGAGGGGGTGTGTCTGCGTAGCAGGGCATGATAGATACCCAGCAAAACACTGATGAAGTGGCCACTAAGGCGCAGCACACTGACCAGGTAAGTCGGGCCACACTGCAGGAGCCGATGTCCTTGGTTCTCTTACTGTTCGTCGTAAATCTTCCTTTTGGGGTAGTATATTACTGCCCCATGGTCAGCACCTTCGCCATCAGCTCATCGAATGGGTCTCCGATCATATTCAGGTCTATCTCTTCTTGGCTCGCTGAGTCCCCGAAAGTCGGGCACGCTTTAGCGGCCATCGCGAACCCGGTGGATGAGCCCGGTTTCCGCCGAATCGCGGGCAGGCGTCGCACCTACTCCGCTGAGATCAACGATCGCAGTCCCCGATGAGAAAACCGCCTCCAGTACTCCCCTGGCAGCAGCATTGAACGCTTCGTTCGAGGATGCCTCAAAATTGATCGGCCCGTCTCCGTCAATGGTCGGCCATCCAATCTGACCCATCACTTTGGTCACTCCCCCGCCGGAGCTCCGAGGCTTTCAGGAGCGTCGCCTGCGTCCGCACGGAGAATCCTCTGCGGGATTCCCATCCCTGTTGCCAATGATCACTTTGGTTTGTGGCCACTGCAAATAGCCAAAACAGCAGAATGTCATAATGGTGCAAATAACCTCTTCTCCCCACCTTTTCTGTAAACCTCCCACTTTGCCACAACTCCTGGGCAGGCCGTTTAGTAAATGCCTCCACGGTCAGCTTCCTAGGTCGCGAGTTCAAGCTGGTTTCCCGCGAACATACCACTGTGGCCCATCTCCATGGCCACAATTGGTTGCAACACACTGACTGCTTGTTTGCACTGCTAAAAACGAGCAGAACCCAAAAGCACGCAAACCAAGAAACTTGCCAAGAACCGTGCAGCCCTGGCCGCTTGAGCAAGAACCGAACTTCCAACGTGGCTCCCGGCCCCAAGGTCCGGCGCCTGCCGGGCTTGGAGCAACGTGGGCCAGGCCTTGCAGGCGCCGCTACCACGGGCTTGCGGGCTTGCGGGCGCAGGGGTTTTCCGGTCAGCGTGCCACACCAAGGGAGTACTCGTGCGGTTGACCTTAGAGGGAATGTGGAGCGGCAAGTGAGCGCACGACTCAATCAGCGAGCAAGCGAACCAGCGAGCAAGCGGAGTGGGCGGACAGTGGAAAGTGGAGAGCGGAGGAGAGCGGAGAGTGGAGAGTGGAGTGTGCAGTGGAGAGTGGAGAGTGGAGAGTGGAGAGTGGAGTGTGCAGAGGAGAGGTGGACAGTGGAGAGTGGAGAGCGGAGGAGAGCGGAGAGTGGAGAGTGGAGTGTGCAGTGGAGAGGTGGAGAGGTGAGAGGTGAGAGTGGAGAGTGGAGAGTGGAGAGTGGAGAGTGGAGAGAGGAGAGTGGAGTGTAGCGAGTAGAGTGCGGAGTGTGATGTGGAGTGGAGTGTGGAGGAGGGAATGTGGAGTGTAGAGGGTGGAGCGTGGGCGTGGAGTGGAGAGGAGTGGAGTGGGTGCAAATCCCCAAGCCACCAATCCATGGTCCAAGCAGAACTGAAGAGCGACTGCGATCGCACCATCAAAGAGCAATCAAACAAGCAACCAGGCAATCTAAGAGCAAACAAACAAGTAACAGCTAACAAGTCAGTTTGTTGGCGGGGCAAAACAAACATGTTCAAAGCAAAAGCGCGGCCAACCAGAGAGAAGCCAAGCAACATCCCACCTTCAATTGCCACCCTACTCCCTACATGTCCACCTTCTCAGCTAGAAGGTGTTTACAACTCAACATACTTGGACACCCTGGTCCCCCCCAGCAGCGGATCCTGACAATGCCCCCTACCGGTCAGTTATGACGCAATAAGCTTCTCACACCTAACCAGCTGACACGTCCGCCACACAATGGAGGCGAGATCGCGGTCAGTGAGAATCACGCTCTGACATCTTTTCTTTCAGACAAGCCAGCTCTGTGGACCGATGCCAGGGGCAAGAACCCCTATTCAATACACGTTACACTTTGGTCCCGTGGGTCTATTTCCGAAGAATACAACAGTCAAATGGCGGTTGAACCTTGCAAAGGTACTCCCAGTGGGTGTCTGGAGGAGTTTTGAGGGTTTGTTTTGAGGTACTTGGGGTAAAGCGATGGGAGCATCGAAATCCATTCAGAGTACCGTGCAAAATATGCTAACACATGCATGGGTTTTGGGTTGTGGGGAGGGCCTCCCGCAATCTGAAAGATGCAACAAATGGCACGGAGAATCCTCTGCGGGATTCCCATCCCTGTTGCCACTTGATCACTTTGGTTCGTGGCCACTGCAAATAGCCAAAACAGCAGAATGTCATAATGGTGCAAATAACCTCTTCTCCCCACCTTTTCTGTAAACCTCCCACTTTGCCACAACTCCTGGGCAGGCATCCCCCCCCCCAAACAAACAAGATGTAGATATATATGTATATATATATATATGCCAAGCTGGGTGGTTGCCGTTTAGTAAATGCCTCCACGGTCAGCTGCCCAGGTCGCAAGTTCAAGTTGGTTTCCCGCGAACATACCACTGTGGCCCATCTCCATGGCCACAATTGGTTGCAACACACTGACTGATTGCTTGAGCAAGAACCGGACTTCCAACGTGGCTCCCGGCCCCAAGGTCCGGCGCCTGCCGGGCTTGGAGCAACGTGGGCCAGGCCTTGCAGGCGCCGTTGCTGGGAACGTGCGACCAGCAGAGGAACCATGCGAAGATTGCCAAGCGGTCACGCCTTGGTGGCAAGGATGCATGCCAAAGACAGCAGGCACCTTGGAACCAGATTTTCGAGTGAAGAAGTTATCTGGAGATGTCCTGGCAAGGCGAGAACGCGCAGGGTTGCCTTTGCTTGATTTGGCCCTGGGTTTTGGTGAAATCCCTGCAAAGTCCAAGACAGTCTTGCTTTGCAAGGGGCAACCGACTGAGGTTGTTCTGTGCACAGAGACTCATTTATGGGTCGTGCTTCAGGGTGTCACTGACCTCGGTGTGGAGGGTGTGAAGCCACTGCCGGAGCGCCGGATCTTTCAGGTGAATGGCATCAAGTTCCTTATCGTCCCGGTGAATGCTCAGCCGACTAGACCTCCAGGCCCAAACCTTTAAATCTCTGGGAGTAGGACCCCTGGGCTGTGCGGCGTCCATCAAGCCTCCGGGCATCCCCGTCTTTGTGCCTGTCCAGTGGCCTTGCTGGCGGTCTGTGGTTGTGTTGCGTGTAGTGGCTGCGGGCTTCTGCTGTTTCTGTCTCGGTTGCCTCCTTGGCTCTTCCTGATAATGCGATTCCGTGATGACGCTGCTGGTCACCACACCACGCTCTTCTCGACTGGCCGCTTTGTCGCTGCTTGGGCTTCCTTTGCTACTGGCTCTCGTGTGTTGCTTGCCTGCTGTGTGACGCAGCCAAAAAAGAGTGGATGGAGCAGTTCCTGTCTGACGTTCTTGAGTGTTGGCGAATTCCGGGACCTTGGGAGTATTCGTCGGTTTCTGCTGCTATCCAGTTGCTCGGATGGGCTGACCCTCGCGCCGCTTCGGAACATGGTGAGGCGGCTCGTCCTTCCACTGTCTGCGCTGTCAGCACTTGATCCATCCCTTGGGTTTCAGCATGCGGCGGTCTCCGTCAGCTTTCTTGGCTCGACAGTTCGGCGGCGTGGCACTGTCTTCCTTCTTGTTGCCCCAATCACCTTCCCCGAGCCCCCGGACCCAGAGGGAAGAGGCCGCCGTGTTAAGGGGGCCGACCCTGTTTTTGCGGTCCGCCCGCGTTCGCCCGCTCCTTGGTTTCCGGGGCCAGGATTGGTTGCGTGTGCTGGCCATCTCGCGCGAGCTTCTCCATCGAGCTCCCCGCCTTCTGGCTGCGTCGTCTGTGGATGTTGATGTTACTCGGCGTACTTGGTCCCGTTTGTTGCGGCTGTTGAGCTCGTTGCGTCGTCCGGGGCTTCCGCCCCTCTATGCTCCTGAGCTCCTTCCGTTTTTGCAGGCTTTGGTCAAGGAAGTTGAGGATCGTTTGCGAACCACTCGTTTGGCTGCTGTTCGTGAGATGCGCAAGCGCTTGGGGGAAGACATGGCCCACCACGGCCGGGCTGCTTTTGCTCGGCTGCGTACTCTCACGCAGCCGGCCCGCCCGCACGTCATCGCCGACGAACAGGGCTGCCCCTTCTTTTGCCCCAACGCTGCCCTTGATCACCTGGGACGCTTTTGGCTGCCGCCAGTTGCCGCGTCCACCCTAATGGCTTGATGCTTCTCCTGGTCTTGATGGCTGGACCACTGCTGAGCTTCGTTCTCTTCCGGAGCTTTGCTGGCGCCCCTTGGTCATGCTTTTCCAACGTGCTGAGGCTGGCCTCATGGAGTTGCCAGTTGCGTTCTCTCAAGCAAAGCAGGTCATGCTTCCCAAGGGGGAAGGAGATGGCCCCACTGAAAAACGCTTGATTTCGCTGCTCCCTGTGCCTCTTTTGGCTTACACTTCAGTGCGCTACCGACAGCTAGAACCTAGCATGCTGCATGGTGGCATTCCGCAGCACTCAATCGGCCTTCCGCAAGGAGATTGCTTTTCAATCATTGGGATTAACGCTTTGATGTGCTTGTTGTGGGGCTGGACTATTTCTCACTTTGAAGGAGTTAGTCCGTGTCTCAAAATTCGAGCTTGCTGTTCGTCTTGCGGGTTGCTGCCAAGCATCGGGCTGCCCTCATTTCTCGCAAGGCTATCTGCCCTCATTTCTCGCAAGGCTATCCCTATGCTGACCTACGGAGCTCATTTCAACTTCGTGCCTGCAACCATCTCTGCTCCTTGGTTGCCCTGACAACACATCACGCCACACCACACTGCGCCAACACACCACACATCGCAGACCCCCTACCAGACACCACACACACACAGGCACGCACACGCACGTGTATATCTATATATATATATACAAATATTATCTACAATGCATGCATACGTGAGTACACGTGCGCGCACGTACGCAAAACAAGAACAGTCACAGCATTGCGTAAACATGACCACCTCATCACAGTGCCGGCTCCAATGCTGAGAAATCTCCGGGGATGTTTGCTGATTCCCCACCGAGGTTTAGCCAGTGCGATCGCCCAGATTTGCCCTCGGAGGTGTTTTTCCAGCGCATGTGCCGCTTGGACTGATATGATTTCAGGCGCCTGACTGAAGCCTAAAGAAATCGGGGAAGCTGGTATTCAGGTCCTGGAACCATGGTAAAATTTGCCGATTCCAGATTGTTTTCTTCACTGTTGTTGGCATTTGAGTTTTGTTGGGCTCTGTTCATTTTTAGTGGGGCGCTGCAGAACTCGAAAAAATGGCTACCATACCAAAGGTTGTAGGGTTTCGCGGTTCCATGTTTAAGGTGTCCTCGTGGCTTGAGGATTTGAAACCTTGGCTTGTGTAGAGGGTTGGAAACGGGCTGGAACACCAACCACCAGCCCAAACCACATGACAGGGAAACTGCGTGGCATAGTATGTTACAAGACCCACCCTAAATCCAATAATCGAAAAACCCAGGAATGCACACCCACCCTCAACCCTCCGAAGCAAAGCGGCAGTCGACTAACCTCCTGACACTTCCATTTTGAGCGCCTTGGGATTTCAATGCCTCAGCCCCCCCTCAGAAGATCAGGCTGCGAATTTTCCCACTTTCGAAATGAAGCGCAGTGGTCCAAAAATGATCCTTTGAGATGTTGGTTTTGAGACTTTGGCACAAGCCTAACTTTTCTTTGCCAGGTCCTTTGGCCGCCTTTTCCGGTTGGACTCCATGTCGGTTTATCTCTTGGTTTCCCTTGGAACCCCTCAGCCACAAACTCATCTTGCTCAGCGACCATGTCTGGTGCTCAGCCATTGGTGCCAAACCTCAGGTGACAACTCGCTTTTCCAGATTTAGGTGAGCGCTGGGTCGTGCTTGCTCCACATAGCAACTTGAGATTCCCGATGTCCATAGGAATCACACCTTTTGCCCAGACCCAATGATGTGCCAGGTCCCCCAGTAGTGCCCTTTTACCCTTTTTTAGGGGAGGGTTTCCCTACTAAAATTGACTACAGAAAAAAGGGCACCCTTATTCTAACTTCCCTGCTGGAGGAGCTAGTGTGGTAAACTCAGGCAAGTTGCCATGTTTTGGCCAGTCCCCCTTGGTTTTCTTGCTTCAAAACGCACAAAATCGGGCCGTTGCCGGGCGCCGACACCCCTCGCCTCCTCGCCTGAGGCCACGCGCGGTGGCCCTACGCGATTTTGCTCTTCAGCGAGCTGGGCCGCGAGTTCGCGTCCAGGCGCGGGGGTCAAGACGAGGGTCTTTCGGATGCAAGACATAGGGCGTCTCAAAGTTGTGGACCCCTGTTGCATTGGCTAGGTCCCCGAATAGTGCCCGTTCACCCTTTTTTTGGGAGGGTTTCCCGACTACAGTAAAAAGGGTGCCCTTATTCTAATTCTCTCTACTGGAGAACCTAATTTAACGGGAAGCCAGCAGGAAGCTAAGCACCTCAAGAATTCCCTCATTTTTAGTCGTACCCGTAGCAGCACCGGATTTTCACATGTTTTTTTGCATGTAGCCATGGTCCTTAATTCTGAGACATACCCATTTAAGCAACGTACTTGCTGTACTGGTAGTCTGTTATTGGAGAGGACGAGACAGGGGGGCCGCCTCCCTGAGTGCACCAACGTTCAACTGTAGTCTTTGCGCGTGGTTAAAAAGGCTAATTACAAAGGTTTGTGTACTATGTGTACTTGCAATACAGTACATGTGCAGTGCCCCGAAACCTGTGACTTTTACTTCTACCAACATGGTTATGTTTGTGATTGCCTTTTGACCTTAAAATCCGAATTGAGCCAGGTAGTGTTAGAAGCCCCCTTCTACAATCGCCTATGAGGTTTGACAGACAATCCTCAATGGTCTATGATCGTTGGACCAATTAAGTAGGGGAACCTCGGAGACATCTTTGACTAAAATGATGGTACGATTTAAATCCAAGCATATCCTAGGTTTAGCGTTGAACGGGGAAAAGTTGGGGGAAGCTTTGGGGAAAGCTTTGGGGAAAAGTGGCCTCGCTTGAGCTCAGTCAGGCAGATTTCCGGCAGATTTTGGCGTATATCCGCGGTTCAACGCAGATCTCGGTGTTTGAGATTCGAGTCATATGAGGGACTCGTTCTAGATGGAAGAAGACAATCTGGATTTCATGTTGGCACCCGATTCCAGGATGCGTCCGTATGCCCACATCCATGTTGGACAGGTTTTCTCACCCGCCACGCACTTCGTGAGGCACGGTCTGATGGTTGAAACGAGTTGTTGCCAAGCATTCGCTTCCCAGCCAAATAAGGAGCTTTCATCATTCGACGAGATGCACAAAGCAACCATGCCAGGACAATGAAACAACATTACCGGGGTATTGTTTTGTGATGTCCGGTCTCTCTCTCGGTTTGTGCGGTACTAGTAACAGATGTTCATACGTGCGTTTTGGCATAGGGCAAGGGCGCATTTGGGCATACTCCGGAGTCCGCGAAAGTCAAGCTGTTTAAGCGTTGTTCTCCTTGTTTCTATTTGCTTAAGATTGATTCTTAAGCTTCCTCTGTTGGATGTAGCTCGGTCTGAATTGAGTTTCCTTCCGGTAGCGTATTGTTCAACTGTGCCGCTTGTCACACTATCTGATATTTCAATTTTCAAGTTTCAAGCCATCTAAACATGATCCTCCAAACATGGAGGTGCACAGAAAGACGACTCTCGTTTTGGAAGAAGCGGTTGGAACGCGCACTTCTGAGCCCAAATGAGCTCTTATTAAGCCCTCAGCCCTTGTGACTCAGTGTTTGTACGGGTCATTTCATGTCGCAGCGCTTCGGCCAGGTACCTGACTGAAGAGGCAGCCGACACCTTGGAGAGGCCCTTTGCATACGGTGGGCGTGGGTCGAAGTCCAGGAATCAGGTCCCTGACGCCATACTCACTCCTGAGTTTTCTGTTTCGGAGTTGATGGTCACGTTTTGGCGTTTGGACCAGTTTAGTGGTAAACATAAAGTTGGCCCATCCACTCGGGAAGTGAGGATATGGTTTCCCTTCAGTTTCCATTTTTTAAAGCCTTTTCAGGGTGCCTCAAAAACTAGACACCCAAATGAGAGTGTTTGGTTTTTTTGGGTACCTCACTCAAAGAGTTCCCGGACATGAGTCATTTCCTGGACATAAGTCATTTGCTTGTTTAGGGCCATTTTGGTGTGTGAATTTGCAAAACAAAAGGGACACATGTTCGCTTGTTTTGAGCAATGCACTCAGGAAGTGGGTTATGATGATGGTGGTGGCGATGATGACTACTACATCCCTTCAGAGTCTGGGGGAGTAATACTTGCCTCATTCTTCTCGATTCTTAGGCCTTGCGTGGCGAAGATGTGCAAGTCTAAGAAACCAGCTACAGGAGATTCTACAGGAAAGCATTAACAAGTCCCTTTGGAGGTTCAAGCCATTCCAATCAATGGAGGGTCTTTTCTGATACTTAGGGAAGCTGGCTTCTATGCAGAGCTTCTGACGCCCTCCAGTCAGGTATCCCTCACTTGGTGGTTTGGATTTGTGGGGTTTGAAGCCCTTCTTGTAGAGGGCAACAATAGGACACCTCCAGCTCCAAACCACCAAATCGGCTCCAAGCCCCTTCTCAGGGAAGCTTTTGCCGCCACCGAAGGGCGGTGGCGACCTTTGAGACCATGAAGCGCCTGCCGTACTACGCGAATGGACCATGGCAGAGCCCCTACGATGTGAACTTCAACGAGGCGCGGTGTTCGTTTTCGTTTTTCGGAGCGACGAGGCGTGATGAGATCCCCACCGAAGGTTGCCTTGAACATGGAATCGAGGGATTTCGGTGCAGGTCTTCGTCGGTAACCCATTTTCCGGGGGGGAAGACTAGATCAATGGATTGAGTAGTGAGAGGGTGTGTTTAAACTTTTGTGTGTTGGAGGGTGCTCTTTCGGGGTTAGTTGAAAGGGACACCGAAAGAAGTCCAACCCATTTTCGGCTTTAAGACAGACCCATGGCCCATGAGTTCCCTCCAACGTTGCCATGCCACCTAGATCCCCTCAAGAGGAAATCGATCTGGGTACGCTGTGGATGGACGAAATCTGTTCGCACCACGAAATGAAACCAGGGCTGAAACCACTCCAGGGTTTCTTGGGGTGCGAAATGGAGTTGGTCCATCCGCATGTTCATGTAGATGAGTCGAGTTCCAACCATCCCTTTGCCTTTCCTGCCTGAACGAAGCCATTTGTGCCGTTGGGTGCTTTTGGGTGTCCAGAAAATCTGTCCCCAACAGCCGCTGGCTCCGATGTGCGGCTCGGAGCCGCTCCTGTTCGGGGGGTACCACGTGCCTCCTGGGCCCTCAAAATTCCCTGAAAGCAGGGTATTGCCCCAAAGGGGCGAATTCCCCTTTTTCGGTAGTTTGAGAGTCCAGGTACTAAAGGACAGGCACCATTCATACGGGAACCCCTTGACACATGCCCAACTTGAACCAACTCTTTTGAGTCGAAGCCCAAACGACTTTGCAATGGCATGGTCCCACGTCCCAACAGCTGCCCCTGAAGGGGATATTTTTTGGCATCATGGCTTTGGGTTTCAGTGGCGCAGCTCCTGGCTTATCCAGGGGTAGCCCCCCCTACCCCCCCCCCCCCTAGGGGTCCTTGATATGTATTTGGCGCGGATGCATGGTTTTCGCCGTGTGGAAGAAGAAGTTGACTAAAAATGAGCAGACATTGAATGTACCCCGGGGCCGGGTCATGTTGTGTCGGGCTGCCAGCAGTGAGCTACCTTAGGTGTTCTTCGAACATCCAGAATCCAGGAAAGACGAGTGGATCCACCTGGGAAGAGTTTACCGAAGAAGGGGAACACCAGAGGGCAAATTAAACAACTAGTTTGAAGGGGGCACAGACAGATCTTGTTTTTTTTGTTGTTAAGTGGTGATGTTGAAAAAAACATTGTTGAATGTTTATAAAAAGTGCTGGTCCAAGCAGCTAGAACTCAACCTCGGGCGTTTTGGCTGCCGGGCAGTTGTGCGTAGCCTTTGCACTGACTCGGCTGAATGCGGGGGGGGGACCCGCGCATCTATGAAAGCGCATGGCTTCAGAATATGTTTTCCGCCCACATGCGGTGCATCACCCGGTTCTGTGACACCCGTTGCCCCTTTTGGCTTGATGGAAAGCCCCCTAAAATCGACCCCAAATGTGTGACCACGTTTTTCCACCCGGGTCACCGAACTCGGGAAAGGGCGGGCCGAATCCAGCTGTCCGTGAGGAGTTTTTCCCTGCAGCCGCCCATGGCCCTGTGTGGGAGAAGGCCCAGGCAAGGAAAGGATGCGGTTTGGAGACCGCGTCGCCGGACTGTCATCAGTCTCCAAGCCAATGATAACTAAGCCTAGGTCCCCCAGCTAGGTGCCCTTGTACCAACTTCTTTGGGTTTTTGGGTTCCCCTACTAAAATAGACTACAGGAAAAAATGGGTGCCCTTATTCTAACCTCTCTACTGGGGTTCAGCCAGATGGACATATACATTCAGCCTTTAAGATTAAGGGGGAAGAAGGTCAGTACGGAAAGTCCGGCCGGAAAAAAGAAATAGACAAGTGCGACACCCGTCCGTTTGATCCTTGGTTTCGGCCAGATCTTTGGTACACCTTAGCCGAATTTTGCTCATCTCCGGGTTTGTTGGGTGCTGGCAGGACGCCCTCGGCTTATGAAACGGATCCGCGTGTTTTTGTGATTGGCGAAGCATAGTCGATGGAACCCAACAAACATCAAGACATCTCTTTTGGTGAACCCCGGTGTTTGACTTTCCTCCACTCCCTCAGGGAGTGGAGCTCTGGGTTTTTTTGCACCCAACCAAAGCAACGACCCTGTTAAGCTGGCTCGGTGCACGGATTTCGTCTCTTTTTCGGCCCTCGGGCACTCAAATGAACCGATGCTCAACCCGCAATTGTCCCAAAAACAGAACCAAAAGGTGGATAGAGCATCCTATTGGACAGTCGCTATTGAATGCCCAGAAGCCCGAAAGGATCACCCAGAACCCCTATTGAACACCCACCCCCTCCTTGAAACTCTTCTAGACCCGCTATTGAACACCCATAAGCCTCAGCAACTCAGACCTTATCCCGCTCACTGATTCGGGGTAAGACGAGCTAGGGGATCCAATTCTCATGTCAGGTCTTGGAATTATTGTAGAATGTGCAGATGTTTGGTGGTTCAGCCGTTTCTTGTTTTGGGGAGCTTAGCCCCTACATGTAACCACATTTAACCTCACCTTGCTCGGAGTTTAGTGGGACATGCGCCTTGTCCAGCGGCACTCCCTATTTTTGTCATTTGTTGCTGGCAGATTTCGTGTGATCAAGTTTGGTCTTTTTGGCATGGCCCCGGAGATTCCACTGAAAGGCATGCCATTTACAGGATTTCGACGGTGGCGATGTCCAAAAAGAACCTCTGTTACGTTGGACCCCTGACGAGCATTCTTCCTCGAATCCCTTCCCGTGACCTTCAAAAGGCGTAGCTTCCGAAGCAGGAACCGGCTAGCTATCCAGGTCTCCCAGTGCCCTTGTGCCAACTTTTCTGGGGGAGGGTTCCCCTACTAAATGGACTACAGAAAAAAGGTTCCCTTAGTCTAACCTCTCTACTAACGGACCTACTGTGACTATGTCAGCCCAAAACAACGCAAGGAGCAAGCGAGCACCGAGATAGGATTCAAGTGACCCAACTCAACTCGACGCGCCGCACAGGAAACATGTTCGGGGAACACGATAAAACAGGAAAGACGCCGAACGCCAAGTTAAATGCAAGTAGGCACAAAGAGCCACACGAGGCCGTCTCAAAACGGAGGAACCCTCTTAAATGCTATGTTTTCCCGTGGATTCCCCGCCCCTACAAGGATACGCTCACAATCAATCACACCCACATCTTCAATTCCACGGGGCTTAACCAAACAAAAGCAGAAGGGTGTGTTCTTGTTGGACCAATTTTCTTAAGGGGAACATAGGGGAACCAAAAGGAAGCCCCCCCCCTCCTCCCCCAGTTTGTCCAGAAATGCCAAGGAGAAGCCCTACCTTCTCGGAAGCTACCAAACCAAGGGCCACCTCAGAGGCCCGTAATTGGCATTTCTTTCCCCAGTCGCTAACGCACACAAACACTGGCCCAACTCACCCACCTACGCGAACTGACGAGCTAGCTTGCTAACAGAACATAAAGAAACAAAGAACCAAAGAACCAAAGAAACAATCTGACTACGCAGCCAACCAAACCATGCAACAAACACACACACACACACACACACACACACACACACACACACACACACACACACACACACACACACACACACACACACACACACACACACACACACACACACACACACACACACACACACACACACACACACACACACACACACACCACACACACACACACACACACACACACACACACACACACACACACACACACACACACACACACACACACACACACACACACACACACACACACACACACACACACACACACACACACACACACACACACACACACACACACACACACACACACACACACACACACACACACACACACACACACACACACACACACACACACACACACACACACACACACACACACACACACACACACACACACACACACACACACACACACACACACACACACACACACACACACACACACACACACACACACACACACACACACACACACACACACACACACACACACACACACACACACACACAACACACACACACACACACACACACACACACACACACACACACACACACACACACACACACACACACACACACACACACACACACACACACACACACACACACACACACACACACACACACACACACACACACACACACACACACACACACACACACACACACACACACACACACACACACACACACACACACACACACACACACACACACACACACACACACACACACACACACACACACACACACACACACACACACACACACACACACACACACACACACACACACACACACACACACACACACACACACACACACACACACACACACACACACACACACACACACACACACACACACACACACACACACACACACAATAATAATAATCATAATAACAAAACGTAGTTTTCCAAGCCAAGAATCCCGAACGTAGGTGTCCTTTTTAGGTTGGTCTGATTAAAGATCGATGGCACCGGTTTAGATGGGAGTTTCTTCCATGTCACCAGGGCCATCGATTGTTCCACACGCCCACCAATGATTCCGAGGCTCAGCACCCGCGCTCGCCCGATCGATGGCCGGATGGAAGGTGCCGCTGGCGGAGCTCTTGGGAAGTTTGCCCCTCGAGGAGCTGAGGCAACTGGGGGAGGAGCCGCTGCTGTTTCACGGGCCAAGGGGAGCGGGCAGTTTTTCGCCCAGATCCTTAGACGGAAAATGTGTTTTTTCCCAAGGCGGTAGTTGTTTAAAAAATAAAATAAAAATAAACACATAATAAGCTCAGGTGATATCCCCAACAGCATGCGGTGGAACCCTGGTGGAACCCTCATGGAACCTTACCTCAGGGCCGCCCCGACCCCGGAGCCTATCTTGGCTGAGACCTCAAAGCTTTCAGCTGTTGGGGAAATAAACATCACGCTACTTTTCCACCAGCTCACATGGAAGTGCACAGACCCCGGTAGAAAGGCGACCTTCCTCTTCAAAGGGGCCTTTTCGCACTTCCATTAGTTGGTGGGAGGCTGCATGTTCTGGTGGAAAGACGGCGCACGTACGCTTGGAAGTTGGAGCGCTGCTTCGGTCTCGGAGCTCTTCGGACCGCAGGACCCCGTCTTCGACGCGCTGTCCTTCGAGCACAGCCGGCTGGAGGCTGGGAGCCTGGGACCTCCGGAGCTGCCCTTTTGGGTCGGTGCAGCGATCGGTGCCCTTTCTCAGCCATTTCTTTTTTGGTGGGGAGATTCGGCTCCCCTGCTAATATAGACCAAAACCGAAGAAAGTTGGGTATCTTCTAACCTCTCGACTGGAGGACCTATAGCCTTTTGGTCGCGCCAATTGGTGGTCGATCCCATTGTATCGTACTAAAGGCTTTCCAGTGATGATGACTGAATTTAGCTGGCAGTGCCCCTCCCACAACTGTCCTCCACTTCTAGCAAGCATGGAAACTGACAGGAGAGTTCGGAAGACTTCTTTGCTTTTGCAAAAGGCCCCCCTGTGTTCCTGCACCCTCAGAATTCCTTAAAACTGGGTTATTGCCCCAACAGATGGGGTGAAGTCCCTTATGGGTAGTTTGAGAGCCCAGGGTTTTTCCGTGAAATGATTTTTTTTACAGCATTTAGTGGGTGATTCTCAGGATAGGGGGCACTGAAAATGGTTGGCTTCCTCCTGGCTTTCCATACATGCTATTTGGGAAAGTCCCAAAAGCTTGATAGTAGCCCCGGGTCCAAGTTCACCAACGACAACGAGATGACTTGGCATCGCCTGAGTTTGCCAGCGAATTGCTAAGTCTTAACCTACACACATATCACTTTGCAGGGGATTTTTGTTTGGTGTCGCAGAAAGTGTCAAGCCTGAAACCAATAGCCTGACTTTTTTGTTTGGGGGGGGGCTGTTTTAAGACACACCCATTTGCCTGGACACCAACTTTCCTTCAAGCGCGCGGAAGGCCATCGATAAGGAAAAATCGATGGATCGATTCCACTCGCCAGGGACAAGACTCCTGGCCGGAGGGCGCCTGGCGGGCGGTGGAGTTCAAGGGAAAGGACTGGCAGACCAGGGCCTGCCACTTTGCCCCCAGGACGCGCAAAAGCGCGCCGCGCGGGTCGGGTTCTATCTGCGGACTCGGAATCTGCGGGCGAAAGGGGAGTTGATGGTGGATCTCGGTTTCCTTTCGCTTTCCAGATCAAGCCCAGGTACCCTCACAAGAACCTGGCTACTTGTGCCAATGGTCACATGGGACGAAAAAGCAAGAAGGCTCGGGAAGGAATCTGGGGGGGGTGGGAGAGGGCAAAGAAAAATGGTGCAGGGGTTGATCCCTCGAAATCGGCATCAGTCAGTCCCTTTGCTGTTGTTGGCATGCTTTGCTGTTTCTTTGGGGTTCTGCTCATTTTTAGTAGGGAGTTAGCAAACAACACAGCTGCTTGCTACTATACCAGGGTTGGACAGATCAGTCCTCAAAAAATGTTTGGTTTTGTGCGGTTTACCTTTAAATACCACCACCGAAAGGGGGCCTGTTTACCGTACCACTTTCTGGTGGCGACGAGGATCCCTTTTAACGTAGTGAGGTAGTCACGGAGATCAAACACCACCACGTGGAAATCATGGTTGAAACCATTGTTACGGCTGAAAGCTTTGGGGTCTCAGCCCAGATAGGCTCCGGGGTGGTCCGGGGCGGCCCTGAGGTAAGGTTTTAGCAGGGTTCCCCCAGGGCTCCACCAGGGGAGGGTTCCACGAGGTTCTGCAAGGGCTGCGGGGTGGTGCGAGCACTAAAATGAGCACCGCATGTTGGGGATATCACCTGAGCATATTTTTTTGTATGTACTGGGGAATCCTCATTCCAGGTTTCTTAGGTGGTGCAGGATTTCGTCCATCCACAGTATCACAGGAAGAGCCCCATTTCCGCATGCAGCTGCCCAATGCAGTCTTACAATTTCTGGCGAGATCTGATGTAGCCTGCTCCAGACCCGCACAGAGCCCCCATTGTGAGGCATATCGCCTGGGAGGTGACGAACGAAGAGTCGGCTAGAGGGTTAGCAGCCGCCCAGGTCATTGTGAATCTGGCACCCAGTCGTGCATTCCCTGCTTGCGCCTGGTTGGCCGGACGACGTGGACAGCATTCTACGCGAAGTTGGACAGTTCCGTTGGTTTCCCTGCAATGCTTGTTCCCTTGTACCATTTGGAGCGAGGGCCATCCGGGGGGTCCTTGGTTCTCTGACAGGATTCGGACCGCGGGTAAACCGTCCATGTTTCCGAAAAGGGAATTCACGCGGGTTGCCAACACCCATTTGTAAGTTGGATTTCCACAAAATGTGGGGGCAAGCAAGCATTTGTAAGTTGGATGTTGGAACGTCCAGCCAATTTTTTGCCCACCGCCACTTCTGGCGGCCGCGGCATCTTCCTCGGAAGGACCTGCAGCTTCCTGAGCACGCGGCCCGAGCTCGGCTGCCCCAACGCCCACGCAGCGCTGGTGAGGAGCGGAACGGATCGGGGGAGCGCTTTGTTTTGTCTCGGGTGCGGCCCGGCTGGTTTGGACCAACAGGCATTCCCTATATTCCCATTTGGCTGTAGCTCAAAATTACACTGGAGGGGCAAACCGCGCGTTTTGGTCCATGTTTCCACTTCCCAGGGCAACCCATTTTGGTCCCGGTTTTTGAGCCACAGGCATTTGGTAGGGGGAATTATAGGGAGCCCTTGCTTGAGGGAAGCGGCCAAGGAAAAGCAAAGCCCTGAATTTGCTGACTTTTAATTGGTGGCTTGGATTGGTTTGGGGATTGGAACGCCTGGTTCTTGCCAGGGGCCCGGTTTGTTTGGATGAGGAGTCAAATGGGCCCAGGGTGAAATGGGGTTCCATGTTTTATGTCGGCTGCATCCTTAGCTTCTTTCCTTGGAATGTTTGGGTGTTCTCACAGGGCTCCCTTTATTTCCCTTTGCGGTGGTGTTTTAATTAAACATCACCTGTTTAAGGCCCATGAAAGGTGAGTGTCCCTTGGGGGTGATGTTTGAAGGGGAAATATAGGGATCCCTTGTTTGAGGGAAGCGACGAGAGAAAAAACGCCGAAGCAATCATAGTGCCCTGGTTTGAGAGAGACACCTATGGATGTGGCTCAAAATTGAAGAGCTAGGGTTACCAGGTCTGAGTCTTTGGTTCCATGTACCAAGGTGCCGCCATTTGGGGACATTCGTTTGATCCACAGCCATTTGTCGATTTGTTTGTGAGTGCACGTTTTTGGTTGGTTTTAAGGGAGTACGAAACTTACCATGTTGGGTGGGGGCTTCCCTATTAACCAGGCTCCCGCCTGCTGCCGCCGACCCTCGGCGCAGTAAGGGAAAAGTCATAAGGACCGGTCCTGAAACACGTCCGCAAACCCAGGGACCACTTATAAGATCCTCTACAACCACAAACAAGGATTAACGGAAAAGTCAGAAATATGGCAGCTAGTCCGTTAATTACCGCTCGGGCCGGCTTGCGCCCAAGCAGTCGCCTCTCCCGGGGTCGCCCTGACACTGGTATCGGATCCCACTTCAAACCGCTGGTGTTTCAGGACCGGACAGGTTCCCAAGTCCCAGTCACTCCCTGCGACCGGTTGAGGGGCACCGACGGCCTTGTTTCTAGGAGCAGCTCAACGTCAAACCGGCCCGTACGGTCATTGACGGACGAGCTGCCATCTGTCTGACTTTTCCGTTAATCCTTGTGGTAGTAGAGGATGCCTGGATCTATTCTGCAAGAGAGTCCAATTCGTCGAGTCAAACGCCAGACTGGGACCAGCCTGGACAGGGTCCGAAGTCCCGGTCCCTGCCGGCGACCGGTCCAGGGCAACTGTGCCCGGGCAGCTTCGAGAGGGCCAGTGTCCACCAGGACTCGATCCCGGGACCGGCTTGGACCAGTCCTGAAAGCGGTCCTGGCCTGGACCCGTCCCAGGACCGGTCCCAGGACAGGTTCTGACGGTCCATCCTGGGAATCCACTTTTGTGCTTTCGGGCGTGTCCTCCAGGGACCATCCCAATCACTTCCAGTTGCATCCCACGCCGGTCCCCTCTGCAGGAGGCTGGGACGGGAGGCAGAGGGTCGGCGGATTTTCAGACACACACACACACACACAAATAGGCCCCCCACTTAAATGGTTGGTTTCCAGTTGTTTCCCTTCAACTGCCAACCCACGGTCTTTAGATGTTTTAACAACCAGACCTCGCCACTGTTTTCGGGAAATCCAAAAAGATGTTGTTTCAAGGCAGAGGCCCAACTCTCAGCATTTGCGTTTCCTTCCCGCCCGCCTTTTCAACCCTCTTCCAAGGGCTCCCTGCATTGCCACCAAAAGGGGGACAGCAGGCATGTGGCAAACCCTGAAGGTCGCAAAACGGTCTTGGCAAACCAGGTCCACGCACAGCTATGCTCAGCGCGTGACACAGAGATCCAGTCGTCTTCGAAGCAGAAGTACATGTTGATCAGTGAAAAGTGCCAGTCTGACAGTCTATGGTTCATCTGGGTGTGGCTCAAAATTAAACAGGAGGAGGTTACGCCGGTTTTGGTCCATTCTTCCACCTACCAGGGTTCCATTCTGGTACCGGTTTTTGAGCCACAGCCATTTGGCAGGTAACAGGAATCACTACATTTCAACCGCGGAAAACACCGAATCTTCCCATGTCCGTCGCAGGAACTGCATACTTTGCATGTGGCACATCTGCAAAAATCAGGCAAGCTCACTTGGCGGTTACATGGGCTCAATTCAAGTTGTTTCAGTGGTTTAGTGGTGTCCCACTAAAGCAAGGCCTGGTGCCAGAAGAGAGGGTGACCAAAATAGAGTCATCCTTTCGACGCCCCCAATCTGCGAGCGGATCGTACCGCTTTCAGTAAAACGATGCAGTGGAGTGAAGTACAAGGCATTCAAGAGACAAAATTGGCTGGAATCTTTGTCTGACATATACCTGGGCCCTCAAGCTACCCAGAAGAAGGAACTCACAAAGCCTTTTTTTTCCTCTGGGACTTTTGATGGTCCAGATACACACAGTCATTCATTCATTCATTCGTTCGTTCGTTCATTCATTCATTCATTCATTCATTCATTCATTCATTCATTCATTCATTCATTCATTCATTCATTCATTCACTTCCTCTTGCGCAGAGTCTACGCGTCCAGTCTGGCAATCTCAGACAAACACATATAGATACGCAGTGGCAGAATGGCTGGGGGTGGTGCTCCCCCTGGCTGTGACTGCCAGGCTCCGCCCCGGGGGGCGTCTGAAGCCCCACTTCGGCGACGTGGCTGATGGGCTGTGGCTGTTCAAAGGTTCGGGTGCCCTCCCCCAATTAGATGAACGGGAGGTTGGGTTCACATGGGGTTTGATTTTTGGAGGGCACCCTTTTTCACCCTAGTTTGACACCTACCCACATTGACCTTGATTGAGATAAACGGAATTATCGCATGTACTTTCCTTGTGTGCATTTTGGCCCTTGCCAAAAAGTGATGGTAGAGACATGATTTGCTCTCCCCAGATGTCTGAGTTGCAAAGTAGCTAGTTGACCCGATGAATTGACATGGTCAAAACTCTGGTGGGTCCAGGGCAAAAAGGTTGACTCCCCTTGGAATGGTTTTGAAGGGACCTCACACCCGCTGTTTCAGGGGATCCCTATGAGACAATGGCTGGTCTCAAGGGTGAAAGGCCAGTGAAACGGAGTCTTTTGAAGAAACGGCCTTGTCATTTCTACCAAATTTGGACCTAAGGTGATCAACCTTCTACAACCTTTCGGGGGGCGGAGGGAGCAATGGGTACGGAAGGTAGAACTGAGCATGGCCCGAAACCCTCATGATTGGCAATTTGAGTCGATGCATCAATGCACCTGGTTTAGCAAGGCTTATAGTAAGGCCTATTTACCCTTTGTAGCCATCCTGGTTGAACCAATAGTCAATGAGTTTTGGGGAAGCTAGATTGTTATGTTCAACCAGTAGGTTAAAACCGTGGTTCCAAGGGAGCTGACCAGCGACCAGTTGTTGAGTCATAGCCATGGCTTCAATCTATGTGCGTGATTCTCAGAATAGTGGACCCTTCTTCTTCTTCTTCTTCTTCTTCTTCTTCTTCCGAGTTGCCACTCCGCAGTGAGCGCGGCGGCGGCAGCAAGCAACTCCTTCATCAAACATATGGGTCTCAACCAACTGCCAATGAAAACGGGAGTTCACCCAACAGAACTTTGGGTAGCACTAACCCTTTTGTAAGAGTGGACCCGTGAAAGTGGTCCAGGTTGCAACAATGGTTCTAAGGGAGCTGATCAGCTTCAATCGATTTCTGTTGCCTGAAAGTAGTTGGATTCCTTTGGCCTTCAACTCACTTCCTGAGTTCATGAACTTTAAACTTTGTGGGAAGACCATTTTAGTGGTAAACAAAAAGTTTGGACTTTTTTGGGGCCATCCACTCAGCCGGTGAGTCAAACAGCAACCAAAAGGACCAGTTTCGAAGCGAGGCGCAGCGCCGGCGCTGCAGCTGCACGTGCCGGTGCTTGAAGCGCTGGGAGCGCGCATGAGCGTGGGCAACAGGAGCGCGAGCGCGAGCTAGCAGGGTGGGGAGGGCTTCTCGAGTCAACTTTTTAAGGGCAGTTTGAGCCAAAACCGGGGAGGTGGCCTATGAAGTCCAGAGCTGCTTGACGTTTTCATGGCAAAATGACTCACTTAATATTCCACTTAGTATGTTTTATCAAATTCGACCTTATTTCTGATTGAAAATCAATGGAGCTTAAGAAGGATACTCCAGCCAAAATTGCGATTTAGATTCGAACTTAAATATTGATTGTTTATGTCAAATTAAATGGTACAAACGATTTCCCGTCCAATAGACCATTTGTACATTGAAATTCAATCACTTTCAGAACTAGCTAGTCCTAGTTTGGTCCTAGTCCTAGTTGGGAGATCCTTGGTTCTAGGCCAAGTCGGTCCTAGCTTACTGAAATACATAGAACGTATAAAGGACATTACAAAGGAAGTTCGTTATGAATTGTAGTTAATACATTAGTCAAGTTCTATGCAACTTCTAGCTGAACAGTTGAATTTGAAATAAGGATAATGTCCAGTCAGAATTTACATGCTAGGACCAAATATTAAACAGGATTTTTGTTCCACCAGAATGTAATACTTGACATCCGAATACTATAAGAAGTAGAATTAAATGGTCTAGTCCTAGTTTGGTCCTAGATGAGAGATCCTTGGTCCTAGTGTTAGGTTGCTCCCTAGTTCACTGCAATAATTAGAAAATATACAGGACATTGCAGAGGAAGTTATACTTGAAGTTCTTTTTTGTAAGAATCTGAGGTGGGTCGTCTAGTCCTAGTCCCAGTTGAGAGATCCTGGGTTCTAGTCTCATTTGGTCCTGGTCCTAGTTGAGAGATCGTTCCTCCCAGTCCTAGATGGGCAATTCATGCACTGGAGAGGCAACCAAAAGGTAGGTCCCTTGGGGGGGGTTAGCATATATATATATATATGGCCGTGGGTCAACACCAATGGAATCACTTTGGGGTAGGTGCACCACCCATTTTAGTCTGATGCTCACTGGGGGGTACAGGATTTTGACCCATGGCCATATATATATATACACATATGTATATGTATACATATATATGTGTATATATATATATATTTATATATACATATGGAATGTATGTATGCACTTGGATCCCAGGCTCAGCGCTGAAGGTCGGGGGCTTCCCTTGGAGAGAGCACCGCCACGGGTCTAAGGGTCTCAGCACACGGGAGGCAGGGCAGGGTGTGTCGATGTGTTTGGGGTCCGGACCGTCCGGGCCCCCTCCCCTTTTGTTTGGTTTGAAAGGGAAATTAAAAGGAAACCCTCCCATTTTTGTGGGTCACTTATTTTTAGAGACACCCATTTCCATCATGTGCCCATTCCATGGAACTGCAATCTAAGGTGCAGCGCAAAGCCTTTCATCCTCACTATGAAATTGTGCAACTGTTTCCCTTGCTTCTGTGAAAGCACGAGCTATTGGACCAGTTGGGTGTCCATCCACAGTATTGCTCTGAAACGGGTGGGGTGTTTCTGGTGTGATAGGTGCTTCTCTTGAAGGCTTGTGTGCCTCAACATATGGCTACGGCACGTGTCAAAACTACAATTGGCGTTTTCTTCTTGGTTTTCCCTTTCAATGCACAAAGGAGGGGTACCAACTCCCAAAAGATGGAGCCGGGGAACGGAGGGGTTTTCCAAGGACGCTTCTTGTTTTTCCCTTTCAAAGCGCACAAAAGAGAGGTACCACCTCCCAACGATGGAACCACACCCCTAGCCCGTAGCCGTATAGAGGGTTCGTCAGTTTTCCTGGAGGACGCTGAGCTTCAAGCTGGGTGAGGTGCTGGTGCTGGACGGAACCTTTATCCGCCAGGAGAGCCGCCGTCGCGCTGGACCTCTCAGCGTGTTTGTCTGGGCTTCGCTTCAACTAGGTTTCCCAGCGGAGGGAGGTGCCAACTTTGACCGTTTCCTTTTTGGGGGGAGATTCGGTTCCCTACTAAAATAGACTCCAGAAGAAAAAAAAGGTGGGTAGCCTTATTCCAACCTCTGAAATCTGGTGGAGCTCGTCAAAGACCAGTGGCTTCTCATTGACCCAAGCCACTGGCGCCCCTTTAGTTTCCGAACGAACGGGTCTCCAGGTTTGAGAACACGTTTGCAACATGTCGTTCAACTGATAGAACATGACAACTGGATGGATGTTGAGGGCTCAATGCACAAATGTCCCTCGTTGGTTTTACGGGGAATCTAATCACTATGTTCTGATGTTGTCCAGGGGAGCTATTCGCAAATGGAGGAGCACCCAAGTCATTTCGCAGTTTGATCCCGGTCCGTAGCCCCTTCGGGTAATGTTGAGGTCACCAGAAAACCATGAAACCTAGAGGTAAAGATACTTCGTTGCTTACTACAGTGAAGTAAACATACTGAACAAGTTTGGGACATGATTGCCTAGGGCCCCAAGGTACGTTCAACAAGAACACATAACACATCCATCAAAGATACTTACTATAGGGTGAAGTGGAAGTCTGGGAAAGATTAGGACTTAGGTGATTCCAACTCAATTTTGCCCAGGGCGCATTCAAAAAGAACACATCCATCACCTTGAAGTGAGATTGCTTTTGGGGGATGTTTCGGCGGGAGAAAAAAAGGGACGTTGCTTAAGGCCAGCAACACTTTGCTGGTCGGGGTCTTCGGACCGAACGGTTTGGGATCCCTCAAATGAAGCCACCTGCGGGATGGTTCAGCTCAACTCGGGTCATTCGGTCAGACTGTCGAACCAGCAAGGAAAGGGAGCCACCAATTTCTCGCGAATTTTGACCCTGCTGCCCCTTTTTTTTTTATAGCAACCGTTTTTTGACCAGTTTCCCAAAAGGAAAAATCCACAGGGACGTGGTATTTACTGGTCTGGCAACTGCAAAAGGATCCGCCGCTTCGGGCTGAGTTGCAGAATCGAATCTCCCCACAGGAGTGGCACAATGGAGTGCGGGGCGAGCAGCTTGTGCTGAAGGCGGGGTGAAGGGGCGCGATACTGAAGTAAGTGCTGGGAGTCAGCCTTCGCAATAGTAAGAGTGAGGTTGCTTCTTTGGTTCTCACCTTGTTCTTGACATAGGATCTGGTATCTAACCACAACCCCGTGGCGCAATGGCAGTGTTCGCGGGTTCGAATCCCGCCGGGCCCACTTGTGCACGGAGGACTATGCCTGCTTTGTCTGCAAAGGCACCCCCATCAGGTGGGTTCTATGTTTGTCGCAGCTGTTCTTGGATTGTCAATCGGGAACCTCCTGCATTGTGTTTTTGCAGGTGCCCGAGGTTGCTTTTACCGAGAAGCCGAAGCAAGGAAAGCACACTGTGTCGAGACTTCCGTGATGCTTGCGTATTCCACAATCAAACTGGACGTCTTGGCCGCCAGGGACCAGCAGAAGTTGGGGGCGGCTAGCTAGTGGCATCCAGGGGCAGGAGGCGATTTTGGAACTCCAGTTTCAACAGTGCGCCGCTTGTGAAGCGGACCGGTCCTGCCCTTTTCCGCGGTGTGACGGCGCAGTGTTCGGTGCGCCATGCATTGATGACTTGACGCCCCTCCCCAAAGAAAAACACTTTTTTTTCGAGGAACATCCTTTCGGGAGACTCCCTTTTGGGTTCTGCAAGATCCAATGAAGGAAAAGCTGATCGATACCGGAGGGATCCGAGTAGTAGAATTGTGTTTTTTTTCTCCCATGAAGCCAAAGGGAAACCATAATCCCTTATTTACAGACAACCCCCTGTCAGCAGCGGTTTTTTTTTTGTTGTCTGGGGGTGCGAGTGGGTCACCTAGCAGGCCAATTTCAGAGCGACAGAAAAACACCTATTTGGGACAACAAGCAACTAAAAGCATAGTTGTTTGAAGAGAAGCGAAAAGGAAAGCAACCATTTTCGGGTTCAAGCATCGGTTCAGTCAAAATGTCCGGTCTATATGGTCCATTTGGGAGGGACATAGAGAAACACATGAAAACAAAACGCAAAAGCCGGGTGGCTCACTACATGTTCCATGTTTTCTTGGGTAAGCCCATGATTTTGACCGTGGGTCAAACGAACTCTCGATCGCCTACGAACCCCCCCACCGCAGCCTCATTAAGGCAATGGCTGTGTCTTTGAGGTTTCAAAAAATACCCTTTCTAGTAATTATATAGTGCCCTTCATCATTTGGAGACAACTGCACAGAAACCCGCAAGACGGTCATGGAGCAAGGACTGCGGAATAGGATTGCCAGGCTGAGGGCAACCCTGCAGAGCTTCGAGGGTTGTCCGATGAGGGAACCGCTCGGTCTGTTTGGAATCTCTTGGTTCCCTTCAGGGACAAGCCTACTCCCAGCCCGTACGAAGCACTGCTTTCTGGCGAAAAAACACGATTTTTCACAGGGGAAACAAATAAAAAGCAGTTGGGGGGTGCCAGCCCCGCGAATTTTATGTGGCCTTTCGTGCATGTTGTCCCGAGCAGAAATGCAACTGGTGACCAGATGATGTGCAACCAGCCCCTGAGAAGGTCTGAATGCAAGCTGGAACGTGCCACTCAGCGAAGCAACCCACGAGGAGAAAACCCGCTTCACACGGCATAGAGCTGTGGGCAAAGGAGAAGTGCAACAGAAACCTCCACAAAGGACAACTTACTGAGCAAAAGTCTTTGGTTAAACCCATATTCCAAAGTTTGCAGTCATACACATGGAACCTGAGGCTTGAGACCCGGTCCCTTTCGGCGGAAAATGGTAGCAGGACCTCCCGAACGTCAGGCTCCAGCTTTGCTCAGTGGTGGGAGGGTAGTCCTTCGGTTCCAGGTTTTCCCCGGGGGCACGCGACAGGTTACCATTTGCCACCCCTGCGAAGAGTCCCAGCGCCCGCTCTACGGCGCGCTCACCTGCGCGAGGCGCAGATCCCGAAAAAGAGATCTGAAAGCGGTTTTGGGTGGACATCTCGGCCCAGACATCGGCGAGAAGAAGTGGTTTGGGGCGGCTTTCAGGAAAAGAGAGTTCAAAAGCAGGGTTCAACAGGTTCCGGAGCTCTTGGGGAGGGTTTAGCTTCAAAGTCCACCGAAGCATGGTCCGCCCTTCTTCTTTCTAGTTCTGGAGGTCGTGGAGTGGAGGTTCGCCTGGCATTCCCAAGGCGTGCGTGAATGAATGCTTCAGGTCCCCCAGTAGTGCCAACTTTGACCAACTTTTTTGGGGGAGGGTTCCCCTACTAAAATAGACAACACCGAAGAAAAAACCAGCGGGTCCCTTATTCGAAGCTCTCAAATCTGGAGGACCTAGTTTTTGCGAGTGTCAGCGGGGCGCCGGTGTCAGCGAGTGTCCTTTTGGGCTGCGTGGCGTCCACCATTTGTGTTGGGATGTGGCCAAGAACCAGAAGTTTGAATCCCCGAAGTCTGAATCCCCAAGTCCCACCAAATGGCTGTCGGTCAAAACCAATGGTACCATTTTGGGATTGGTGCACCGCCCCTTTTTAGTCGATAGTGGTTGGATTAGGATGTTCGCTGGGGGTACGGAGTTTTGACCCATGGCCATGTACCGTCACCTAGAGTAGGGGATGACATGCTTTGCACGCTCACCACAAAACCGCTGGGAAATGGGGGGGGGGGGGGTTACTCACCAAAATCCTCATGTCAAAGAAATGATTGACCGTCGCATGTCTATGGTTGCCATTTGGGGTTCTGGACGAGAAGCTCTTCCTCGCAAAAACCAGGGGACCTTTAACTTTGATTTGCTTAATAATATGTTTTTCTTGTTGCAAAAAAGGAATTTATAACTACTGGAAATGTGTTTTATTTTCTGGGCCTGCGGCCTCTAGCCGGCTACGCCTCTTTGAAGTTATACCATGTCATGTCATGTTTTTGTATGAGAAACGTATCCTGTGCTATGATATGGCTGGTTCCAACCCCAGATGATGCCGGGGATGCCAGCCTTGGGCCCCAGCTGGGCCCCAACCCAGAAGGCTGACATGGGGTCGCGCGCGCGCGCGCGCGCGCCAGAGACCCCAGAAAGAGCAGCCCAAAAAGAACAGCCCGCAACGCAGCCCAAAAACGCAAATGCAACAAAACACCGTAAACAGCAGCGTTTTGTGGCCGGGGTCGCGCGCGCGCACGCGCGCGCCAGAAGGCCCGAAAACCAACCGCAAAAAAGCAAGGACCGCGCAGCAAAAGCAAAACGGACAGAACAACAGCCCAACGCTCAGCACAGCAGTTTTGGGCGGTATTTACAGCGTTTTGTAGGGCCAGGGCCCAGCATCGCCGGCATGCCCGGCAGCGCTTGGCGCCAAAATGCTCAAAAATGAGCCTCGCTTATATGTCATGGGTCGAGAGGTTTTTTGGAAGGAAGTCTTGATGATGCAGACCAAGCCCCGCTGAAGCATCACCCAGGCCCAACCCCAGACCCTGACGATGTCAGCCACATGGCCTAAACCCTGCATATACGCGATGTTTCGCGAGGGTTTCCCACAGGCAAGCAAAACCGCAAGCCCGAGCTGGTGATGCAGAGGTGCCGGATTTAGGCCGCGCATCACCACCAAGCGGCGAGGGTCGGCGGCACCAGGGTGCAGCCCCTATAGCTAAAGCTAGCAGGCTCATTGCCTAGCGGCGAGCCGGATTTAGCAGGCTGACGCCTGATGCCGCCGACCCCCGTAACATCATCATCATCATTATTAGCATCAGCATCATTATCATCATCGTCATCACTGTCATCATCATCCTCCGCATCAGCATCAGCATCCTCATCATCCATCATCAGAACAACATCACCATTGGCATCAGCATCCTCAGCATCATCAGCATCATCATCATCATCATCATCATCATCATCATCCACCATCTCATTTTCATTAATTAGCATCAGCATCATCATCCTCATCATCATCATCGTCAGCGCAAGCATGCCCATGGGTCGAGGATGCTTTGCATGCCGGGGATGTGGGAGCTGTCTTTTTAACCTTCAAAAATAGTTCAAAAATGCAGCTTTTGCATCCCCTGCTTCACCAGCATCATTCTGCAGGTGCCCGGGGTGATGCTTTGCATCTTAAAAAAAAATGGAGCTGCCTTTTTGGTCTTCGAATGTCGGGAAAAAAGGCAGCTTTTGCATCCCCCGCTTCACCTGCATCATCCTGCAGGTGTCTGGGGTGATGCTTTGCATGCTGGGGATGCGGGAGCTGGTCTGGGAAAGTTGACCCAGCCGGCGTCATGCTGCAGGTGCCTGGGCTTGCTCGTCTGCTTGGCCCACGGACACTAGCTCATCTCAAGGTTTCTTACTTTACGGGGGCGGCGTCATTTTCCCGTCATCTTCCCGCATCTTCCCGCAGTCTTCCGTCAGCTTCCCGTCATCTTCCCGTAGTCTTCTGTCATCTTGGTGTAGTCTTCCGTCATCCTGCTGTAGTCTTCCGTCATCTTACCGCAGTCTTCCGTCATCTTCGTCATCTCCGCAGTCTTCCGTCATCTTCCCGTCAGGTCATCTTCCCGTAGTCTTGAGTCAGCTTCCTAGTCTTCCGTCATCTTCGTGTAGTCTTCCGTCATCTTCCCGTTCTTCCGTCATCTTCCCGCACTCTTCTCTTCCGTCATCTTCCCTTCCCGCAGTCTTCCGTCATCTTCCTGTAGTCTTCCGTCATCTTCCCGCAGTCTTCCGTCAGCTTCCCATATTCTTCCATCATCTTCCCGTAGTCTTCCGTCATCTTCCCGCAGTCTTCCGTCAGCTTCCCGTCATCTTCCCGTAGTCTTCCATTGTCTGCTTCTCGTAGTCTTCCGTTAGTCTTCGTATCAGCTTCCCGTCATCTTCCTGTGGTCTTCCGTCATCTTCGTGTAGTCTTCCGTCAGCTTCCCGTAGTCTTCCGTCATCTTCCCGCAGTCTTCCGTCAGCTTCGCGCAGTCTTCCGTCAGCTTCCCGCAGTCTTCCGTCATCTTCCCGCAGTCTTCTGTCTTCCGTCATCTTCCCGCAGTCTTCCGTCAGCTTCCCGCACTCTTCCGTCATCTTCCCGTCAGCTTCCTGTAGTCTTCCGTCATCTTCCCGTAGTCTTTCATCATCATCATCCATCCTCACGGTTATGGGTTCAGGTTAGGGTGGGTTAGAGGTTAGGCTTAGAGGTTAGGCTTAGAGGTTAGGGTTAGAGGTTAGGGTTAGAGGTTAGGCTTAGAGGTTGGGCTTGGAGGTTAGGGTTAGAGGTTAGGGTTCGAGGTCAAAATCTGCCGCAGGAGCCCCCCTCCCCCCCTCAGACTCCCCCTAACCACCACTTACAACACGCCTCGCCCCTTTGCAGAGACTAACTTGGCTTTTGCAAAGGGGCCGGCGGATTTTTCCAGGGGTCTTGACCAAATGGAAGTTAAAGAAGCTGCGCAAGTTTCACAGCTCACCAGTGGTGAATATACTCCCTCAAAAAGTTCAAGGGTGTCCCTGCTTGCGGAAGCCGACTTCCGGAAGGAAAAAACAGAGCCCAAACCCATTTCTTGAGATACCTCTCACGTGAGACTCCTTGAATCCGCACAGTCCCCAGACTCCAGGCCTTCCGGTCAGCGCGCCGCTTGGACTCGAAGCTGAGTCGGCAGAAGGGGCTTTCTTGGGAGGACAAGAAGGAAGCTGAACGCAGCTTTGGGATTTTCAGCGCTGGTCTTCGAGTCGAATTCTTATAAGTTCTGACGTTTTAATTGACGTCAAGTTCGGGTTTGCAACCTCACTCATTAAGGTTTGTTGATACACTCATCAAGGTTTGTTTGATAGGGATGGCTTAATTATGTTCGGCCTGTGAGTTAGCTTTGTTTGTCCATATTTCCCAAAAGGTTATTTGATCATATTTCTTCCCCGATCCTGTGGACATCAAGGAACCGGACGGCAAAACAACAACAGAAATGGAACCAACACACAATTCAAAGCTCGCTGTTACAAAATGCCGCAGTCGTTGTGTTGGGTATGACAAGATTGTCTCATTTGCATTCATGGTCAACCAGTGAACATGGAGAATCATTGGCTCAACCCGTCCAAGCCTCTGGCGGCAAGGCTGGGTGCGATTGTACCCTCAAACTGGATTAATCTCGCTCTCGTGATGACGTTGTTTATGAGCCGGCCGACGCAGACACGCCACTTTTTGACCCCCTCGGCTTTTGTAGGGGCAAATGAGAAACCACTGGCCCCGACACCACCACTTCGAACCACCAAATAAGAGGACACCTGAAACAAACCCGGGGTTTTCAGCCCCGACCCCACCCCCCCCCTCGACGCCGCCGCGCCGAAGAGTCGCCGCGACCCGCCGGCTCGAGGCCCTGGCCTCGGCGGCGCCCGCACCCGCGGCGGCCGCGTCGGTGCCCTTCGCCGCCGCGGCGCTGTGGGCCGCGGGGCTGCCGGAGCTCGCGCGGTGCAGCGGGGGCGCCCAGAGGGCCCAGAGGGTGAGGGGAGGATGGTGAGGGGAGGCTGGGGCTGTGAGTTGAGTTGTTTATTTTTTATTTTTTTGGGTTGGGCTGAGGTTGTTCCCTCGAGTTCTTGAGGGCAATTGGGGTTTCACATCCCGGCAACACCTCCAAAGTCAGAAGGAAGCTGATATAATGGTGTGTCGTCGTTCGAGGTTACCCACTTGTTCGTTGTGGGAACCCAAAGGAACACGTTTGGCGCCATTTTGGGGTCCAACCAAAAAAATACCCTGTTTGCAGGGCCAAGTTGCTTGGGCCCCAACGGAACAGACTTGCGGCTTTCAGTTTGGAGGCTCAGACCTGACCACCAGACTATGACAACTCCAGGCCGTTTCATGGAACTCACCACCTTCTTGGACCCCGAACCGTCAGGTTCCATGGGAGAGGCAGCCGGCGGAAAACACATTATTTTCCAACATAAAGGGTGTCTTGTGAGTGGCAGATCCCTTTCGGATGGCTGTGGATGGACGAAATCTTGCACCACTTTCAAACCATGGGAAGCCATTGTTTGTTTGTATTTTTCGGGGAGTCATCACTCCAAGGTTTCTTAGGTGGTGCAGGATTTTGTCCATCCACAGTATCAAGGGGAAAAAAAAGACAGTGGTTTTTCGTGAGAACCGCCCATAGTAGCTTTTTGAGGGGACTCCCCCGGCTAAAAGGGTGGTTTTGCCTCTTGGTTTCCACTTAACACCACCCCAACAGTAACAAGGGGTGTGTTATAATATATATATATATATATACATATTATACATATATATATATATATACATATTGCGGGACAATGCTGGGGCTGTTTGCCAACTTGCCCCAAACAACATGCCCGGGAACATGTCGGGGGTCCGTTCTTCTTATAGAGCTCCTCCCCAAAGGAAACCTCCCCCCACCCCCAAACACTCCCCCAAACACACCTGGGGTGGCTCAAACTTAAAAAAAAGCAGGGGCAAACCGCACGGTTTGGTACCCGTGTTTCCACTTACCGATCGGGCAACCCATTTTGAAATTCCAGTTTTTTGAGCCACAGCCAGCTGAATCAGCGGAAGTTTGACCGTGCTGTGGCTCAGAAAAGTGGCACCCGCGTTTATGAGCCCCTTGGATCAGGGCTCCTTAAAAGATCTCCATGTTGCAACCATTTGAAACATGGCTTTTTCAAAGGGAAACCACCATTTCCAAGGCAATGTTCAGGTGTATAATGTAAGGATCCCTGTGGATGGAAAGAAAGAGCCTACAACCTGCGTAACCCAGCTTTTTTCTTTTTGAGCCACACCCATTTGTTGAGGTGTGGAAAGGGGGGGCTCAGCCCCAAGCACACTTTACAGACTAAAATACCCGGATCCTCAAAATCCCAACTCAAGAATGGGAGATTGCAACCCAACATCATGGTTGGCGACTTCCCTTTCTAGGTCCCCCAGCAGTGCCCTTTTACCATTTCTTTTTTGGGGGAGGGTTCCCCTACTAAAATAGACTTCAGTAAAAAATCGGTTCCCTTATTCTCACCTCACTGGACCTCGCTTTTGTATGGGTCTTTGAGGGAGGTAGCGGGGACTGGGGGGGGCGACCTCCGATTCGTTTCAAGGCGCCATCAGCGAGCAGTGCCCTCCAGACTCGCAGCACGGGGGGCCGAACCCTTTGAGCCGCCTGGCCCGAGGAGGCGTTGCGGACGAGACGCTTCGGTCTCGGCGATTGGGCGCGGCGACGCTTGGAGGTCTCGTTTGTTGATACTTGGTCGACGGTCGACGGTCTTTCTCCATGGTTGTTGTTGGGAAACAAGCAACAGGGGACCTGACAAAGAAGTCGACCATGTTCCTTTTAAAGGGAGTGGGTCCTTTTTTGGGCTTGGCTGTGGCTCAAACTTAAAAAAGGAGGGGCAAAACGCAGGTCTTGGTACCCATGTTTCCACTTACCGATCGGGCAACCCATTTTGGAATTCCGGTTTTTTGAGCCACAGCCACATGTGGGGGTTGATCAAGATTCCGTTTGCCCCCCCAAATGACTGCAGAGGTAACTCTTTCCATCTATATAGAGGCTAGGTCCCCATGTAGTGCCCTTTTACCATTTCTTTGGGGGAGATTCGGTTCCCCTACTAAACTAGACACCAGGGAAAAAGTCGGTTCCCTAACCTCTACCCTCTCAAATCTGGAGGACCTCGTCATTTTGGGTGGGTTCTCCCTAGTGGTCCTCCCCATGTTTGACTGACCTTTTGATTTCAGCCCCCGCGGGAGATGGAGCTCGAAGCCCTTCATGGAGCTCGAGTTTCGAGTTCAACTGCTGGACTTTTGGTCGTAGACCAAGCCCAAAGCAGGTCAGCCTTCAGAGAAAAAACAAGAAGAAAACGCACAGACAGCCAGGTGGGGCCATCCTTCTTTTTCGGTATTTTTTACCAAAAGGGAGTCCAGAAAGGGGATCCAACTTTGAGACACCAGAAAGGCATGTGCCTTTTTGAGGGTTTTCAGGCTGTCTAGAAGTTGTTGCGGGCGAACCCTAGAGTTGGTTACAGGTTTCTTCATGTTTCCAACCCATCCCAAAGCTCATGGGCTTCCGAGACATGTCCCCTTTTCAGACCCAAAGTAGCAGTTTCAATCAAGACACCACCAGTGATTGATCAACTTCCGATGTGCGGAAGTTCAGTTGATTGTCGCTGGTGATTTGGCCAATTGACTGAGGGCTCCTCTTGCTTGCGAGCCAGAGGCTTCAATGGTTGTTGCAGGGCCAATTGGCCATGAGGATGGAAACAGGCCCGCTGCAAAACAAGGCAATGCTGGCTGAGGATGATGAAGCTGCAAGTGATGCACAAAGGCAGCTTGTGAACAGCTGCAGAACCCACCAAACAGCCACCGCCCAGATTCAAACAGTCGAGATGGGAATCCACCATCAGCGCACTGCAAAGAGAGCACGCGCACTACAACCCCCCCCTGCCCCCCAGGCAAGCCAATGGAAACACATTCGGCCTCGGTTTTCACCACACATAGAGCAAGAACAAAACAAGTCAACAGACCGAAAAGCCCGCCAACCTAACACCAAATGCAATTCGCTCTTGAGAACCAACTTGCGTCGCGCAAATCTCGGGGTGGGGAGGGGGAATTAGGGGGGTGTCGCGCCCCCGTTTGCTTGGCAGGGAAACCAGAAAGGAAACCGTCGCCATTTTTGGGGTCCGGTTCCTTTTTTGGGGCCCGGTTCCTAAATTTTAGTGATTGCAACCCAAGTCATGGGTAAGGACAATCAGATTAGTGGGCCAAATGCATCTTTTTCCAGGCGTCTTCCTTTCGCTGAATCTTGAGACCTTGAAATTGAGGTCCAAAACCTTCAAAGAATACATGCAGACCGCTCCAACGGATCCAATGACTTGGGTTATTGTTTGTTCTGAGGTGCTCTGAACACCTGGAACTATGCCATGAACAACCTCCGCGCCGCCTTGCGACATTCCGCGGCCAATGTGGATCCCGAGGTGATGACGGCCATCGGGCAGGCACTTCGATCAAAGCTCGCGTTTGTCGGTCCAAATACCCCCTACTCAACCTAAAAATATATGGTATTTTTGGGAACCTGGCTTTCCATGGTAAATACCTGCTTTTTTAGTAGAGGGTCGACATGATACCCTGAAAAAAGAGGGTACGTGTCCACATAGGGGGACCCTACAAGTTATGAACACCTACCCCAAAAAGGGGTACCAACTCCAAAAGATCCCCAACTCCGCAATGAGTCCAACAGGAGCGGACACAACCGGAGCAGAAAAAAAACGGGGGTTGCGCCCGAGACCGGAGGCGATTGCCCAATAGTACCGGGCCCCATGTCAGAGGGAATCCCTTAGATCACTTTTGGGTGAGCGCCCTTACATTTGCAAGCCGAGGGATCTTGGTGGCTGAAATGGGTTCTTCCAGAGCCTGGCCCCTCAAATTCCCCCACTGGCATGAGTTTTACCATCCAAGTCACCCTTCAGAGGTACGTGGGTTGCAGGGAAGCCACCAGCCAGCTTACGACTTGGATCACCCCCCAGAAACAGTCAACATAATGACCCCTGTTAAGGCGATTCAGTGGAACCCACCAGAAACATCATCGACTTCGTCACGACCGTTTTCCTTTGGTGCTCCGTCCAGGGTTGTTCCTTTGAGAATGAGAACATACATGGCCTCCAAAGTGATTCCTTTGATTCCTCAAAAGCTTTGCGATGCCCATCTAGAATCAACGGGGCATTCCAAAAAAGGTTTGATGAATCTGTCAACGTGATGCCAGTCTTCCAAAAAGGGGTCGAATCACCAATTTTCCAAGCTTTGCGTGAATTTGGCTTAAGGTGAGCTTTCCATGTGGCTCCCCAAAGGTCTGGGCATTTTGGTACCACCTTGCACCAAGTGTTTTTCTTCAGCGCCCCTCATAAAGGTTCCTTTCATGGAGTTGCTTGAATAGGAAGTTGCCCCAGAAAATGTGAACCCAGTGCTTCTGATGACAGTAGCCAAGGCAAACCACCATGAACACTCAAACGGGTCAACGCTTCGTACCACCTTACATCTCCCTTGACTAAAATGATGGTAACAACGACTCAATCGGGTCAACGCTTGATACCACCTTACATCTCCCTTGACTAAAGTGATTTCCTCAAAAACGTGAGTTTGTCCACTGGTTGGCAGGTAGTTTGCTGAATTGACGGTCTAATGGAGTCATGGTTTTGGCTTGTTTGGTGGCCACCTTGAAACCCCATCGCCCTCAACATTGTCCGCTCACCATGCCCACACCCAATTCACAAAACACCAGCAAGAACCATAAGAATTGTATCATGTAAACGATGAACAGCGCAATTGTAAAGACAGAACTGAGAATCGAACACACATTGACAGGTCAGGTGTTTTGGCGTCATGTTGTTTCGATCCAAGGGAGGGGAGAACGCAGGATTTGCATGGCTCCTCTGGCAACCCCAGGAAGCCTAACACAAACCGTAGGGTTGCCAAGGATCCTGTCTGTAACCCTGAATCCACCTCTTAGTTGTTCGAACAGACACGATATTGCGTACGATTGCATACTAGAATATTCCGTTTGTTGGTTTAGCTTTACCGGACTTGTGCGATCAAATGGCCCTATGCCTCGATTGTTTGCTTCTTTGTGAAAATGCGGTCTGTGGGTTTGATGCTCAATTTTGTTTGCCGCGGGGACACTAAAATCTGCATGCTTAATTAAGTAGTTTTGTTATCACTTCGGTTTGTTTACGGTGTCTTATTAGCTCCAGCTTCTTGTTCCTCCTCAAAGGGGTCATTACCCAAAATCAAGGGTTCTGATAGGCCCGTTTGTATTTTGGGTCCGAAGGAGACTCCAGGTTGTCCCCTTGTTAGCTTCCTTTTCCTGCTATTTTTTTGATATCCTTCTCACAAGGGTCCCTATATGTCCATTTTGGGCGGTTTTAACCATCACCTTTTTGCCCCTGAAAGGTGAGTGTTTTTTTGGGTGGTGATGTCTTAAAAACATCTAGGGAGTCCGGTATTCTAGTCTTTGGTGGAGATTTCCATTCAACCCACTAAGAGTTACACTGTGAGCGGGGGATCTCAAAACGGACAGCCCAGATTAGCGTCTTGTTCCTGGGAATCCTGTATTTGGATCACTCTGAGGACGGCCCAGATTAGCTTGTTGTTCCTGAGAATTCACAGGGGTCCCTATATTTCCATGTTTGGCAGTGCTGAAAATTGGAAAACCAGAGGAAAGCAAAGAGGCGCCAAGTTGGGGGAGGTCCTATTCTAGGTCCCCCAGTAGTGCCCTTGTACCCTTTATTGGGGGGAGGGTTCCCCCTACTAAAATGGACTATAGAAAAAGGGTTCCCTTATTCTAACCTCTCTACTGGAGAGGGATTCGGGTGCATCTCTGTCCTTTGCATTGGTAGGTTTGGTTAGAAATAGATGGGTTCGGCCGAAACAGCAACACATGCTGGATTTGGGACATCGGTACCTTGGTGGGGGCAGGGGGGCATGCGGGGGGGGGGGGTGGTTTCGAGTGTGGGGGGGGGGGGGGAGGTGGAGGGTTTTTGAGGGTTTGAGGGAGCCGTTGCCCAAGCCATCGTCGGAAGTCAGCTGCGTGTTCTGAAATGCGGACGCCGACCAAAAACCCCCCAGGGACTTGTATGTTAGCATTTATCAAAAGCCTGTTTTTTTGACTAACCTGCAAAAAAGACAAACAAAGCTTCGGAGCTTCCTGTTTAATTCCAGGGAGTGTGACCTCTCTACTAGAGGACTTAGCTTGACTTTTTCCTGTTTTCTCTGAAAACCCTGGAAAGTTTAAATCCATGTCGACTTCAATGGTTGGGGGAAAAACCCCTCAACATGTTGTCTTCCAGGTGGAGGTCCCAAAAGCCTCACGCCTCGCCTCGCCTCGAGGTGCAGGCGGGCATCCAGAGCTTTTTGGGCGCCCCCTCGCTGGAGCAGTACGCGCCCATCACGCAGCTGGCGGAACAGATCTTCGAGGCCCTGAGGCCATCGCCCGCGCGGTTGCGGAACATCATCCTAGGAGTCCAAGACCCTAACTACTGTGGATGGACGCGAAATCCATTTCGCATCACCCAAGAAACCCTGGTTTCTGATGATTCCCCTGCAAATACCAACAAACAATGGTTTCAACCATGGTTTCAAAGTGGTGCGAACGGATTTCGTCCATCCACAGTATGGGCTTTGAACTTTCGAAGGCCTCAACTAATACGGTCTTGGGCAATAGATGGTAATAGTATTGTGTTATCAATCAACATATGAGATTGTTCCCCAAACATACTGATATCAAACATATCGGACCCCCAATATATTAGTTGCTGGGCTGGGGTTGATTCATATTGGGTCAAGAGTATCTGGACCATCAAACTGCCCGTGAAGGGAGTTCACCAACCAACATGTTAGGGGCACTCACCCTTTTATTTTGAGGGAATTATGAGGGTCCAGGTGGATCTTTTTGTAGGTCGGATCCTCCAAAATGGAGTCGATTAAACCACAAAAAAGGCAGGGTAGCCCTCAAAAAGAAGATTCACCCATCTTACCCGTGTTCCCTTGGTCGGGTGCCATCGACAGGCCCTGGCTGCAGCAGCAGCCCCCAGCCGCGCTGGTCCTGCCGCGCACCCGCCGCTCCTTCGCAGTGCCGGCGGACGGGCGAAGCCCGGGCAGCCTGGCGTTCAGGCGGATGGGAAGCACTCGGAGTGTACCCAAAGTATCCTCTTTACAGAAGATGACAATGAGTGCTGACGCTTGCTCATTGGAGTTTGTCCCCGCAAGTGGGTGTTTCCCTTTGGGTAGCTCTTTAAAGCAACCAAGGAAAAGGGGTCCCTCAATCATCATCCATTGAATGACAGGTGTCTCTTTGAGAGAGCCACGCCAAAAGTCTACGATGACTGGACCCCCCGTGTGTCCAGAAAGAAGGATGCCTGAAAAGAATGGGGAAGGTAGCCCTCGAGCAGCGCGAGTTTTCGTGTTTCGCGCCTTTGCCTCTTCCATGGGATGGCGGACGTTCGCGAAGATTCTTTTAGCTGACACCACTGGGCCCGGCACCAATGCTGTAGCCTTTGACGGGGTCTTCCTGAAACAAAAGGACACGTGGCAGTTGTCTTTTTTTGTTTTGCAATTCAAAGAGCAAACAAAACAACGAGCAACAGCAAGAAACATTCATTCACCAAACAAGCAAACACATTCATTCACAGAAGTAAATCCACATAAAACAGACCAAACCACAAACCAAACTGCAAACCAGACCACAAACCAAACCAAACTAAACCACAAAGGCCACGTCGTGCCGTTTCGATTGGCTGCGACTAGTCGAGTTCGAAACCCGCGAGAGGCTCAGCAACGGCGTGGAGATGCCGGCCATCGGCTTCGGCACTTGGAAGCTGGAGGGCCAGGCGGGGGGTTGGGGTAGCGAAGGAGCACTACCTGGAACCTCGATTTAGCCATGACAAAAAAGGATTTCACCCATAAAAAAGGGATTTCACCCATAAAAACGGGATTTCGCCAACCACATGTTTTTCGCGTTGCAGCTTTAAGTTGGAATTTTGAGGATCCAGGTACCTGGTTTCATCAGCAGTATCCCATTTAATGCCATCTGCAAAAGTCGAAACGTGTGAAGCATGGTTTTATAGGTCGGCTCCGTTGTTTTTCTCCAGGCTTTGCGTCTGACTCAAAGAAAAACCTCGGTCCCGTCCGTTGGGCCCCTGGAGGTCTGGTGTCTCGGGTCGGGAAGCCCGCGCTTGAGGGCAACGACTGCTTGCCTTGGGCCGCCCCAAGCCTTTGTTTTGCCCCAACAGCTGAAAGCTTTAGGGTCTCAGCCCAGATAGGCTCCGGGGTGGTCTGGGGCGGCCCTGAGGTAAGGTTCCACCAGGGTTCCACCAGGGTTTTACTAGGGTTCCACCAGGGTTTTACCAGGGTTTTACCAGGGTTTCACCAGGGTTTTACCAGGGTTCCACGAGGTTTTGCGAGGGCTGCGGGGTGGTGCGAGCACTAAACAAAGCACGGCATGCTGTTGGGGATATCACCTGAGCTTATTTTTTCTTTGGGGGGGGGGGCCAGATTAGGATATGTCCGGCAGTCGTTTTTTTTCTTCTTATTTTTCTTGGGACTTCCCTCAGCCAAAAAATGGGATCCAAGAAAATAAAGAACAGCAATTGGTAGTTAAATGTTGGTTTTGAGAGGACAAGGGGGAAGACACACACACACACATACTTTCCCACGAAAACGCGTGGGCAAAAGTGATTTTGTCCAGAGATAGTATAAATTGGGACTCATGTTTCACGTTTTGACCAGCTTGAGCATCACCTTGTCACCTTGTTGGCCATGTGCAAATGTATTCCTTTCCGTGGAGTGATATATCCGTTACATGGCTGAAAGACATGTTGGCTCTACGTGTTTCTCTACTTGGGGGAATGCACATGTTGGCCTTAACTAGTTTCATGAACAGGTTGGCCGTGGCTCAAAATCCTGCACTAAAATGGCACCTTGTGAAATGGAACCAGAGACTAAAGCCTGCGTAACCCTACCTCCTAAATTTTGAGCCACACCCAGTTGCGCGGAAGCCCTTTTATGATTGGAGGGCCCCAATCATTTGGGGGGGAACGCAGGAGGACAATTTGACTGCTGTGCAGGAAGCCGTGTCCCTTAGAATCAGGGAGCCAATCCAGGGCTTCCTGCATGTCCCTTTTTGGAACCTCCAAAAGGGGCAGTTTTTGTGGCCACCGGTAAATTGATCAACTTCTTGTTCGGGACATCCAGCGAAGCCTGGAAAAAACCGTGTTTGAAGAGGAGCCCGAAGCATTGTTTTTGGCCATGAGGGGCATCATTTTTTTTCCCCATGCACCCGACCTCTGCCAGCGTGCGAGCAGGATAACATGGCTAGGAACCCCGGAGTGGAGCTGGTGGACATACATCACCGAACTCCCTTGGCCCAAAGCGAATCGACTGACCTTTTGCTCTTCCCACTTTGGTTCTTGTTTGGTCCTTTTATTTCAAGGTCCTTTGGGAAAGAAAGTACCACGAAGATGTCCCACCAAAATGAAACCCCACTCCACATATGTATATACCTGGGCCCTCCTAAGTATGCCTTTTTTGTGCTGTTTGGGCCAAAGGCTCCTTTTGGTGCAAACGACACATTTTTTCCCTCAGCGCATTTTTGCATATTTTGCCGTTTTGCGAAACCAGGATGAAGACGAAAAGGCGACACTGCCCGACCCAAAGGCGACATTCCCCGACCAAAAAGCGACATTTGCCGACCTCGTTTTGGCAAGATTTTGAAGTAGCACTTTTAAAAGGAAAAGGCTCTTTTTGGAGCAAACGACACAATATATAGCTTTTCCAGCAAACGGCAGAAAAAATGCACACCTGGAGGGTCTAGGTATATATATATATATATATTTGTTATGTATATATGTACATGCAAAAAACAGAGCTTCACGTGCCCTCGTATGCCAGGCCTGCTACGAGGCCGTGACCGCTGCATTGAGGCATCAGGGATCCGATGGATCGGAAGGATCAGAAGGATCAGAAGATTCACGGAGCCTCAGGAAGTTGTTTACTTTGATTGCTGTCCTTTGACCAAAGCAATTTTTGTCCAGAATTGGCACCCCTTTTTGCTTTTTTGCTTTTTGGGGGTCCGTTTTTTTGCGCTAACCTTGGTCCTAATTCCAGCCTAGTGTGAGAAGCCGGTCACTTTGTGGACATTGTTTTCCATTGCCTGGAGTCGCCCATGGAATCTCTCCGAATATCCGTGCCAAGCTGTCCGAAATCGAACAACAACAAGCACAGAGTTCGAAGCTGCTGTTGGATCACAGATTATTTCGCACCCGAGAGTAAGAAGATCGTTGCAACAAGTGGTTATATTCGTTGATGTGCGGCTGTTCTTTCTTTCAGGGTAGTCTTGTTGGTTTGTTTTTGAGGGTTTTGCCTTTAAACGGGCACAAACCATTTTTGGCCATTAAGACCTCCCACAAAAGGACACACCTTTGTGTAGAGACCCCCTCAAAAGTTGTTTCTGGACAAATTCCCCCATGTAGCTCTGATGCCCTCCGAAGGGGCGCCAATTGAAAAAAACACATAGTGTGGATGGGGTCCGAAATCCGTTCGCGCCACCGAAGAAACCCTAGAATGATGATTCCCCCTGTAAATACCAACAAACAACAGACAACACTGGGATGCTATGTTTTCTTAGGTGGTGCGAGATGGATTTCTTCCAGCCACAGTATGCCCCTTTTGGGTGGTTGTAAACATCACCCATTTCAAGGAACACATTTGAGGTATGTGTTGAATAGGACCCCTGGTTTCCCGTTGGTTTCCTGCTAAAGCCAACATTTGGACAGTCAGGCTGGGAATCCGGCACATTGACACTGCGGAAGCCTACCAGAACGAGGCTGAGATCGGCGCCTCGGTTTGGCCAAATTACCCTCCCCACCAAGGCACTAACCTGCGCCAACTCAAAATGAGTACTCTGAAAAAACAAACACTCACAGAGACATTTGTCTGTTTGGAAGGTGCAACTTTGCATATTGAAGGCCAATGTCAGGCCATTTCCCTGTGCCTAGAGGAGATTGATCTGGGTAAGCTCCCAAGGGGTGGCTCTGTTCTCGCCTGCTGGGGTGTTCAAGTGAGGTATAGCCACGTTTACCAGGACGAATTCCAGTAGTCATTGTCAAAGAAGCAGAAGCAAGTAACGAGCGTGCCGGGACACACCAAAGTAAAGGGAAACCACCATTTACAAGGCAATGTTCAGGTGTATAATGTAAGGATCCCTGTGGGACCACATGAGCTGGAGCCATGCTGGTTCTAATCTACTAAGTAATGTTCACCCAAAAAAAGTTGACAAGCGGGTGACAAAATGGATTGAATGTCAGCCAGGCAGTTCAACCATCCTGGGTTCACATCAACTGGGCTGTAAGTCCACTTACTGGGATGGTCTTGGTTTCTTGCTTTGCTTCTTATTCTCCTTCTCTTGCTTCTTCTCCTTCTTCTCCTTCTTCTTCTTCTTCTTTTTCTGCTACTTCTTATTCTTGGTCTGATTCTTCTTCTTCTCTTGGTTTCTTGCTTTGCTTCTTATTATCCTTCTCTTCCTTCTTCTCCTTCTTCTCCTTCTTCTCCTTCTTCTCCTTCTTCTCCTTCTTCTTTTGTTTGCTTCTTCTTGTTTTTGTTGTTCTGATTATTATTCTTCTGTTTTCTTGTTGTTTTGCTTTCTTCTTGCCCATGCTCACTGACCTTTGGATTTCCCTGTCGCCGTATGGCAGACCGCGAAGTTCAGCGCTTCGTTGCCAACGTGACAGCTTGGCCTCAGGTATTTGTTGTGGTGTTTCTTGTTTTAGTGGACCCCCCAAACCGAATGCCGGTGTTCGTGCCTTGGTGAGGTTCCCAGCAATTCATCCAATTAAGCTTAGGTGTTTATATGTTTTTACTTGGTTTAGTGCCCACAAGTTAAACCTTTCGCAGGGGATCAGAAAACGGACAGCCCAGCTGTTATTTTCCTCTTAAAAGCACAAGTTGTGCCTTAGCTCCGATCCCTCAGGAGCGGGACTTAGGTGAACTGTGGGAATCCGATCCTCAAAAACGTTTCGTGTGTCTTTTCTTCTCACTCCCTGAGTTCCTGGAGGAGCTGTTTGGGAAGACCATGTTTCTGGAAAACAAACAGTTTGAACTTTTTTTTGTGGAGTTTCAGTGTTGCCCACGAAAGCTCCGCGAAAGTGATCATTGCAAAGCACATGCCCGCGAAAGTGACATGTGTGGCCACGAAAGCATCGTGAAAGGTTCCGCGCTTGTTCGTAGAGGGTCTTATGTGCCCTATTTTCGGCACCGCTCACGTGAGTTTTCATGGTACCCTTTGTCAGCTGGTTTGAATGGGGAACAGACTTGGACAATCAACATCGTTTTGTGGGTTCCCTATTTTGAGACAACCCCATCTTCAGTCAAGGGAAGTCAATGTTCATGGCAAACTGCCACGTAGCATCAAATCGAAGCCTAAAGAGGATGAGGATAGTTCTTTCTCTTAAACAACACGTATCATGCCATCGATCCTTTTTTGCTTTTTGAGGGGTTTTCTTCTTGTGGCTCCTTTTCGGCACTTTTGCGGACACGGAGAATTCACTCCTTGAACCTCTGACCCTTGAATAATATGGGATATGTTCTGCTATTGTGATCGATTTGCATAATATCAAAAATCAACCACAATTATCCATTTTACATAAACCAAAAAAAGAAAGAACAACAAAAGAAGAAACACAACAGCCACACTTTGTTCCAGTCGCTCGATGCGCCTCGTGTTTCTGTTGCGGCCGAGGCCGCGCGCTGAGGGAGGCCCAGGTGCCCAGGGAAGAAGTCTTCCTGGCGACGAAGGCCACCTCCGTGGCGCTGGGAATGGCGGAGACCCAGCGCCTCGATGCAGCGGTGGCCGGCACGGAGCGGTTCGCAAAGGGTGTCCTTTTTGGTGGTTTGGCTGGGAAAAGGTGTCGTTTTTGGCGGTTTGGCTTGAACAACAGATGGCGATTCCTGGTTTACCTGGTGGTCTAATCATCTACCAGGGCCATATTATATATATATATATATACACCCCTAAAAGGACACCTGTGTGTAAGCGGTTCACTTGGCTCGATTCTTGGTTTGCAGCTCTTCTTGCTTTTTGCGATAGGTGTTTTTTCAATGAAATGGAAGGATTACCCAGGCTTTGACCCTGGAATAAAGGGAAACCCACCCTTGTTGCATGGTTTACATTGGGTCCTTCCGGATTTCTCATTTTCCGATCGCATCTCTTGCAGCGAGCGCAACTCTTTGGGGGAGTCTTGAGGCGTTCCGGAGGCCACCCAGAGCCCGTAACTGGCGATCGGTTCGATCAGCAGGGAATGAGTTGGAACCCTGAGAAAGGTCCTTCCTGAGAAATGCACCAGCAAGCACTGATCCAGGATCTAAGCAGAACCCGTTTCTTCTTCTATTTTTTGGCCGCTTAGAAATTGAGCCTCCGAATTTCTTGGTGGAAAAGGCCGGCAAGCGGTAGGTTACAACTGGGGCAACGGGGTTCTTCCCCTTTGATATTAGCTACTTTCTAGCTTGAACACCCAGGCGGGCATGCGCCAAGCGCAGTTTCTGTGCCCTCTTACCCGGAAGGTGAATTCCCCAAATTTCAAGGGGAAGGTGGTCGTTTTTGAACGCGTGTTTCGGCTCGTTTTTGAACGCGTGTTTTGGCTCGTTTTTGAACGCGGTTTTGCTCAAGTGTATGTGATTTACAGCAGCACGGCCGTTTTCCAAGTGTCCATGCACACCACGATGAGGCGCACGAACACGCACCACGATGCACGTGTAGCACATGGATGGCGCCGTGCTTTTGGGAGACAATCGTCAACTGTAGACCCGGGAGCACAAAGCAGAAGGAACGCAAAGCGACATCATCATCATCATCATCATCATCATCATCATCGTCAACATCACCATCATCATCATCATCGTCGTCAACATCATCATCATCATCGTCACCATCATCATTACCATCATCATCAACATCGTCATCATCACTACCAACAACATCACCATCATCAACATCAACACCAACATCATCATCACCATCATCAACATCACCACCAACATCTATATCATCATCATCAACAACACCGTCAACATCACCATCATCATCATCACCATCATCATCACCATTATCATCATCATCATCAACATCACCATCGTCAAAATTTTCATCAACATCGTCAACATGAACATCATCACCATCATCATCATCATTAACAACATCATCACCATTATCAACATCAACGTCGACATCACCATCATCATCGACATCATCAAAGTCATCGCCATCGACATCCTCATCGGCAACATCAATATCATCATCATTAACATCATCACCATCATCATCAACATCATCACCGTCACCATCATCATCATCATCATCAACATCATCATCATCATCAACATGGTCAACATAATCATCATCATCATCATCATCATCATGACCATCATCATCAACATCGTCATCATCGCTACCAACAACACCGCCGTCACCACCAGCGCGCAGTCGCACGGTCACGCAGTAAGAGGCGAACGTAACTGCCCCACCCCATCCCCCCCCCCTCAGGACGCAGTCGCACGGTCACGCAGCAAGAAGCGAACGTAACTGCCCCACCCCACCCCCCCCCCCCCCAGCCCCAATACGCAGTTGCGCCGCCACGCAGTAAGCGGCGATCGCAATTCCAGGAGGCTCCGATTCGCAAGTTACTTAGGCCGTATGAGCTAAGGAGGTTTTTTGTGTCGCGAGGACAAGATAACTCAGAGCTTGAAATTTCACGAGTTTTCACGGCTTTTTCACGGAGTAGTAGCGGCCTTTCAGTTTCCCGCGCGAGTTATTACGGCCGTTAGACCGTGCTTTCACGGCTTTACGGGGGCCAACGGGCGCAAGTCGCCGAGGACATCTTAGCTCAAAAAGCCAAGGTAACTTGGGACTCGGAGCCTCCTGGTTGCCCCCTTCCCCCAGGGCGCAGTTGCACGGGCACGCAGTAAGAGGCGAACGCAACTGCCCCACCCCACCCCCCCCCACCCCACGGGTGCCGCAGGATAGCCCCCCCATGTGTTCGAAAATGACCCACTCTGTGTTCGAAAATGATCCAGGACATCGGTGTTCGAAAATGATCCAAAATCGGTGTTCGAAAATGATCCCCCTCCCAATTTCAAGCAAGCACCCCCCTGTCATGGAACAGAGGTGGTCTTAGAATGCAGGAGTTTCTCCAGGCAGGCATTCGCCAAACCGCTGGGTGTTTTTTGCGGCTCACTTGCAACCAAAGCAAATCGACCTGTTGACTAAAACTCATGGCCCCAAAAGGTTAAACCTTTATTTCTGGGCAAAGGGGCAACGAGCTGGGCATGTGGCTAATTTCCTGGATAATTTCTAGGCGATGGTTTCTTAGAGATGCGTATTAGCCATGGTTGTGAAATGGGGTGGGGTGGGGGGTGGGGGGTGGGGGGTTAGGGTTAGGCCCATTTTTTGTGATGCCAACATCATCTTTTCTGGTGACACATAAAGAACGATTTTCCATGAGGGTACCACGTTTTTAGGGATCCCCCTACTTTTGCCCACTTATTTAGCCAATCCTGTCATCCCAATGGTTAGCGAGTGGGAAGGATGCTGTACGCAAGAGCGCCTCACCCCATCTTGCTCAGGTATTTGGATGCGATCTTTGCGAATCAGTTGCAAGCCCTGCAGACGGATTACCTAGCAACCCGGCTTCCCAAGCCAGGCCACATGTCCGATGTTTTAGGGAAACCCAAAAAAATACAGCAAACAAGCTCGTCGGCCGTTTGGTGAGTAGTGCGGAGTGAAACTAGAGAGCACAGTTCATGCCTGTTCCAGCTTGAAGGGATTTAGTGACGACGTTGGCTTGGGGACCCCGAAAACAGAACATTTCTAAAGTTGTCTCCAAATAAGTTGTTTCACCCGAGTCCAAACATGGTCATAGCAGCTTCTGGAGAATTCTGATGCATGGAGCCCTTCAACAGGTGGTTCCTGAGACACGGAGGTTCCTGTTCTGGTGGTTCTGGCGGATCAAAAAGGTTGGTCAGTTGGACTATCCTGGGCTTGCTCATGCCATAGAGGAAACTCCCTGCTAGATGTTGTGGCATTCGGGAAACCGAGAAAGATGCACAGATGTGCACACTCAACACAGCGTTCCCCAGTGAGATACAGTTAGCACGTTGTGAGTTTGCCCCATGGCAAACATCTGCCCAAGGGGGGTCCTTTTGTTACATCAGTGAAGGACTGAAACCTTCGTTTTCAGGCCCAGAAGGGGCATGGCTCGGTTTTTTTTGTGTTGAGCGTTTGACCGGGTGTGTCTAAGTCTTGGCCCCCCGTTTGTGGGGAACCCCTTCCCAACAAGGCGTCCCAATGCACCACCGGGGTGCTGAGAGGTCGCATTGATGCATTGATGGTGCTGACCCGGGCTGGCTCCGAACCGCACCAAACCAGAAACCCGGTACGCTTCCTCCCACGTTGCCATGGCACCTGCTGGAGTCGGAGGGTATTTGGAAGATCAGTTCCCTGAAGGGACCCCTTGTCAGGTGCCATGGCAAAGCCGGTCTCCTGCAAATTGATCTTGTATGTTAGGGTAGACGACATATCACTGTAGGACAAAATTAAGCAACCAGGGGACCGCAAGTTTTAGTTCATGTTTCCATTTACCGGGTTTAATTTTGGGTACCTATTTTTGACCCACAGCCATATGTTTTCTGTGCAGATTCAGGCCGAGCCTTAAGACGAAGTGAATGACAAGTGGAAGCCTGACGGCACGTTCTCTCAAGGATGTCTACATGCTCCACGCGGCCGGCGTTTCGGGGGAGAAGCTGCAGGAAGTGTGGAGGAGCAAAAGGGTGAGGAACGAGGTTGCTGGAGGTGATTTCAACAATAGGTGCTTGACTAGGTCCCCCAGCAGTGCCCTTTTACCCTTTTTTTGGGGAGGGTTCCCCTACTAAAATAGACTACAGAAACAAGTTGGTACCCTTATTCTAACCTCTCTACTGGAAGACCTAGTTGAATAGGTTTGATCATGGTGCTGAGATCTCACGAGCACCCAAATGGCGGACAGCGTTTGAACCGCTTGGTTGCAGTTGGTCTGTGACCCCTGCGTGGCTAGTTGGGGGAAGGGCCTCCCGTTCCAAACCATCTGGTTGAGAAAAGGACACATGGAGCAAAATGGTCTGAACAGTATTTAAAAAAGCTGCTTGCTTTTGTATAGCTACTTGGTTTTCTTGATGTTTACAGATAATATATTTGTCATGCAGAATTCTTACGTCTGTGATCCTGACAAAGCGCTGCATTCACGGCAAAGGAACATGCCAACTTGCAAAGCTCGGGTCCCCTGATGCAGCTTCACTTCGTAGGCTTCTCCGTGGTTTTGGGCTAGTGAATGGTTAGTATCCAGTATCCCCTGTGTGTGTGTTCACACACAAGGATCGAGCATTTGGGAACGAGAACGTCGCAGAATGGGTGACATGTGGTTGGCTTCCCGGTAGAACCAAGGGGGTTGCCCAGATTTGGATTAGCCTGGCTCCAAAGCAACTCATGTTTTGCTCGCGGAGCACGGAATTGCATCCCTCGCAAGTGTGGGAACCCCAAGTGAATGGACGGTTAAACTTGCAATTCGACACGGATGAGTGTTCTTGCATTCTGGTTTAAGGCATTGTTTTCGAGCGCACCACCAAGCCATTGGAAACTTGTAAACGTACTATACTGCTATTTGTATATTCATTAGCACAATATACACATATCATGTGTATATATATATACACATGCACAGAGCAGTATCTATATATTTGTGTACACATACACAATTATTATACAAATTTACATGTATACATGCGTAAAAACTGTATACACCATATACTACATATATATAATTTGTACAACTACATACTATAATATAATACATACAAAATATAATATACATATTCATATATATATATATATATATATATATAAATACTTCTCGCACTCGCGGGAGGAACATGGAGCGCCTCGTTGACCTCGGCCGAGTGCGGGCGCTGGGGGTGTCCAACTTCGGCATCGAGGCGCGCTGCCGAAGTTCACACGACCAGTGTCCAAGAGATCCTTCGAAGGAGTCTGAGAACCATGATTTCCCTACTTCAACTTTGGTGCGTGTTGCTTCGAAGTTAGGACTTTTGTTTTTTGTTAACTAATGGGTTTTCCATTAAACCACTAAAAGTTAAACATGAGTGTTGTTGGGAAACAGTTTTCCCATTTTTGCTTATTGTGGTTGAGTGGTTGAAATCCAAATCCAGTCAACTGCTAAAATTTACATGTTTGCTCCCCTTCCAACGTCAACCAAGCTGAGAACCATGATTTCCCTACTTCAAGTAGGAAGAGTTCCACTGCCCCAGCAGGCTTATTAGCGCCAGAGCAAGGATTACAACCTCGGCCACGCCGTGGGAAGAGTTCGCCCATGTCCCTTGTCAAGGTTTTGCTAAGGAATTCGTTCCTGCACATGCAATGGGTAGCATGTTTAACTGCAAAACCCCGAATAAGGTCATGTTATTCTTCAAATCCAAAATTATGTTTAATGCCTCAATAAGCCGCTAGTAACGACTGTATGAGGTTTTTTGGGGGGGGACCCTTAGTAAGGCCCTAATCACTTTTCAATGATGCACTATGAAGGCCTTGCGGCCGATTCAGGCCTTATGCTGGAACTCAGAATTTGGGGGGGAGGTTGGGGAGCTTTGGGGGGGAGGCATGGTATGCTGTGAGCTTGTTTCCAGTAGCAAAGACGTTGCCTCAATTACTGGATGCAGCTCCAAAAATTGGGCAGCCACGAGTTGATGTGTGCAAACACATGCTCAGAAATGCGGGGGGATTCCCAACAGAGACCAAATGGGTCCTGGTTCGTTTCCTTGACGCAGCGAGCACCAACAAAAACGCATACCTCGTGTTCGAACGAGGGCCAACAGTCCACTGGAGTCATGTGCTAAAGTTGAGTCACAGGGCCAAGCGTTTGGTCTTTTCGAAAGCCTGAATCACCCCTTAGGTGTTTTTGAAAAGCCCATCGGTGCTTTCCAAATCGGGGACGTCAAGTTCAAAACTTAACTTAGGTTTGCAGGCCTGGAAAGGGACGCACGTAAAAAAAAAGGCGAAATAGGCCAGCAGAGTTTGACAAGGCCTGTACAATCTGAGAAAGACTAGAAACAGCGACCAGGGAAGGTGAGGGTAGGATAATGTTTTGCTTACCATTGGTGAAGATGTGAATGTAAGAAGACCAGCCAACCAGTTCAGGTTTCCCGAGAATAGGGTCCAGCGTAGGGCTTTATCTACGTTTGTGAAACAAACACATGGACAAGTACGTCCAGTGTTGCCAATTTGGAAAGCTCTCCAAGGCTCTAATCATCTTCATGTGCTTCATTCAAGAATGGCTCCTGGTCAAGCTCTAACATCAAAGGCTTCTGTGGGTAATAGGGCCACCTCTCGCAACATTGTGGCAAAATTATAGAGATCTCACCTTTGGGGCTTCCGCGATTTTTTGGGAAGCCTGTACAGGTGTTCAAGCAGTAAGCTTCCAGATCTAGGCTGAGGCAGGCTCACCAGGGTCGGAGCTAGCGTTCAAACCGAAGCTTCGCGGGGAGTTCTCCTGTCCGAGGCCGTTCCCGGTTTGCTTTTCTTTTGCGTTACGGACATGCTGGAAGCGCTCGGGCTTTAGGGTTTAGGGTTTAGGGTTCACATAAAAATTTGACCTAATATGAATGGCTCCTGTATTTCTTTTCTTCCAGTTGGGGCGTCCAACTGGGTTTGGGGAAGCAGACCACTTTTGGATGGGCCAAAACCCACCCCCCGATGAAGAAGCTGGGGGTGCTTCATAGCTCGTTGAGACACGCTCGCTCATCCGGCCCGGAAGGCCAGAAGTGCTGTTGAAAACTTGGCGAATCGTCCCCAGCGGAGCGTCCGGGTGAACGTGGGCTTTTAGGTAGGTGGTTCGTCGGTGTAGTGGTTGGGTGTCCGAATTTAGCCCACTGAAAGCGAACGTTTTTTAGCAGGGGATCTGAAAACGGACAGCCCAGTTTGCTGGGGAGTTTCTGTTTTTTTCCCGTTTGGGAAACTGAAGCTTTTAAGTCATTTGCCCACATTGGATGGTCCAGCGCTAGTATTGAAACCTGTCGCGCAGGAGTTGGAAGCTCTGTGGGCCTTTGCGCGAGTGAAGCCGGTATACTTGCAGAACATCTTCAAAGTCTACAAGCGCCTTGGGGGTGGGGTGGGGTGGGTTGGGGGCGGGGGTGGGTTGGGGGTGGGGGTGGGTTGGGGGTGGGGGTGGGTTGGGGTGGGTTGGGGGGTGGGGGTGGGGCAAATGGCCTGTCAAAAGCTGCAAAGGGAGCCCTAGGATCCCTCCAAATTGGCGGGACTTCTTGAAGTTGGCCGTTTGGGTAGTTCTACTGGGGGAAACTTGAGGGGTGCGCCCAAGTTTCTCGCAACCAAAAAGGGAACTTGAGTCAAGAGGGGTGTAGGGACCTCAATGTGGATCCATTGTGGGTAACATCCACGTGTGTCAGAAGGCGCAAGGTGTGCTATAATTTTCTCAAAACCCACTCCATTTCTCAAGTTGCCCATGTACCTATTGGGCAAAGACACCATTTGGTCCCTGCGTCGAAGCGAGCCCGCATCTCGCTTCTCTTTTCACTCCGTTCCAACGGATGCTATTGGCAGTCCCCAGAGTTCGGCCAAAAGTTGTGTGAAGTTCGCTCTGAGATGGCTTTGCTCAGCTGCCTTCCCATAAATGGCGGCCATTTGGCAGCCAGTGGGGGGGGGAGGGGGGCTCCTGGTTTTCTTGCTGGTTCTCAGCAGGGAAGGGGATGACCCCGATACACCATCCCCGATTTCCCTTAATGGGGAATCCCCAAACGGAATCGCACCAGCAAGAGAAGGATATTTCAGGGAATCACTTCCAACGCCACAACATGCGGCCCTACAAAGAATCCACCCCTAAGGTTACACCATCTATTGGCACCGCGCTTCGCAGAGCTGAGGCAAGGCGAGCAGATCCTGGGGAAGAGCCCTTTGAGCGTGCTGGACTGGGCGCAAGAGCACGGCGCCTTGATCGGCGGTTGGGTTTTTTGGGGCCTGAGAAAGACAGCGGAGAGGGGCCCTTCAACCTAGTTACCTTCCAATGCGGTTCAGAATGTTCTGAGCTGAATGTTGTTTGATTTGTTGGTCTTTTTTTGCCGTGAAGAACGGCATGTTAGCAGTTGGGAAGCTGAGGTGTTTCTCACCATTGGCCCCTCCGATCAACCCAGTGGCAGTTTTTGGGACCTCCAAATCTGTGCTCGGCGGGCTCCCCACCATCTGAGATGTTTTCCACCCCCACACTACCACCTTCATGGGATTTTCAACCACTATTTCACCCATATATATATATATACATGTATATATACATATATACACACATAGTAAAGGGGATAGACTCAGTTTCCCCGAAGGGTAGTGATTTGGGAGTCCATCTCGAACCCTAGCAAATGGTCTTGCACCCCAAAAAGGGGGTCCAATGGTTTTCTTACCAGCGCCACTGGGTGGATGCTTGCCCATTCGACTCCCTGGCTGGTATTCACAGACAGGGTCCTACCTTTGGAATCGCAAGCGCTCTCTCAACAAAAAGTACAAGGACGTGCTTTTTCCTGCGTGGAGAAGCCACTGAGCCACTGGAATCACATCCCTTTGTTGTTCACTAACTTTGGGGTTGCCAGTTCGGAAGATCTCCCTTCTGAATCAAATCCTTGTACAGAAGTTTAGAGCCCTCTTAATCCATTGTTCAGGCAAGCTCTAGCAAGCCCACCATTTGACGGGTGAGATTTCCAGCAAGCACTCTGCCGAGATTCACATCAGACAGGGTGGAATGGCAGATGAACAATTAGACTCCAGGAGATGGAGATTCCTGGCTGACGAGTCCTTGTACCAGTAGAGCCGGCGAAGCCGGTGGGCGGAAGTTTCAAAAATATAAAAACTATAGTTCTCTTTCTCATTCTTTTCTTGACTCTTCTCTCTTCTTCTGCCTTTTCATTGTTTCATTTTTCTCCGTCACTCTTCCTTTCTTCCTTTATTTCCTTCCTTCCTCCCTTCTTTCCTTCTTTCTATCTGTCTTTTCTTTCTTTCTTTCGTTTGCTTGCTTTTGTGCTGTTCTTTCTTTTGTCTCTTCTCTGTCTATCTATCTGTCTATCTATCTATCTATCTTTCTATCTTTCTATCTATCTATCTATCTATCTCTTGTTTAATATATCTATCTATCTATCTATCTGTCTGTCTGTCTATCTACCTATCTCTCTCTCTCTCTCTATCTGTCTATCTTTTTATCTCTATCTATCTATCTATCTATCTCTCTCTCTCTATCTATCTCTCTATCTATTTATGTATCTATCTATCTATTTACCTCTCTATCTATCTATCTATCTAATTTATTTCTCTATCCAGCTACCTATCTATCGATCTATATCTCTATCTCTCTTTCTATCTATTTATCTATCTATATATCTCTCTATCTATCTATCTATCTATCTGTCTATCTATCTATCTGTCTATCTATCTTCTGTTGGTTTATCTATCTAACTATTTATCTCTTCATCTATGTCTCTATCTCTCTTTCTTTCTATATTTCTATCTCTCTATCTCTTTCTTTCTATCTGTTTATCTCTCTATCTCTTTCTCTATCTATCTGTCTATCTATCTATCTATCCATCTATCTCTCCATCTATCTCCCGCGTGTCTATCTATCTATCTATCTATCTATCTATCTATCTATCTATCTATCTATCTATCTATCTATCTATCTATCTATCTATCTATCTATCTATCTATCCATCTATCTCTCCATCTATCTCCCGCGTGTCTATCTATCTATCTATCTATCTATCTATCTATCTATCTATCTATCTATCTGTCTGTCTATCTGTCTATCTCTTTATCTATCTATCTCTATCTATGTATCTCTATATCTCTATGTCTGTCTACCTATCTATCTATCTCTCTCTCTATCTGTCTATCTATCTATCTATCTATCTAATCTATCTATCTATCTATCTATCTATCTATCTATCTATCTCTCTATCTCATTATCTCGCGTGTGTTTATCCATCTCTCCATCTCCATATATATATATATATATATATTTCTAATTATCTATAGATCTACCTATCTATCCATCTCTCTATCTACCTCTCTATCTCATTCTCTCTACCTATCTATCTATCTACCTCTCTATCTACTCATTTATTTATCTATCTATCTATCTATTTATTTATTTCTCTACCTATCTACCTACCTATCTCTCTCTCTCTCTATCTCTGTTTCTATCTATTTATCTATCTCTCCATCTATCTATCAATCAATCTATCTATCTATCTGTCTATCTACCTATCTGTCTGTTTATCGTGTATCTATCTATTTATTTATCTCTCTATCTCTCTATCTACCTATCTATTTATCTATCTCTTTTTCTTTCTATTTATCTATCTCTCTATCCTCTCTCTCTCTCTCTATCTCTCTATCTTCTAGCCCTCTTTGTATCTATCTATCTATCTATCTATCTCTCTATCTCTGTATCTCTCTCTCTCTCTCTCTGTCTATTTATCTATCTATCTTGCTCTCTGTCTCTCTCTCTCTCTCGTTATCTATCTGTGTATCTATCTATCTCTCTCTCTCTCCATCTATCTTTCTATTTTTATTTTTTTTCTATCTATCTCTCTAGCTATCTCTCTATCTGTCTATCGATCTATCTATCTATCCATCTATATATCTGCACTTAAAAGTTGCGATTTTCAAGCCCCAGCTGCGAAAGTGGACTTCACGTACTACTTTCGTACTTAAAAGTTGCGATTTTCGAGCCCCAGCTACGAAAGTTGACTTCGCGTACTACTTTCGTACTTAAAAGTTGCGATTTTCGAGCCCCGGCTGCGAAAGTGGACTTTGCGTACTACTTTCGCGATTTTCAAGCCCCAGCTGCGAAAGTTGAGTTCGCGTACTACTTTCGTACTTAAAAGTTGCGATTTTCGAGCCCCGGCTGCGAAAGTTGACCTTGCAAAAGTGCTGCGCCTGCCAAGAAATCTGTACTTGACCTTGCGAAAGTGCTGCGCCTGCCACGAAATCTGTACTTGACCTTGCGAAAGTGATGCGCCTGCCACTAAATTTGTACTTGACCTTGCGAAAGTGCTGCGCCTGCCACGAAATCTGTACTTGGCATTGCGAAAGTGATGCGCCTGCCACTAAATTTGCACTTGACCTTGCGAAAGTGCTGCACCTGCCACGAAATCTGTGCTGCGCCTGCCACAAAATCTTTGCGAAAGTGCTGCGCCTGCCACGAAATCTTTACTTGACCTTGCGAAAGTGCTGCGCCTGCCACGAAATCTGTGCTTGACCTTGCGAAAGTGCTGCGCCTGCCACGAACTCTGCACCTGACCTTTCGAAAGTGTTGCGCCTGCCACGCAATTCAATCCTTGGGAAAACTTGACCTTGCGAGAGTGCTGCGCCTGCCGCGAAATCTGCACCTCACCTTGCGAAAGTGCTGCGCTTGCCACGCAATTCAATCCTTGCGAAACCTCCGCGTTGCCGTGCCAATGGGCCCGCGCTCCGAGCATGGTCCGAGACTGCCCGAACGCGCTCCGAACGCGCTCCGAACGCGCTTCGACCAGGCGCCGCGAACAGGCTAGCTTCCAGCTCTCCGGAGACACCAATTCACGCACGGGGCCACGCTTTTTGCAGATTCCTTACTCCCACCACACGCGCGCGCATATTTTCTCGCGTGCTGATTCCTTCTCTTCATCTGTCTCAGCGAGAGCTGGCTTTCAATTAGTTGCCGTAACACGGAAGTTCCTTCTAAACTTCCTTTGATGAGTGTGTCTTTTTTCAAGGGTACCCTCTTGGGTGGTATTTCAAGAAAACCGAAGAAAAAACCGGCATTTCGGGGGGTCCCGATTTTAAGAGAAATCCAGAGGTGCTAAGGGGAACCCCTGCATCCAACGCCAGTTCAGCCTTTGCAATGCAATATCTCACTTTTCCAAAACGAATGGACCTTTTTGCTTTTCTCACTCCCTGAGTTCATGGACTTTGAATTGTTCGGGAAGACCATGTTCGTGGTACAACAAAAAATTGGACTTTTCTTGGCCAGTCCACTCAGGAATTTAGTTTTCTGCGATTTGGGGAGGTGTTTTTTTAGTCATGAACGAAAAAAGGTTAAACTTTTAGTTCCAGGTTCTTTGGGCAACTGAGAAATATTCGCCTGTACGTGGTCATGTGAGGTTCAGTGAAGATATGCAGCAGTCTATGCTTTGAGGGAACCAGGGTAAATCAAATTTGGACCATGGCACACATGTTCCGTTTGAGAATGCGAGGATTCATGAGCAAATCTCCACCCCCAGGGGCTTAATGGAATATGCAATCACTGTATTATGAATATGATATGAGCACATATACATATAAAATACATGTATGCTATTACACACTGCCAATATAGAAAGGGTATATACCCCGTTTTCTCCTGGGGGTAGTGTAGTGAAAAACCACCTTAGACAGGAAGCACTGCATTTGGGCATGGACCTGCTGTTTCGGCATTCCTTGCCTGAAGACAAACAAACACCTGGCCCTGAGCCTTGCCCTTGTGCTTGCTGCGCTGGGTGTTGGGGTTTGGATTGGTGGTTTGGTGTTCGAAACCAAATTCAGTTCCCACCGATCCACACCACCCAGCTTTGGGTGAGATTTGATCTCGGCAGAGGCATGGTGATGGTGGGCTACAGTACCATCAACTCCTGGCCCCACCTCCTGCCGCCCCTAGAGGACCGTAATGAGCTGCTTCGGGGTACTTGTTTTAAAAAAATAAGAAAGGAGTCCAAGTGATGGCAGAGAGAAGATGCAAAATGATGGTATCTGGAAGCCCTAACACATTGCAGGCAACATTGGTTTAGGGTTTAGGGTTTGGACAATGAGGTCTCATGATGTCTTGCTTTGGCAAACGATTTGGCTTTCTGCAGAGCCCATTTGTTTCAAGAATGCAGGCAATTAAACTTCCTCAAAGATGCATCTTGATATCGTTGACCGGTCTGTGGTCAATCTGGGTTTTGGGTTTCCAGGCCATGGGAAGAGCGGCAAAGAGCCGTCCTATTTGCCATGTCCCATGTAAGGCAACCGAGGATGACACTGGGGCGATTTCGATTTGTGCCAGCCGTGGCTCACATTAGAAGGGGGACACCATCCATGAAACAGCACCCTTTTTGGGGGGGGGAGATCCACATCTTAAGATGGCATGTGGTGTCAAAAAACCAGCCATGTTCAGAAGGGCGCAATGTGCCGAGGCTTGTCCACTTGAGGCACATGGAGTAGTTTGGGTTGATGCCATGGACAATCCGACACGAGGGCCATGGGTTTTGACGCAAACATCAGGCAGCCCTTTGGTTCCTGAGGGGGAAATGGGAACCCCAACCTTCACACCTCACCGGGAAACAAAAAACAAAAGCCTCAGAAACAAGGCGCACCTCAAGCAGTCATCTACCCCTTACACCACTTGAGTCATTCCCCCCATGGCAAATGGGCATATCATTTTTTAGGACCGTTCACCAAAACAGCTGCGTTTTTAAACCCATGTGGTTTCCCTTGAAGCGCCAAGCCGAAAGCTCAGCTTCCCTCCAACTGGTGGCTTGGAGGGAACGGTTTCCCACCCTCAAGAATCAGAAGTTTGAATCCTCCGAAGTTCGAATCCCCAAGTCCTGCCAAACCCAACCCGATGAAAGGATGCCCTCCCACCACCTAACATGGAAGTGCACAAAGCCCCTTTCCAAGAGGAAAGTCGTCTGCAGGGTAAAGTCTGCGCTTCCCAAGGCTTCGTCGATTAGTCGGTGGGAGGGAAAGCAACAGGTCGCCTCAAGCACAACTCGAACCTGTCACATCGCTTTGGGTCTCCAGCCAAGAACCTTCCAGGATCCGCACGTACTGCAAGTGGCCTCGGACGTGCAAAGGACGCCCTCACAGGCTGAGGGCACAACGGGACAGGGGGGCAAACGTGGGGAAAACGTGGTTGGGCTCATTATATTGACTTCCTGGGTCTGGGTTCATTATATTGACTTCTCGGTTCCCAGCCATCCGCTTCAACTTAGGTGTTGAGTTGTCTTCAGTTGATTTAGTGGTTGGGTTTTAACCTGCGAACAGTTCAGCTTTTCGCTGGGGATCTGAAAATGGACAGCCCAGGTTTCTGGGGGTTAAACTATGTTAAAGTCAGAAATCGGGGCAAGTGCCATGGACACTTGGAGTCTAGTTGGCCCACACCCCAAGAAGAAGTGAAAGGAAGGAGATACCCGAGAAGAAAAAAAACACAAAATTGCCCATACGGGAAGTGCCAACTTGTACCCACTTTTTTGGGGGAGGGTTCCCCTACTAAAATAGACAGAAAAAGGTGGGTACCCGTATTCTAACACCTCTACTGGAGGACCTAGTTTCCCTTTCAACTCAACCAAACAAGCAAGAAAGGTGCCCTTTTCACCCAGGGAACAAAGGTGCCCTCTTTTCCCAGGGAAATCCACTAACGCGCACTTAGTTGCACTGAGCGAGTGGCAAAGACAAAAAGGGGAAATCCACTGAACTTCTTCCCTTTGAAGGCAAGTCAGAGCAATTACCCAGAGGTGCTGCACCGCTGGGCGCTGCAACACGGCGTGGCCGTGATCCCAAAGGCCGAGTTGGTGGGGGGTCGTGGGGTTTCGGTGTGGAGGCCAGAGGCGAAGGGGTTTTTCGCGGAGTGGCTAGATGTGTTAGATGATTTGGATGGAATGGATCTTGCTTTGGATGGCTCTTGGTTTGGATGGTTCTTGGTTTGGATGGCTTTTGGTTTGGATGGTTCTTGGTTTGGATGGCTCTTGGTTTGGATAGTTCTTGGCATAGATGGTTCTTGGCATAGATGTTTCTCGGTTTGGAGAGCCGTCCGCCGTCCAAATTAGGACCCTTTTGTTGCAGGGATATTATCACTCGTCCTTTAAGGGTTGGGTTCGGACCCTCCCTTTTACAGGTAGCCCGTCCCACATCCCGATTTGGGTGTGGTTCCGGCTTTTGTTTGAGTTGGTAGCCCAGTTTGTGGTGTTCTCGGGGGTCCCCTAAACCCAAGACACGCCCATTTGGAGATGCCAGCTGGTGCAGGATGTTGTCAATCCAGTGTTTGAACACATGCCCAAGTGGGTGTCTTTTTTTGAGTCTGCCAAAGAAAGACTAACGCGACACCACCTTTTTTCATGTGGGGGGGTCCCTATCTTAGGGCAGCTCATTTATTGGAAAAAGAAGGGAAACCATGGGAAACCACTATTTGGGTGTTTCTTAAAGTAGGGGGACCCAAAATGGATTCGGCGTTCAATTTTATTTCCCTTTAGAAGCACAACAAAAGGGGCTACCCTCCTATAAAATGAGACCCATCTAAAAATGAGACCCATTTATCGGGGGTCTAACGAAAAGACACCCACTAGCCCCCCCAGTAGTGCCAACTTTGACGACTTTCTTGGGGGAGGATTCCCCTACTAAAATAGACAAAACCGAGAACAGAACACCGCTCAAATCTGGAGGACCTAGCCCATTTGTTGGGTGAGTGGCTGTTTTCCCGATGAATTCTTCCTTTCAGGCCTCCTCGGTGGAGCGCATCAGGGAGAACGCCGCCCTCCTGGACTTCGAGCGGCTTAGCGTTGGACTGGCTGGTTTCTGACTCGTTTTTTGAGTCGTGCGCCCAGTTTTCAAGGTCGCCCTAGCAGTGGAACTTCCGGTTTTCGCTCTCGGGGCGCCCAAAGGTGGCCCTGCTTTGGCGCTGGAACTTCAAGGGAAACCGCCTACAAGCACTAAGTATTGTTTGAGAAGGTCTCAAAATGGGGGTGGCGATTTTGTAGGAATTGGTACCCATGGATGGCTTAGGCAAGAAAACAAACCTCGGAGGTGGTTCGTGTTTTTTTGTATTTCTCGAAACACCCCCTCCCCCTCTTGACTCCTCCCACCTCCCCCTGGGTTGGGCTTGAAACAGAAAAAGAGCTCAAAAGCTGCGGACCATGTCTGGTGGTGTTTCGGTACCTCGAGTCTCCACCCTGAAAAAAAAGGTCATGACGCAAATATATTTTGAGTGATGACCCCATTAGGGTCATGGAGACTCCAGGTACCCCGTTTGCTGGTCGGTTTGAAAGGGAAACTAAAAGGAAAACCGTTGCCATTTTGGGGGCTCCCCGGCTCGGAAAAGAGAAGACCCTGAGCGATTGTTTGATTGCATGATTCTGCGCGCAGACTACTGCACGGGCTAAAGAAGGTGTGATGTAAGGTACAACCTTCGAAAGTGGCAGGCTTTCGATATAGCTCACTCTAAAAGTGCCATGTGGCCGTGGGTCAACACCACTGGGATCCCATTTTGGGGGATTTAGTGGGGATTGGGATGTTCACTGGGGGTACGGGGTTTTGACCCATGGCCATATGTTGAGGTGACCTCCGATCACCAGGCTTCCATTTGTCGACTGCCCTAAGGTACACCCAGGGCCCCCCAACAACGGCAAAAACTCGGTTTGGGCCTACCTTGGTAGTCAATGGTGTGTTTTTTTTGAGGCTCAGTACCCCCCACGCTTTTGTTGGTCGGTTTTAAAGGGACACCGAAAGGACAAACCCTTAAATGTCAGACAAACAAATTCTCTTTAATAAATGGCTGCGTCTTCTTTAGCGGACACCCTGAAATTGCTGGTTTTGAAAGGACGCCAAAAAGGACAACCATCATTTTGAGGGGCTCTGAACAAAAAGCCACACCCAACCGGATCGATCCCTACCAGTTCTCCGGCTTAAGGTGAAACAAAAACGCCCCCCCTTCAAAATATTATATAGATATATTAATATATATATATATATATATATATATTTAAAGCAAAAATAAGAAATGGGCACTTAAAACAAGACACGGCCAAAAGGATCGATCCCTACCAGTGACCTGTGCAGCTGAAATGGATCGATCCCTGCCAGTGACCCGGCCCAAGTCGAAACAAAAGCGGACCCCCAAAAGGTTCACCTTTTAGGTCCCCCAGTAGTACCCTTTCTCACCGCTTCTTTGGGGGAGGGTTCCCCTAAAATAGACTACAGAAGAAAACAATATAGGGTACCAACTTATTCTAGCCAGCTGCTGTTTGAGCCAAAGAGCTTCTTTTCTACCAGCTCTCTCGCGGCTTGCGCTTGCCGCAGAATCTGCTCAGCCTCCCTTTCTTGGTTTGAGGCTCCTCTCTGGAGGACCTAGCTTATTTCTGGGTCCCTAACAGGCAACTAAGCTAGTTGTGACCCGGCACTGGAGGCTGTCGGAGTCTCAGATGGCGCAGCTGGACGGCCTCGCCACCTTGTCCGAGAGCACGGAAGGCGAGAAGCGTCCCAGCTGGCGCGAGGCCCGAAACAGGGTTCTTTGGGATGGAGAAATGGGGTCCTTTCGGAGGGAGAAGAAGGAGGGAAGGGATGAAAGAAGGGAAGGAAAGGAAAGAGATGAAAGGTGAATTTACCCCTCGCTCTCTGAGTACATGGACTTTGGTTACTTTTTTGGGTTTGGACAATTTTAGTGGCAAACGAGAGGTGATGGGAGTTTTGTATGGCCAATCCACTTGTTCGCAAGTAAGTTGAGGAGGGTGTACACACTTAGTTTCCCACATTTCGAGGCATTGCAAGGGCCCCTCAGAGCGGGGGAATTCTTGTGGGGGGGAGAACACCCGTGACGAATCTTGCAGCTCATTTATCCAGCCTTGGGTGCTAAACAGCATATTGGCGGTTTCCGGCGCGTTCTTCTGGCCAAGCAGTTTTTGGATCCCGAATGTTCATCATGAGGACCTCGGGCAACCCCTCCGGATTGGATTGGAACTGGATTTGGATTTGAAGCCTTGGTGTTGGGGGATGGGAGACCATCCCGCTCCAAGCCACCAAGAGGGATGCTGATTTTCGAGGGCCACTAAACACAGTTGCCAGAATCTGCCATGATGTCAGAAGGCTGAGGTACTATGGACGAAATTCTGCACCGCCTAATCCGTGATTGCCCTGCAAATACCAACGAACAAACTTCACTGTTCTTGGCATTTGTTTATAGTTCTTTTTTGGGGGGGGGGTAAAAATATATATTTTTTTAAAAAAAAAAAAAAAACAGTTTTTTGAATCTGTTCATTGCAAAAAACAAAGTTTTTTGCAACCATACCAAGGGTTGTGAAGCAAAGGTTTCAACCATGGTTTCATTTCGTGGTGACGGATTTCGTGCATAGGAGCCCACCAATGACAAGCCACTGGATGAGCCACTTTGACTAATTTTAATCAAAGGGGAAATGCAACAGCCATTTCGAGGGATAACCCAAATCTCTTTTCCCGGGTCTCCTTCAGCACAAATTCATATCGTTGGGGTAGACTTATGGTGTGTGTGTGTGTGTGTTTTTAGTGGACCCCACAAATGGCATCGGCTCTCCTTTTGGAAAACCCTTCAAATCCACCAAGGTTTGGGTGTCTAAACGGCGCCAATCAAATGGCTTTAAGCCTAAAGAAATCGGGTAACCCCAAAGTGGGTTACCCTGATAGGAAAGGACGGAGACCTGCTTTTGGTCCCCTGGTTTAGTTTTCACCCAAATGAAGCTTGGATTTTCGGTCCAATGGAGCCGCAGTGCCCCATTTGGTTGCTTAAGCCAATTTAGGGGCCAACCCCTGTTCTCTTTTCCGCGCATTAAAATACTTGTGTCTCAAAAAGTCGGGAGTCGGACCCACACAAATGGCGGAAGTCTGGTTTTCCAATTGGTCTCCCTGTGAAACCAACCTGAAAAGGGTCCACAGGCCTCAACTAAGCCGAAAAGGTTTGCCGGAATTCCGATTCCGACTCCCGGAGTTTCACGTTTTACTTTCGGAATTCTGTCAAAATGCAGCAAGCACATGCAGGTGTGTCTCAAATCAGGGACTGGTTGGCTTTCTCTTGGCTTCCCTTTGCACCAACCAGAAGGTCCCAAATCCATAAATCCCATTTTGAGCAACCCCCAAATTGAGACCTCAACATATTGACGACACTGGGCGTTGGTTGGCTTCCTTCAGGCAAACGTGGGCTCCGTTCCCTTTGAACTTCGGAAAATCTGGATCAATCTTTGAGTATGCCGGGACCCCGACCCTCTTGGTGGATGTAGCCGGGGATTTGTATCCATGTTGGAAAGGCGCCCCAAGACCAAAATCATTTCAATATCATTACCAGGAACCCTCCGAAAACAAATGCGCCCTGTTTCCCCGCGCAAAAGGGCACCCTGATCTAGTAGGATGTTCAAGATCAATCCCAAGTTGAGCCGAAATCAACACCCGGGTAGAGGCATAGCTTCAACCATGGGTGCGGATATCCCTTGAAACGGTGGGTTTTGGGTAGCACCTTTCAGTTGCCAGGTTGTAATTATTGCTCCGTTGACGGTACAAGATAGTTCGTAACAATGGGATATGGGGCGGCGCCTAAAGTCGAGGATGCTCACTCTGATATACCGATTTCAATTCATCACCGTTTGGTTGCTATGAGCTTCCTTGTGTTTTGTGTGGAAGGGGGAAATATGGGTGTGTCTTCTTGGTCTTTTGGAAGCCCTTAAGTTAATTCAAGGGAAGTGATAGGCGACAACAACAAACCAGCGAATTCTGATGTCCACCAAAAGGTTCCCCCGGGATTTCAAGCACCATACTGTGGATGGATGTTCCACCGTTCCACCCATGGCTTCATGGCGCGCGGTTTTCCGGATGTCGCGACAAGAGGACGTCTTCGGCTTGGGCCAGCCGGCGCCAGCAGTCGCGGCCAGCTTTGTGGAGGCGCGGTTTCAAGCCTTTCCGAGAGCCGTTTTACGCTTTTAGTTGACTCGGTCCCCCCAGTAGTGCCCTTCTTACCCCGTTTTTTTTTTTTGGGGGGGGGGTTCCCCTACTAAAATGTGTGTGGTGTGCTTTTTAGCTTTGTTTGGTCGAAAAATAGATGGGCAAGCCACTGGTTTAGATGGGGGTTATGCCCCATTTGCCAGGGAAACCCATCTATTTTTAAGCAAAAGGACGACCTATGGCCAGAAGGCTTCAGTTGAACGACATGCGGGGTCCCACTCATTTGGCTGTGGGTCAAAACCAATGGTACCATTTTGGGGTAGGTGCACCACCCATTTTAGTCTATTTTAGTGGGGATTGGGATGTTCACTGGGGGGTAACCGGGAGTTTGACCCATGGCCATTTTACTTTGCGACTGTTAAGAAGGTCGGTTGTTAACTGCGTAAACTTTCACGTGCCAGGTTGTGTATACAGTGTATTTCCAGGTTGGCAATGAAACACTCTGCACTCACAAGGGCCCTATGGGAACTTGGGTGGGTTTGGACATCTAGTAAGAAACTGTCCAACGAACTGCAGGATCTCAAAAGCTGGTCCAGTCGTGGCCCAGAAACGACTGGTTTGGCAGCAGTCCCGTGGCAATTGTTCCTTGCATTCTGCGGATTTGGACTGGCAATTCTTTGGGGGTGGGTTGGGGGTGGGTTCTGGGTCCCTGATCAAAGTTAAATTGCAACTCACTTCTCCAGTTTCTACTTTGGGGGCTCACTTATGTTCCCATGTCATGTCAATTGTGGGAAGAACATGTTTTGACCATGACCAACATGAGTGGCATGCGCTTTTCCTCGGATTCCTGGTTGATTTCAAGACAAAGCACAACTGACAGAATCGGGATGTGTCGAGCTCCTAGGGAAGCAAGTAGGTGGCTCCGCCACGGTTTTCCATTTGATGTTCTTGTCAGCAACAAAATATGGGGCTCCGAGCCTCAAGAAAAGACGAGCCACCCAAGTGATTTTGATTGGAACTCGCGTTGCGCATTCAAATCGGAGTATGGCAGATGCCGGTGTTTTTTTGCTTAGCGGAACCCCACGAGATGGAGCTGTTTTCTTTGGTTTCCCCGTGACCCACCTGGAGCCTCAAAATTCCCTTAGACGTGTGTTTCCGCCGCAAAATTATTGGGTGAAAACCCTTTATTTCTGGGTAGTTTGAGGGTCCAGGCACTCGCGCAAGGGGCCCCCCGTTCCGGCGGTTTTTGTTTGAGAGCTCGCAGGCCATGCGAGATCAGCAGTGCATCCGGCAGCCAGAGGAGGTGAAGGCGATGGGAGAAGGGATTGTTGCATATGGGCGGAATAAACAAGGAATCCTGTACTTGGTGGCTCCCAGCCATCCCCTTAGCTGTTTGGTTTTTTAGTGTTTAGTGGGGTTTCCCATTTAGCCCACTAAAAGTTAAGCTTTTAGCGGGGGATCTGAGGACAGGTCAATGTATATATGGGGACCAAACATGGGGACTCATGAATTGATGAGGGGCAAATCGTGGTGCCTAAACAAGTAGTCCTCAACATGGGGACGCATCAATTGATATGAGGGGCTACTAGCGGTGCCTCTTTTGTTCTTCTTTATTTTTTTGTTTTTTTCTATCTTATGTATATAGCCCCCCCCCCAAAAAAAAAGTAAGCCGTTCTTTTTGACGCTAGGGTCAAAAGGCAGAGTGGGGCGAACTCTATTTCAACACAGTGACCCTGCTCCCGATTGAAGGGAAACCAGCAGGAGGTTGTTCAAGCAAGAGGTGTTTAAACAGGCGTTTCGGCCCCTTGTAAAATGCCTCATCGAGGCTGAACGTAAGCTTTTCAAGTATGCTTAGTTGAACATTCGCCTTCCAAGCTTTGGTTGAACATGAACCGATACTACCCGATCCGAAACATGACTTTGACTTTTGCCGTTTGATTGTCCTGACTCAAAGCTGCCATGTTGCCTGTTTGTTGGGTCCCAAAAGGGGGGGGACTTTGCATTCATTTGGACGAGGTTAGCAAGCGTCTCCTGGTTCGCAAGTGTTCTGCCCCCAGGTGAATACTATTTTTTGTTTGTATGGCCGTAGGTCAAAACCAATGGTACCATGTTGGGGTAGGTGCACCACCCATTTTAATATATTTTTGTGGGGGATTGGGATGTTCACTGGGGGCTAGCCGGGGTTTTGACCCATGGCCATATGAGTGTGGGGAACCTTTTGTGGGTGGTTTCAAAGGAAACCCTAAAGGAGGCCAAGTATTTTCGGGGTCCCAATGTTTTGAGACGTCAAAAAGTGGAATCAGGAAAATGGAACCTTGGTATATTGAAACAAAGACGAACACCTGCGTAACCCTAGCTGTTGAAGTTTTGAGCCACACCCATTTATAGCTGTGTTCTTTTGTATCTGAAAAAAGCGATGTATCGGCAAAGAACAGACTGCTCCGAATTTTGGCGGAACACAAGAGTAGAACATCAAAGTGGTGTCTTGCTTTTGTCTTAGTGGAGACCTCAGATTAATCAACCGCAGTTTCTTTATAAGGGGATGTCCCTGGGTTTAGTGGGATCCAGACTTCTTTTGGAGAGGCTCCCCCCTATGAATAGGACGGGCTCTACTTAGATCCGGGGTCAACATTGACAGAGGCCAAGTTTTTCTACCCTGGCATCATCTTTGGCTGGCAACTCTGGGCTCTGACACCAGGCCAACCCTGGTTTCCATCTTGCAAACATCTGGGTGGCTCGTGTTTTTTCTTCAGGAATCGAACCTGTTTTCTTTTTAAAAGCCGTCCAAGAAGGGGTGCCGACCCTCAAACAAAAGACGCACACACACACACACACACATGTCTTGGTTGTTCCCAGCGAAACGTCCAGTTCCTTAGGTGCTTTGTTGTTTTATGTTCCAGCACCAATGGCTGGCAAATATCCCCGAAAACAGCCATTGGGAGGTCACAGACCATGTGCCAGCCATTCGGGGGTCCTTGTGTTAGTTGGTTCAGTGGTTGGGTGTCCGAATTCAACGAACTCGAAATGTGACACTTTTCGTGGAGGACAGCCCGCGTGAAGCCACTCACTTCGCTTCATGGTTCCAACCATTGCGTGTGTCTTGTTTTAGGATTTGGACCCCACCCCACCCCCCCCCCCCACAAAAAAAGGCATCGGTTTTCCGGTTGGTTTTCCTTTAAAACAACCCCGAAAGGGTTGCCCTCCAAAAATCGGAGCACACCCAAGTGACGTCTTAGGTTCGGACTCAATGTCTGGCCCCCTGGCTCTGAGGGCTTTGGTACACCCTGGGATGATCACAATTTTGGGGAAAACGACCCCAAAATAGCCCGGGGTGTAATATGGTTGTAGATGGCCCGATGGTTATTTTGGTTGTAAATGACACGTCCGGATAAAACCGGATTACAGAATGGTTCAAAATAACACCCGGTTTTATCCGGACGTGTCCCAGGTGTATTCCCAGGATATAATACACAAAATCCCTTAGACTGGCTGGCCCTGGCTCCCGAACGGCCGGCCGGATCCTCGTAGGCCACGCACTTCACCCTGGGCGGGGGCGGGCACATGATCGAGCACTGCCAGAAAGCCTGTGAGGCTCAGGCGCGTGAAGTAAGAGACATGCCCCTAGGTGGTGTTTGGATGTTCCAGGAGGCGCCATGACCCTTAACAAGATGGGGTCAGCACCTGACATAAAGGGGTGAAATGGGTGCATACTGTTCAAGGGTCATGGAAACTCCTGAAGCCGCTTTTGATATCTTCAGATATCATCCCTGCCAAGTCAACGAGTCGCTTGAGTGATGGTTAGCGTTCTGGCTGCTTGAGGCTGCAAGTTCGGCTCTGGGCTAGATCGGACGAATTTGGTCAATTCTGGGGTCTACGCCATACCTGGACCCGACCCATAAAAAACTGGGAATTCACCAACCACTATGTTGGGTTGCAATAGCCCATTTTTAAGTTGGTATTTTGAGGGTCCAGGTACATGTTAAGGTAGAGCAAATGTAAAGCAGTATCTGAGCACATTATTTATTGCGTGCAAATTCAGCGCAACACCTGTTCTAAAAGAGGTATGGGCCTTGCCGTGGTCAGGCCATGAGGGCAGAGCAAGTTGGCCGTCACCGACACATTGAAGTTCCTTGGATGAGTTTTGTGCAGATCAGCAAGAACAGTTCACGGCTAGGTTCGAGAGAGTGGAAGAGAACAGAATATCAAGCCGCGCTCGGCCAGTCTCGGTTTCTTGGAATGACATTGGCATTGAGAAAAGATACTTGTTGGCCTGTGTTGCCCAGTTTTGTTGGTTGCCCCTAAAGGCAACCATCAGTTGATCGGTTATTGCCATATTTGCAGACCTGCTTAGCATCAGAGTCGCTTCTGCCAGATTCAACTTGATGGCGTTTGGGCTAGCGAGCCTTATCACGGCGCTCGCATTTGGGTGTGTTGTTTGCGCTTTTCGGGATGTGGGCTTTGGGTCTGGACAATTTTGTTGGCCAACGAAGTTTGGATATGATGTTTGGCCAACCCCCTCTTCATCAGAAGTGTGGAACATACTGCATGGGCAAAAAGGACTGCAGGATTGGATCCCCCTCAACGTCGCAGGCGGACTGCGGATTTCTGGTCTTCTACGAGCAGACCGGCTTTTGCCATATGTTCAGGACCGGCTGTCCCATGATGTCTGCAGGGCAGCTTCAAAGTCGGTGGTTTGCTTCTTGAGTTTCTAGAAGAAGTCAGCGGTTGAATTTTGGACATGGCGGCGCTCAATATATGGCCAGCCATGGCTGAGAGTCTCTCCTTGTGGGGACTTCTTCCTTCAAGAGGGCACCCTGAATCAGCTTTTCAATGGGAATTCACAATGCAGTCTGTCCGGAGGGGAATGGAACTATGACCAAGATCCCGGGACCACATACACAGGGGGTAAACCAAAGCGATTGCACCTGATCTCACGAGCTCATTCAGATCCCTAAGTTTCTAAGAAACCTATAGGTGCTCGGTTTGATTTACCTTTGGTTTACCTTCCAAAGAAGGGAACCAAATGTCCAAGAAAGGAATTGATTGGAACTTCTACAGTGCTGTTGTCGGAGAAAAAGCAGCCGCTAATGTGATATCGGGACATTTGGCTCGGGTGTTGGGGGGGTCCTTTCAAAAAAGGAGTCGCCTCTAAACATGCCATGTGGGGTCTGTCTTTTTGGAGTTGGTACCTCTTTTTTTGGCGTTTTAACGGCACACCAAAAGGAAACCACCGATTGGGGGGGGGGGCGGGTCTGAACAAAGACATGCCCGCGTGACTTTGCAGTTCTGACAGCCGTTTTGACATATGGCTTAGGCTCGGCGCTAGATGATTAGAGGGGACTCGTCAGATTTCCGATCTAGAGGGACACCCTATTAATCAACTGGGGGCTTATCATCAACTTGCTGGTTGTCAGGGAAAAAAATCCCGCGAATCTCGCCCATCAGCCATCCCCTGGCTTCCTTTCATCCCAAAACCACCCCCAAACCTACCTAAGCCCAATCAACACCCACCCCAGACCCACCCTGCAGCCTCCCTAACCAACCCTGAGAGCCCGGAAAGGTTGCCAAAAGTCCAAAAGCAGTGTGTTTACCGCTATCAGCTGATGGGTTTTGAGATTTGCCCGAGCGGGGTGATGTTCATCTTTTGGCCTGGTATCCAGGTTTTATCTTGCTGCTCAGCAGGGAATGACCCCGATTCAAACCTTTTTTGTACTGCTTGCTTTCAGGTAACCCCCAAGTTCATTCCCAACACCCTGGGTCATTCCCTACTGAGCAGCAGCAAATTGTCGCTTTCTTCTGGGCTCGTGCATGGTCCAAACCCTATGCTTAGTCCGCAAAAAAAAAGGCGGGCGAGTTCAGTCCGGTCCAGCCCACTCTAAACCCACCGGGGAAAAAAAGCATCACAACTCAAAGCCTGAGCTTCCCAAGGACCACCACCATCTCCAAAACCCCCAAGGTCCCAAGGTCATTCCCTGCCACACTTCGAACTAGAATACACTTGAAATGAACTAGTTTGGGTTGATTTTCTTCATCCAGTTCAATTTTCCCCAGTTCATGCCTGCCCCTCCCAGTACTCATTTCAGCAGCTTCATCTAAAAAACACCAGCACCTTCATTTCCACCCCACCTCCTTGGCGCGAGGAGCTGCCAGCAGCAGCTGCCAGCATCGGATGGGGCGGTGCTCTGGGCGCGGCAATGAAAAGGGATTTTTCGCGGCCGCGCAAATGTGGCGGAAGCCATTGGGTCCTCAAGGCGCTCGAATATGCTCGAATCCCGAGAATATTTTTGGCTTTGTTTCGTCGATTTTGGGGTTCGGACCTTTTTAGTGGCAAGCGAAAAGTGTGGGATTCTGAATTTGGACCATCCGCTCAGGAAGTGAGAAGGCCACCTCAAGTTGCTTGGCTTGGGGCATCCCTTTCCGGAATGTTTTTTTTTGGGACCTCCATTTTCCCAGACATTTGCGCCACATGGGTGCGTCTTTTTTTAGTGGACCCAAAAAAGTGCTTATCCTTTCATTTTCCGCTTGAACCCAACCAACAAGGGTTCCCCTAAGAGACCCGCATTTATTGAAAAGGATCCCTGAGAATGGATATGGAACGGGTGTACCGGTTGTCTCAGAAATCAGCTCCAGGACATACCGGGAACCTTCCTGGAGACAAGGTGGAGCGTGGGTGTCATAGGTTCTATACATGTCCTTTGTATGTTTGGTTTGGTCAGAAATAGATGGGTTCCACTGATTTAGATGAGTTTTATAAGCCATTTACCGGAGCAATAATCTATTTGTCCAAAGGGCACATGGTTCTACCCCTCTCCTCACCTCAAGTTCCCTGAGCCTGCAAATGACCAAACAAGGGGACCATCCCCCCCCTCATGTTCGATTCGTTATTTATTGTGAGTGTGCAGCCAGTATTGCCTTTGCACTTCCAGAAGTCTGTGACCTATGTGCTCAATTGATTTCTTGACTGGGTGGAACCTCTGAGAGTTTGGCCTCAAACCAAAAGCACACGAGTCCGAGGGCCACTCAATAACTTGTTCATGAGCGTGGCTCACCTCCCAAAGTCCTCTTCAAGTCTTCAGGGAAGTCATGTCATTTTCAACCCAACCTCACAGAAACAAGGTCCAATGGCAAGATAATCGTCAATAAAATGGGCCAACCCCCTTGATTGCTGGTGCTTGGCTATCTTTCTGCAGACGTTTCTTGGCGGTTTTTATATCTAGAGACTCTCGATTCCATCAATTTTGAGGGATTTACAAGTCTCAACTAAAAGTTGGTTTTATCTATCTGGGGACAAGCCTGGGAGAAGCCCCTGATAAGGCCTGATAAGGCCGGTTTAATAGATGTCAGCGCCCTCCCAAGTGCGGTTTCCTGGAGGTCCATCTGGCGTGGTTGGACAGGAATCCAACCACACTGAGGTGGTCTCCAAAGGGTTGTCAATTCAAGTTCCTGGCGTCTCCACGAATAGACGTGGGAAAATTGGACCCCTACATTTTCATTCATGACCCACCCCCCCCCACCCCATTTTTCAAGGGTCGTGGAGACTCCAGGCTCATGAACTGGAATGCTGCTGCCCAAGTTTCTCGGGGGTCCCGGCCCCGATGGACACTTCACGTCATCAGATGCGAGCCTCGCGCCATCACGGCCTCGCGGCATGTCTCGGCTTCAGCCAGGGCCTTGCCTCGGCATGTGACTGCGACTTGTGCCACACCCCACGTGGGTTGACCACGAGAACGTTGCGGCCTCTGGAGGCCCATGGTTAATGTTTTTAGGTCCAGACAGGGACTCGGGAAAAATGCGCCGAAGGAATGTCAAGAAGGTGCCCTAAAGATGTTTGATCTTTGCCTCGGATCTTTTGAGATTGAGTGATTCTGACATGAAAGCTTTCGGCAGGCGACGATGCAAGGGATTTGGTCAAGTCTTGTGGTTGGCCTGGTGGCAAGTTCTACTTGTTTCTGCATCAGGGGCCTTCTTCGTGTAGCCTGCGGGCCAAAGAAGAAACAGGCAATCAACTCAGTCATTCGAAGAAACTCACACATAAACAAATACAAACATTCTGCGAAATAATTTCTGCACAAGGTGCCACAAACGAACCTAGTGCCAGCAGATTCTGGTGAAGATTCACCACGCCCCGCAGTGCCATTTGGCTATGAATCTCAATGAGGAGTATCATCGCTCAGATGGTTGGCAGGCAGAAATCCCGTACATGATTTCCACCAAAGGGTCCCCCATGAAAATTATCACACCTGGACCCTCAAGCTACCCACACAAAAAAACAGAAACGGGAGTGCAGCAACCATCATTTTGGGGCGACCCATCTCTTGAAGGGAACTTTCAGGGTTCAACCCATTTGGGTATGGGTCAAAATCAACCGACTAGGGGACCGCTTTTTGTGTTCGTCCTTGTTTCCATTTGCCAGGGTTCCATGTTCGGTACCTATTTTTGACCCACACCCATTTTTTCTTTGCCATTCCTCCCTCATCGCCATCGCTGGGCTCGCCGCGCGGATTTTTTTCGTTTTTTCGGCGCGGAGCCCCAGGGTTTAGGGCCTCGGGCGGGGGAAAGGAGAGGCGAGGAATGCAAACTCCGATCCACAGGTTTCAGGGTATCCGGACTAATCAGTGGGAGGTTTCTCATTACTTTCCTGGGTTCTATCCATTTCTTGTTGTTTTTTGATTTTTTGTTTTTTGCTCCAGAAGAAAAAGCGATGCCAACGAATGGTGGGAATATTTTGCCTGGCTTCCGCAGTTTATTTTAAGACACACAGCAAGGCAAGAAAGGAGGGTGTTTGGAGGGGCCAGGCTAAGCCAAAGAGGCCTTTGAGTCGCCATGCAGCTCAATGCGTCCCATCCGAGTCATCCCGACGCTTTTGGCCGACGGCCGAAAGAACTTCAATCTGCATGGACTTCCGGAAGTGGCCGTGGCTCAAAAATGGGGATCCAAAATGTAATCTTGGTAAATGGAAAGGTAGACTCAAACCTGCGTAACCCCAGCTGCTTAATTTTGAGCCACACCCAAGTGTGACGCAGAAATCCCCCTTGTGGTCAGCCAGAATGAAAGCCCCGGACAGTGATGCTTAAGGGACAGTCACCAGAATTAGGTGCGGATCTCCGCCTTTGAATGTTCTTTGAATTTGGGTAGACCATGTTGATACCACGTTTTTTGATTGTCACATGTGCCCTTTTCAGGGCAGTATTTTGTTGCATCTTGCGGCCCACTGCCTTGGAGGTGTTCCCCTCGGCAAATTGAGCATGTGTCAAAGTGGGAGCGTTGAGAAAGTTGGAGCCTGGACCTGTCCTCTTGGCTTGGAAGCTCACTCCCTGAGTTCCTGCGCCTTGATTTTTGTTTTTCTTTTTCGGGAGGGGGGGGGGAAGACCATTCGAGTGGTAAGCTCCCTGTTCCTGCCCATTTTTTTTTTGGGGGGGGGGAAGACCATTCTAGCGGCACATCAAAAGGATGGACTTTTGTTTCCCCATCCAGTCAGGAAGTGAAGGGAGCCGTTGCGGCGCTATCCAGTTCGTGCCTGTTGCCTGGACTAAGGAGCTACCAGCTTTTGGGGAGTACATGTTGGCTGTCTTTCTTCTTCTTTTTTTGAAAAAAGGAACCATTTATTTATTTTATGTGCTTTTTTTTTTGCGTTTTTGTTTTTTTTTAGGGGGGGCGGGTGTTTTGAGACGAAAGGGAACACACCACCGTTTGGGGCTCCGTGTGCCTATTCTGCCACCCGACCCACCTGTATATGGCTGGTTCCATGATGTCCGCGGGTCCCATTAGTCAAGTTTAAAGACCCACTTGAAGCGAATTAAAGTTGGGAACTGGATGTGTCTCAAAATAGGTGACCCCCCCGTAAAAAAAAAGACAACAAAAAACACAACAACAATGGTTGGATTCCCTCTTGATGCCCCTTTAAACCGCCCCAAAGATGGTACCCTCAGATTTCTTTTGACGCGCCCAGACGCCTCTGACCGCTCGCTTTCTTCTCAGGCGACGATGGCGCCGGCGCAGCGCGATGAGGCGGAGATGATGCGTTCCGCGTGTGCCATTGGGATGCTTGGGTATGCGTCACTCACTCCCTCAGTTTCTGGACTTTAGTCACTTTTTGTGAAGACCACTTTGGTGGTAATAAGAAGTTCAGGCTTTGTTTACGCGCGTCCCTCCTTGACGGTAGCCCTTGTCTTGTTGTAAAAGGAGAACCACGAGGAAAACCGACGCCATTTTAGGGAGGAAACTCTCACTTTCTGGGTTCCCGCGCAAAAAAATGTGCCATCCGCGGAAGTGAGAGGGAAATGATAGCCAAAACACGAGAGGGTAACTATTTGGAGTAGGGAGAATAGGGAAATGAACCCCGCGCCTGTGTGATTGTTCGATGCCTTTTTTGCAGCGAACCTGAAAGAGGGTGACCCTCAAGAATCACACATGTCAAATTGAGAGATGGACCTCCATATTTGTTTTTGTTGGCACCGTAGAAGTGTCGCTGCTTTGGGTTTCCTTAAAACCAACCTTAGACAGGGCACCAAACAATCACATCCATGATCAGTCGAATGATTTGGCGCAGCCAGCAAACACCGACACTGGCGGGAACCAGGTTCTGCAAACTTGGAGGTGCGTGTGAAATGAAGCCGCCCCAAGACATCCTCCAGGTAAAAAATGTTTCTTTCTGGACACTGACGGAGATGAATCCAAACGGATTAGCGTATGTTTGCAACTGAAAAAGCACATGAACTAGAGTGAGGCAGGCAGGCAGGCTTGATTTCCAGGATCCAGCATGCAAGCATAGCACCTGACACTGACCCACATCTGGCAAGGTTGTATGATGTTGTACGTGTGTATGTATCGCTTGAAATAGCTCCCCTGTCTATAACTATGTTAAGAAGACACGCGAAGTCTTGCGATTTGAGAGATCCAACCGTCCAAGCCATTGAACAATATCGCCAAGAATGGGACTACTTCTGCTCCAAAAGTGGTAGTCTCTGTTGTTCAAAGACGACCTTTTGACCTTTTGGTTTTCCCTTTTTGGTCTACTTTTAGTAGAGGTCCCAAAGGTGATCACCTTTTATTTCCAGGTCCTTTGGGCAAGTCAGTAGTTGATTCCTCAAAGGACACCTTCAACGTTTACTTGACGGGTCTATCGAGCTTCCGGCAGCCCGGCCACTCCGCCGGCCACTCCGCTTCCGGCCCGCAGCTCCGCAGACAGCATGCGCCAGCTAAGACCACGAGACTCCCCAAAGTCTATCAAGTGAGCCCGTTTGGAAGCAACGCAACATAGCATTTGCTCCTACGCCCATGAGTGCCCATCTATTAAAGAGCTCCATCCCAAAAGCTCACTTGCCCGAAGTTTGTCGACCTTTCTGACCATTTGGTTTCCCGGTGTTGGCACATGTTTTAGTCATGGCTCCAAAAGCCTAGCCTTTTATGTCTGGTTCTTTGGACAGACTGACACAGACACCGCCTGCCTGCCACTCAGATGATCAGAGCGCTTTCCATTTTCGGGGGCCTTCAGCCGGCCCAAGGCCCGACCCAGTCAGGCTACAGACAGACAAGTCCCACTGTCGCGGCCCGACTCGTCAACAGGTCTCTTTCCGAAAAGCATCGTATAACAATCGGCCCAGTGTGCGATCTCATCAGCATTCGTGCTCCCATTGGGCCTGAAATCGCACCCAACCGAGAAAGAAAAAGCACCAAGACGGCTTGCCCGCTCGACATAGATTTGGTCGCGGGGCTTCCATGGCTTAGAACATGGTGGAGGCTGCGCCTTGGCGATGACGGTTCCTGGTAACCCTCAATGTCTCTAGGGCATCCATTTTCGGCTGGGTGAACCGGGAAACATAGGGACGCTCCGAGCAATTAGGCCAGCCTCAAAGGAATGCCTCGGTCGGTCAGGGTGCCTTTTGGGGGGCATTGGGCTATAGGGGTATATGGGGGTTGTTCCGCAAGCAGTCACACAGGCCAATTGTTCACCGCTCACATTGGGGTCATGATATATATATATATATATTATTATTTTTTTCAGGTGAACAGACATGGGCGTCTATTTTTGGGGTGCCCCCCTTTTTGACTGTTTTTGTTGCAGGGAAGCTAATTGGGATGGGAGACCGATTTTCATTTGCCCAAAGCCGACCTTTTGACCTTTTGAAGAAGCATGAAACATCTGGAAACGAGGGGATCATACATGGGTTCGTTTATGCTGGATTTCTACTTTCAGTTGCCATGCTGGCCTTTTCAGTTGGCTGCTTTAGCAGGCTCGGGACTTTTTCTTGTGCACTCACAAATCTTGGTTCATTTTGCCTGGATGTTAGGACTTTAACTTTTTGCCAGCTATTGGGTTTTCCATTGAACCACTAAAAGTTAAACCTTTAGCAGGGGAGCAGAAAGCAACCGAGAAATGTGGTGAACGCAAAGAGCAAGGATGATAACCTCCCTCGCTCAGACACTGGACTGTATGCGTTTTGCGAAGGCAGTTAGAATGTGTTAACAACAAGCTTTGGCTTTCGTTGGCCAACTCACACAGGAAGTGAGTAACCAGGGTGCTTGATAGTGAACAAACTGTAGGTCTCTTAAGACCCCTCCCCGCACCGCCGCATACTAACTTGTGTAAAGACCTGTTCTACATTTTGAGGTTCACGAAATATGGCTATCACAATCCTAAGATGCAACCTTGACAGTTGGGTGAAAGTCGATGGCACGCTTCCCGCATGCCGAAGTGATCCCCTTTTCTTACCCCAAATACCCTCCAGTCCACTAGCATGAAAACCTGACTTGCGTCCTGGAAGGCACTTTCCTTCCTCTGGTGGGTTCCATTCTAGCGGACCGGAGGGAAAACTTAAATTGTGCCACAATTCAATTTGTGCCGCTGCTTTGTCCCCCAGTTGGGGGAGGGTTCCCCCAAACCGAAAAAAGCTGGTACCCTTATTCTAACCTCTCTACCGGAGAAGCTTGCACTGTTGTTCCACATAATCACGGGGGATCTCGGTGGAACATTTTCTTACTAGGGGCAAATTGTGCCACTGTCATTCTTTGGTATCACATGCACTTGTTTGTTGGCAGAAGTTTTAGTTTTAGGCCCATGACTCAGGACATCGAAGAGGCGCAGAAGGAGCGGGAAGAGTCGAGACCACGCGAACTTGATGGTTCCCAGGAATTCGAATCCTTGGTTTTCTTCGGGTTTGGTTGGTTTAGTGGTTAACTTTGTGGTTTCCAGGAATCATAATCCTTGGTGCTCTTAGGTTTTCGTTGGTTTGGTGCTTGGGCTTCCGAATTCAGCCCACTAGAAGTTAGCTCTGTGGACAGCTGATTTACAGCATGGGCTGAAGATGAGACTCCAACCCCGCAATGAATACGAGAGTGGACCCAGTTTTAATCGATTTGGAGGGGAAACCTGCCTATTGTGAGAGAAACGCCCGTTGGTTCCCTTCGGTTCCATTTCTGAAAGCACCAAACATGAGGGGCTGAGCCTCAAAAGGGGCACACGCCAAAATTTCAGGGGGACACCGGTGCCCTTCACTGGAGGCTTTCTGCGCATTGGAGCAAGGTCACCTCCCTATGCTGGGGAGTTTCCATTTGGGTGGTTCCTAAAACAGGGGATTCCTTTGAATGGTTTGTTTGCTCTGCAAAAGGGGCGGGTCCCTTCTGATTTGGAAGCTCCCCCACTTCTTCCAACAGCGTTTTCCCGGAAAGAGTGTGGCGAAGCTTGTCCTAAGGCTCCAGCGTCTTGCTGATTTGGTGCCGTGTTCCCACCGGTTTTACACCCTGTAAACTCCTACCCAATCCAACCAAGCACCCAACAAACCAACAAGCTCAAAGCTAAACTCAAACCAAATCACACCCAAACCCAACCCCAAACCAGCCCAGCCAACCAACCAACCAAGCAACCCACCCACCCACCCACCCACCAACCAACCAACCAACCAACCAACCAACTCACCAACCAACCAACCAACCCACCCACCCACCAACCAACCAACCCACCCACCAACCAACCAACCGACCGACCGACCGACCGACCCACCGACCCACCGACCCACCGACCCACCGACCCACCGCCCCACCGACCCACCGACCCACCGACCCACCGACCCACCGACCCACCAACCCACCAACCCACAACCCACCAAGCAACCAACCAACCCACCAACCCACCAACTCACCCACCCACCCACCCACCCACCCACCCACCCACCCACCCACCAACCAACCAACCAACCACGTTTCACTCCACCAACCACGCGTCTCTGGCTTTTCAGGGAAACCAAGAGGAACGCCGCCACGCTATTTTGGGGTCTTTGCCCAAATCCTTGAAACAACCGACACACCCAGCAGGGGCCAGACTGGAGCTTTTTCGAGCCGATGGTTGTTGTGGTTCCGCCCGAATTTTGTTTGACACACACTTTTTCCATTTATCAGGGTAATTCATTTTGTGTACCTTTTTTTGACACATACCCACATGAACCTTGAGAGGGGGGGTCCAAAAGGAGGATGGTGCAGGAATTTGTGTTTGAACCTTTTTTTTCCATTTGCTCAAGTTTTGTTTCACAGTTGTTCCCTACTGTACTTTTTTTTCAGGGGGCATGTTCGCAAATGTTATCCTACCCTGGATTAATAGACCCTTGGGGGTGCCCCTGGTTTGGTGGGGGTTTCAGCACTTTTGGAGTGGCCTGGGTGGTAAGATGGGTATTCCCTATCCTTTCAGCCATCATTCTTTTCAAAACCAGCCGTTTCCCCAAGGCTGTTGGTGGTTTTCTAGAAAGAAGGATCCGTGGAAAGAATGAGGGAGCTGGCCTTAGAATTTCTCCTGGGGACTTACGCAAATGGAGGATGGTTGTTTTCTTTTCTTTTCTTTTCTGCAGAGCATCCACTGAGCCCTTCGTGGAAAAAGATACATTTCGGAGCCTGCGAAGGTGGCTTTTGGACACGGGTTCCAGTGGGATCCCTAGAGAAAGGGTTCTCTACAAAGCGTAAGGAACCCTAAGGAACCCGAAAGGGGCTCTTCACTGCCCACCCTTGTACCTACCCCCCTTGCGGATTCCTGAAAGTGGGAGAATTACAGCCTGTGCTGTTCAGGTTTATGGGAACGAGTTGCTTTTCTTTCCCGCTTCTGTGAGACGAACCTTCACTTAGGGACAACCCGGTCAATGTTCGTTGTATGTGTTTGAGTTGTTTGCTTTGGTTCTGTCCATCAAGTGGCGACGAGCAAATGGTAGGCACGCCTGGCAATGGGAAGCAATGTTGCCAAATAGCTGGTTCCTACACGGGACACCGGTTCTTTTGTTCATAACATGAGAAAACAGCCAGTGCTAGCAGTATCCTTGACAGCCACTGGATGATTGTGGTACATGTTCTAGACCACGTGATTTAGTACTCTGATTTGTGTTTGGTTGTTGGCTGGTTCAGTTGATTTGCGAGCAGCTGCAAAGCACGGCCGGCTTTAAAATCTTTAAACCAGGGTGAAAGTGGATGCCGCAATTTCAGTTCTTTGAGTAGGCCAGGGAGATTGACGAGGCAATATTCTAGGGGTAACTTCCATTTCAGTTCTCTCCAGGAGTCCTTCTTTCTAGAAAACCACCAAAAACCCCTGGGGAAATTGCTGGTTTTTGAAAAAAACGATGGCTGAAAAGAATGGGAAATCAAGCTCTAGAAATGTAGAAGTTGTAAGCAAAGTCTATTGTTTTGTCCCTTCCATGCGCAAGCCACCAGGACGCGCCCAAAGAGGCGAAGGAGGCAGAGGCGAAGGACGATGCGAAAGAGGATGCGAAGGAGGATGCGAAGGAGGATGCGAAGGAGGATGCGAAGGAGGCTGATAGGCGCGGGAAGAGGGTGCCTAGTTTGGCACCAAGATCAGATACCCAGTGGGTTGCCTGCATGGCAGGGGGTCTGTATATGTAAGCCTGACAAAGAAGGGGTCAAGTGGGTGTGTCGTTTTTCTTGAGTTGGACTCGTGGTTTTGCTATTGGTTTCCCTTTCAAACGACCAAACAGATCCAAAAAGGGGGTACCCTCAAAAAGACACACTGTTCCCTATCTTGATCCGAACAGCTCAGTGTTGCAAGACGCTACCGGGTAGCAACAACTTGATGATCAGTAGCTGCGCTTTGTGGGCGGTGCATTATTCCCCCCAATCTCGGGCACGCACTTCTGAATCGGTGCTCGGTAGTAGAATGGAATGGGATGGGGAAGATTGGGGTCGAAGTGGGCGTTGGCAGAGTGTGATTGGCATCTCCATACTGTGGATGGACGAAATCCTCCACCTAAGAAACCCTGAAACGATGATTCCCAACAAACAACGGTTTCCCATGTTTTTCAGGTGGTGCGAAAGGGATTTTGTCCATCCACAGTATCTCCACTGTTTGCATGTGCTACCCAAATGCATCACAGGCTCAGGCACTTTGGGCACTTGGCCATATTGTGAGGCAAGCATGAGCGGCGCTGTCCCATCCAGACCGTTGACGACACAAGAAACATTTTACCCGTGTGTCTTGTCGAATATTGGACACTATACTATTATACCTGCCCATGATAAAGTCCGGATCTAATTCAAGTGTGGTATTGAATGAATTCAGTATTGCATCATCCATGTGAGTATTGAGTATGTCTCTTTCAATATTTGTAGTAGGTGACTCCAAATGATCGAGATCCTTTAACCAATTTGTGTCTCTTTCTTTAGTTTGTGTTTCGTAAACATAACGTATTTGTTCTTCAAACCTTTTACACGTCCTCCTCATTGCCACCGATGCATAATATATGCGGATATAAACATGTGTTTATATAGATGATCATCTCGTTCTCGAGTTCAACCTACACAAACAAAAGCAAACGGGGATGATAACAAGCATCGAAAGAAAACGAGGAATTCCGGCAACTTGAGCACTCGGGCTGAGTCGCACTGGTTTTAGTGGGAAACACGACTCCGGACTGTTCTGGCCTTTTGGCCCATCCACTCGGGCAGTGAGTATATGAATGTGCACAACTGTATCGACTTCGTGCTGGAGGCCAACAAACCTTCCAAAATCTTGCCCCCCCAAAACCTTATGACCTTCAGGGGGGGGGGTGTTACATACTAATACGGGGTCAACATTAACTTGCATGATTTTGTTCGGATCACGCGATGGGTTGACAGAATTGTATGCGTACAGCTCCGAAGAGGCTGCTAAGCTGCACAGAAGATTGCAGCGGCTACCTACCTGGAGTCTCCATGACCCTTCAAACATGGGGTCATGACCCCGCTATTTTGGGGTAACGACCCCATTTGTTAAGGGTCATGGAGACTCCGGGTACGTTCCAAACCGTGCCGATAGACGTTTCGTAGCTTTTTGAGCCTCATGTTCGCAACTTGTTGTGACCGAAGGATTCAGCCTGCACCGATTGTCGCTGGTGCTTGTCGTTAGTATATTGAATTTCGGAACAAGTCAAGCTGTTTGAATGGTTCATCAGCGCAGCGGCCCCCCAAAACAAGACATGTCGAGTAATTCAAGATTTGGAGTCCAGCTGCGGACGATATGCCATAGCCATTGGCTCGAGACAGAAAGCCTCGCTGCTTGTTTGACTGCGAAAACGTAGCCAGTGCAGATTCTGAGGAGCAGCTGTTTCTTGTGTTTCTTGTTGTTTGATAACTGTCGGCATTGTGCCTAAGGCGATCGATCAGATCCAGAGCGGCTGAGAACACGCAGAGAAACTTGTTGGAAGATGCTGGCTGTTGCGCGGGCCCAGGGTCGCCGTTCTTTGGCAATCAAGACCTCCGTTCGAGCGAGGGAGCTGCCTGGCCGTGAGATCTCGACACTCTGCTGGCGAACTCCGGGGGCAAAGTCATCGAGAGCACCGCCGTTCACAAGTCGTGTCGCAGGGTTGAACGGGTCGCTGTGCTCGCGGTCGGTCAGCTACGCCAGCCTGAAAGAGCAAGTCAAGAAGAATGGAAAGGTGTTTATTGTATGGTGGACATTCTTATGGCTCGCGCCGGTTCTGCCCCTCTTCCTCATCGCTGAGTACTTCGAAATCGATTTGGTGGCTGCGCTTGAGCAGCAGACAGGCTGGGACGTAGCATCGCACGTGAACCCGAACTGGGCGAACATTGGTGCAGCTGTTGCAGTGAACGAGTGCCTCGAGCTCGTGCGCTTCCCTCTGGTGGTGGCAACGACGCCGGCGCTTGCACGATTTGTGGCCCGTGCGGCTCGCCACTAGCTGCACAGCTTTGCATCTCCCGAGGAAACTGCGGGGGCGCAAAAAATGGGAAGCGGAGTGTTTGTAGGTCCCCCAGTAGTGTCCTTTTACCATTTCTTTTTTGGGGGAGGGTTCCCCTACTAAAATAGACTACAGAAAAAAAAGGTTGGTACCCTTATTCTATCCTGTCTACTGTTGTAGGTCCTGCACAATTGCAGTGTGTGTTTGCGTTCATCCATGGTGGGTAATCAGTACTTAGCCGCGGCGGTACTTGGGCTTATTGGCCCTAATTATTGGACGTTTCTCCCAGCGCTTCCCTGAACTAGGCAATTCCAAAAAGTTCAATTCTGTTATTGCCCGTCTGAAATAGGCCCAGGTGTCTTTTGTCGAGGTCCTTCTTTGTTTCAGTTGAAACAGCCTGATTGTTGCGGGCTGGCTTGCTACTCCATAGATCGTGATGAAAGAAACAAACTGCGTGCTTTCCGTTGTCTGCCTGCTCTTCTGTCGTACTACTCCAAGTACCGACATTTGCTGGGGCTTCTGTGGAGTAAGATAGATTCCATGTAGCAATCCCCTTTTAGTGGTCTACAGTGCAGCCCTCTACTTAATGTCTGGCTTCATATGTGTCTGGGGATCCCAAAACACCAATGGAACAGTCAAACGTTGGGAAGGTTAAAGACACGCCAGCCGAAACCCCGGAGATTTGGATTTGGAAACTGCCCCGTGTCTCAGAAATGAACTGATTAAACCACCGAAAGTGTGGACCAAATCTCATTGAACATTGTAGAACAGGGTTTCCGAGCCATTTCCCATTGCGGATCCTCGAAAAGTGTCGATCGGTTCAATGGAAACCACCAGTAAATTGCGACTGTTGAAGAGGAAATCCAGTGCACTGATCGGCTTTCGGCCCGGCCGTTTAGATCGAATCAAGGGTCAGGTTTCTTTCTGCCCCAGGCCGGCGAGCGATGCGGTCGGTGAGCCGGAGGCGGGCCGGAGGTGAATTTCTGATGCGTTTGAGTTGGGGTCATTTGGGCACCCCAAAAGGGCGACCCGAGAAAAGAAGGTGGGTTCTGAGACGAAAAAACAAATTCCGTTTTCTTGGGCTTCTCATTTGATCATTCTCAAATTTATGACACTAACACATATATTATAGTTGTTTGTCCCTTGGGTTTCCCTGCAAAACCAATCAAAGGGAGCCCAACAAAGAACATTCAGAGACCCGCTCGGCTTCACCCGAGGCCATCGATGAGAAGCCGCCGAGCGAGGCCATCGATGAGAAGCCCTCGGGCCCAGTGGAGCTCGAAGACTCCGATGACGAGATGGAGGCGATCGAGCAATTCGGATTCGGTTTTCGGTTTTCGGGTTTCGGGGTTCGAGCGGCCCAGCGGCCCAGCGCGGGGTAAAGTGACGCACGTCAGGACATGAAGTTTCGGGCTTTTCCTTGGTGCTTCGCATCTCCCTTGGTCACTTTTTGGTTTTGTAGCAAGTAAAAACATGGACGTTGGCCAATCCACTCAGGAACGGTGTTTTCCTCTTGGTTTCCCTTTCAAACCAAACAAAAGGGGGTACCCACAACAGATACACCCCAAATATGGGTTAGGTGGTTTTTTTTTGCAGTTTACGTTCACAACCATCCAAACCAAGGTCATAAATGAAATGGGAAAGCGGAACCCAACAAATGTTTGGTTGCCTTGTGGTTTCCCTTTCAAACCAACCAAAAGGGGGCTCCCCAACAAAAAGACAAACTCATGTGGCTAAAGGGCTTGAGTTTCAGGGGCCCTTTGAGACAAACCTTTCCATATGGTGGGAGGCCTCAGGTTTGCTTTGTGACTCACTTGGGCACTTGGGCAAGGAGGGCTCAAATGGATGAATTAGAAGGGAGATCTCTGTGGCCCGGAGGGCCAAAATCTGGGCAATGCCCTTAACAGACGTGTGGAGTTTGCGCGGATCCGTGTGGCTCTCTTGCATGGAGCAAATGGAACGATAGGCGAGTTTCCAGAACTAGGAGATGATGGGGACGACACTTTGTCCATGTGGGTATGAGTCAAAATAGGGGACCCCAAACCTGTGTGTGTGTGTGTGTGTTTCTCTTTTTGCATTTAAAAACCGAACCGATATTGGGGACCCTCACATATGCACAAGCCCATTTGTTGGGAGGAGTTGTCCTATAAGAACTCCCTCCCAAAAACCACCCCCAACCCCCAAAAAACCCCAAAGTCCGGCCCCCAAAGAATAGTGCCCTGTTTGTTTTTCACCTGGCAAGCCATTTCAAAGAAATCGGGATCACAACACCAAGGAAACACGTAAAACGAGCCGGGCCAGCAGGAACAGCTTTTCTGGGTGCTAAATCGACGACTCGAAAGAACCTTTTGGTTTCCCTATCTTTTGGCACCCATTTTAGTCATGGCCCGCAAAGGTTTATTTCTGGGTCTCATCCGGGGCAACTGAGAAAAGTTGGGCAAGGTTTCAACTTTTGACCCCAGCTTTAAGCTTATGTTCAGCTATGTTAAGCTGTTAGATGGAAGTGTTTCTCATTTTGTTTGGTGCAATTGCCCGGACCCTTGAACTTCCCCTAACACAAATGGGGGGGTGATTGCCCCAGAATTGTGGGGCGAATTCCATGTTGTTTGCTCGTTTGTGGATCTTCCGGTGGCTTGTTCTCCGCTCCGCCAGGTGAGCGGGGCACAGGCGGAGATGCTGCTGCCACAAAACCTCCTGAGCGAGGAGTGGACTCGAGGTAGAAATGGGCAAAAGAGAACCAGGGAGATTGCAGCTAATGTTGCGGATTGAAAACCTTCCGTTTAGTACTGTGGATGGGTGCGAAATCCATTTCGCACGACCGTTCAGAAACCATGGTTTCGGATGATCCGCCCCTGTAAATACCATCAAACAGTGGTTTCAAGCATCAGCCTTGATCTTCCAGGACCCTGAAAAAGCAGGCCTTTGGCTGATTTGCCTTTTCCAACCAAGAGCAAAATCAAGAAGGACCCTGTTTTTGCGGTCCCTTGGAAGACCAAGGTCAGGTATCCCCCAATTAGTTGGTGGTTTGGATTGGTGAGAGCTGGGGACTTGAACCCCTGCCACTGGATTTACGCAAAGTTGGGAGCCTTTGAGTGGAGGGGGTTCAGACCACTGATTCATCCCGGGTCAACATGGCCGTCGCTTTGCCAACGGGGGTCGTTTTGATACCCCCAAGATCTCCGACCTTGCCCATACGGGTTGAGTTTGGCTATCCGGGTGTCCACACAAGGGTTTACGCCATTGCTTGTGGTGTTCTTCGTATCGCATGCATGAATCTTCAACGTGCTCCCAGTGTCTAAGTGCCATGCCGCACTGGCCGGGCTTGCAGATCAGCTGGCATTCCAGATCAAGAGTTGAAACATCAGTTTCGGGGTGCCCAGCCATCCGGTCCCTTAGCTTTTGAGGTGTTTAGCCGGGTTTCGTGGTTGGGTTTCCGAATTTAACCCATCAGTTCCAATCAGCTTTTGGCAGGGAATATGAGGACAGCCAATGAGCTTTTGCGTTCCAATTTGCTGGTTCTTAGAGGCTCTCGATGTAGGGCCCTGAAGCAGCCAGGCTTTTGAGAGCCCCAAACACCGAAGCGGGGGATATCCATGCAAAAGGTTTGGGTCTTCCATTGAAAGCCGAAGCCAGGAGCCTCTGGGTAGTTTGCTTCATAGGTAGGCAAGCCACTGGTTTAGATTGGCTTTATACGCCATTCACCGGGAAATCCATCGATTTGTCCAAAAGGTGACGTGGTTCTATCCCTCACCTCGTCTGGGGTCGCGACTCCTCGTGGGGCATTTTGGCGTTCGGAAGCTGCGAGGAGTTTGCTGATGAGGCTGTGACCCTGGATGAGGATAACTCCCACAAGGAGTTAAGTCTTTGGGAGCCAGCGAGGTGCAAGTCGACGCGAAGGATTTGTTTTTGGGGGTAGACGAAATATGAAACGGAGTCAGAAACAGTTTCGGGGTCTCCCGGGTAGACTAATTATGAAATAGAATCAGAAACAGTTTCTGGAGTCTCCCAGAATATTTTATGTTTTAGGGAAGACTGAATATGAACAGAATCAAACACAGTTGTGAATTCTATGTGCCGCAGAGGGCCAAGCTTTCTCCCACGGTGGCGTGGCTTTTTGGAGAACCCTTTTTCAAGCGTCATGCTCCTCGGAGCTGCGGATGTGGGCTCTCCTGTATTGCTTGGACAGGGGTCCGTAGATTTGCCCCCTTTTTGGTGGCTTTAGACTTTAGACATCGCCTATCTGATCTTGCACTGCTTGTGGCAGACAGACAGTCACGGCTATCGTGTCGCCCTGGCGGCATATTTGTGCGGGGGGGGGGGATGGTCAAGGTCGCGGACGGCGAATTTTGCAACTTCAATTTGAGGACTGGCACGATCCGGAGATATGCGGCCAAGACCGGTTGCCGGAGCTCGAGAGCCCCCGATTTTCAACGGAGGAAACAGAAGGTGACAGTCACGCTGTACAAGGAAGAGCGGGAGGCGTGGGATCGCACGATCCGGGCGACTTTCCCCACCGACAAGGAGACTTGGAGCTACAGTGGGCACCGGATGACCGACTCCATCGCGCGGGAATCTTTTCTGGCCCATTTAAGTAGGTCCCCCAGTAGTGCCAACTTCTACCAACTTTTTTGGGGGGATGGTTCCCCTACTGAAATAGACTACAAAAAAGGGTACCCTTATTCTAACCTCTCTACTGGAGGAGCTAGTTAATGTGAGCTTCCCTTGGTAGGGATGATGGAAGCTGGAAGTTGTACTTTTCCAGGGGGCTTGCGCAAGCTTTTCTTGGGGATGCAGTGAGCATACATGTTGGAAGCCCTGTTACAGACAGGCGGTTGGGTTGTGAACTTTTTCAGAGCTGGGCACTCCTGCATCGAAACTTGGATTTCCCCATTAGTCGTTTTTGTTTGAGGCCTTTTGGTGGGTTTCAAAGGGATCCCTTGTTTCAAGACACCCAAAAGGCTATGATTTGTTTGCATGATCAAGAGTGGCTGGTGGGAACAAATCCCCGAAGGTTCGCGAAGTGAAGCTCGCTCCCAAACGATGCTAGTAGAAGGCAAGGCCCTGCAAGTTGCAGTGCGTTCTGGTTGGTTCACTTGCCCTTTTTCAGGGATCAACCGCACCTGGTTGTGCAGCACCAACCCATCAAATGTCATAGCCAAAGCCATTATGGGTGTGACTTGCTATAGGGAACCACCTCTAAAGTGGTTGGTGGAAATGAATCCCGACCTTAAGGATGTCCACCAAAGGGTCCCCTATTAAAATTGCACCTACACAACTCTTTGAGTCCACTTCCCCGAGCGGAAGCTTGCACTTGCGCGGGGTCGCTAGGTGCGGGTTTAAGCTAGTGCGATTATTGCAACCCCAAATCATGGTGGTTCGTTTATGGGTACTGTTTGAGGGTCCAGGTTGTTGGGTGCTGCAACTTCCCCGCATCCTAGTTCGATAAACACCAAACCCCTTGGCCGCAGGACCGGCCGCCCTTCCCGCCCTTCCCCCCGCGGAACTTCGAGCCACCCTCAGACGCGAGGCGCGCTGAAGCGCAAGAGCGCCTCGGGGAGAAACGTTCTCGATGGGGTCTCCTCTAACAACGTCATCCCTCCCCAAAAAAAAATCCAAAGGTTTTTGGAGTAGGGGACACCAATAGGAAACCCGCCAAACGGTGGTTACCCTATTTAATCCTATTGGACATACCCGAATGCTCACTCCCTGAGCTGCGGTTCGGACTTGAGTCACTTTTTGGGGTGGGTTTGGACCGTTTTAGGTGTAAACAACCAGTTCAATCTGCTGCTTTTGCCCAATCCACAGATATTCTGGGGGCGTCCTTTTCCACTGATGCTCCAAAATCATGTTGTATTTTGAGGTAGACTAAATAGGTGTGTGTGTGTGTGTCTCAAACTGTATAATGGGGGCTCCCTTTTTGGATGGTTTTACAAGAGCACCAAAAGCAAGCCGTCTACTGCTGGAGAGGCCCCCATTTTCGAGATTCAGTAACATAGCACCATGGTCCCAGCTGGCTGGACCCTCAAACTACAAAAACATGGAATTTCCTCCATAGGTTTGGGGCAAAAAAGGAATCACCCCATAGTTTTGGGGCAATCACCACTTTTAAGGGGATCTTGAGGGTCCAGGCAGCTCCTCGGCAAGTCTGTGCGGCAATGCTGGAATGTAGCGCCTTGGCGATCAGGCGATCCGCAGGGAGCGTTTGGGGACATCATAGCTAGAGTAGGTCTTGTTGGGCTCGCGAGCCGACACACTGAATCTGGGCATGTTTTAAACGACATCACGTGCCGGGGGGTTGCGGTGTCTCCTTTTGGGAGTGTCTTTTTCAAGGTTGGACCCCCCAGAATGCCGGATCCTGTTGGTTTCCGTTTCGAGGAACCAAAAAGGAGGCACCCACGAAAATGACGAGCCACCCATTTTCTTGTCTCCGAGCGAATCAGAGTCTGCGCTGAATTTGTCAACGGCATCTCAAAGGCGATCCGCATCCGGAAACCGGTCAAAAGCCAAATCGTACCCCCAGTGAAAAGCCAAATCGTACCCCCAAATCGGTCAAACGCCAAATCGGTCAAAAAATGGATCCCATTGGTTTTGACCCACAGCCATGTTTGAAGCATCGCCTCGTCACGCACTTGAGTTCCGCTTCGGAGTTGAGTCACCTTTTTGGGTTTGGACCGGTTTAAGAGTGGCAAGCAAAAAGTGGTGGGGCCCTTTGAAAGGCCAATCTACTGAAAGGTGGTTCGCCATCCCCACTTAAGTTTTCCGGGTTTCAGTTGATTTGGTTGGGTTTCCATTTACTCACTCATTAAACTGGCTTATAGTGGGATATTTGTCAAGTCCTTGCGAATGCTAAGCTCAGAGCTCTGCCGAAGCTTTTCTCTCAGCTTGCCCGACGGGTTTGGTTACCTCAGGCTTCGAGGTTTCTGGGCGTCTTTTTGGAAGACCACCCGGTGCTCGCCAATTTTTCAGAAAGCTGCCTTTCACCTGATGTGAGAGCGGTTTCCGGACATGTTGTTTGTATTTCGGATTTTCACCCCGGTGCTCGCCAAGAATTGCAGATTTGGACACCCAACCGCCTTAATGCTCGAAAAAGTCCAGATCATCATGTAGCATCCTAGTTTGTCCTCTTTTGAGGGTACATTTTTTTGTTGGTTTTAACGGGAGACCAAAAGGAAAAGGATCCCCTTTTGCTTGTTTTTGACGGGAGACCAAAACCCAGTCAGTTTGGGGGATCCCCGAGAAATCGACCCACGTGTTCGAGCACTGACGTCTTTCAGCCAATTTCGGGCCAGGAAGCGGGTCCTCGCGAAGGTGAAGCAACAGGCCATGGCTGGATGGTGTTCGAAAAGAAAGAACCGGAAGCCTTGATTTCCGAAGTTGACGTCCATTTGCGTTTCAGAATATGTTTTGTTTGGTGTTTTCTTCCCTCGGTTTTGAAGCGGACATATGTTGGATTTAGAACATGGAAGTGAAGAGAAAAAGGTGGTCGTCTAAATAGAAAAGGTGGGAGAAGACCTTGTGGACGTTGTTGAAACAATGGTGTTTGTTTCACATCGAGTTGAATCCGAATCCTTGCCAAGCCCCAAGATGTTGCCATTAAGGTAACTAGCTCACTTCTTCCTGGACTGGAGTCACTTGTTGGGTTTGGACCAGTTGGGTTTGTTTGTTTTTAGGGGTACCCCAAAAGAATGTGGTTTTCCTCTTGGTTTCCCTTTACAGCTGCAAACAAGGAGTAGCCGCAAAACACAATTTCGTGGCAACCACCGAAGCACATCAGAAGCACCAGCACCCAATGACTGCGTTTTCCAAACCTCCGAAACTCCTGTCCAAAAAGTACTCAAGTTGGGGGGCTGGATGATAGAACATCTTTGGTCAAGCCATTCAAGTTGGTTTAAACCTCTGAATAACTGACTCAACTTGGTTTAAAGAATTGCCAATCCACTCAATCGGAAAGGAGTTGAGTGTGCTTGTTGTAAGATTGGACCACCCCCAAGATGGATTTCGGTGTTCCTTTTGGCGTCTCGAACAGGACCCACAAACAAAAGGTACCGAGCCTCAATAAAGAAGACACCCAAATGAAACTGTGAAAGATCGTGAAGCCAAAAAGAAACAACAAGTTATTTTTTTTGGGGGGGGGGGTCGATTCCCATTTCGAGACAAACCTCCAAGTAAGTTCCTACAAATCAACATAAAACCCATTTTGGGGGTCCTCCAAAAGGTGGGGTCCGCTACTTGCTGGTGCTCAGTAGGGAATGATCCATGGTGTTGGGACTGAACCGCAAGGGGATTCCCGAAATAGAGGACGGTTCTTCTCAAGTAGACTGGTGCATTTGACCAGAGATTGATTTGATGATCCAATTCCTTGATGCAATTCCGGTGATTGGATGTGTCCTTCTACCGGAATCTTGTCGGGTCATAGGCTCTGTTGCCCAGTGGTGCCCTTTTTTCAACCTTTTTTGGGGAAGGCTTCCGATTCCTTTAAACTCAACCAACCAAAGAAGGGTGCCGATCCAATTTTTCCCATGGAACTCCACCGGGCATCTGAGTGGAAAACCCTGCAAAAGGGGAACCAGCTGGTCCTCCAGACATCCAGTGGTGGTTTTCTGGGCTTCCAGGGGGGGGTTGAGATAAATATTTTCCCTTAAAGGGCCCCTCTGTTTTTGCTTGCCCATGGGTCACTTTTCCAATGTGATTGAAACGTAGTAAAAAGTTGTTTTCGTGGTGTTCCAACCAAAGGTCATCCCATGTATAACGGAACTGTTGATCAACCCCCCAAAATGGGTTTGCATTTTGTTTGAAGGTTCCTGGACTCAAACTACCCATTAAAAAGGGGGGCAATTCTGCAAGCATCTGAATTTGAGCACACTTGCTGGTTGTACTATCTGGTGCGTGGTGAGAAAGTGCCATGAATGTGTTTCCTTTGGAGGGGCTTCCCCTTCAAGTCGACTTACCCACAAAACGGGATTTTGTAGTTGGCAAACCGGACCTTTTGATGCCACCCCCCAGGCGACTCCGGGAAGAAAAAACAGAAAAAGACTCAAAAAATCCGCAGGCCTCGGAGCTCGTAGCGGCCGACCACGCAGAGCAGGCCCTGGAGAAGTCTTCGCCCCAGCCCGTCCCCGTGGCGTTTCGATTCGCGGATGGTCAAAACGAGGGAGCCTGAAGTTGCATGTTGCATGTAGTTGTTTGCTTTTTTTCGTTTAAATATCCTTTTTTTTGCGGCGCGGCTTTGTGAAGGTTGCTGGGATATATTTGTCCCGCCCCCCCCCCCCCCCCCCAAAAAAAAAAAAAAAACAAGGAAACGCAGGGACAGCAACAACAAGAAACTTGACAATTTCTCTGTGGCTCGTTTTTGTTTAAGCTTGGACCACCCAACAGCAGGTCTATGCTGGTCTATGTCCCCGATTCCTCTTATGTGCTGGTTTAGGTTCCATGTGGCTAGGTCAAAATTAAACTAAATCCTCCTTGTTTCCAGTTGCTGTTGCATTTTTTGTGGCTCATCTGTTTTAAGGTTGATGTTCTGTTAACTTGGAAAAGAAGCAGGCCTTAAGGATGGACCCGCCCCAAAGCAAAATGGTGGATGTTCCTGTTGGTTTCCCTTCAAAACCATGAAGCGGGGGCACGAACTTAAAGAAAGAAAGCAGACCCACATGAGTCAGAATTGGATGGACCAAATTGCGGCTCACCCAACATTCCCTGAGCATAAAAACAATCAAGCCAGGCGTTCAAACTTCCTAAATGAAGGATCCCAAAAGCAGGCCCATTTCCCCAAAGTTCTCTTGTGCTGGTTTGGGTTTCATATGGCTGCGGGTGAAAATTCAACCACCAAAAGACCGCAGGTGTTATTTATGGTCCTTATTCCATTTACCAGGGTTCCATGTTGGGGTATCTATTTTTGACCCACACCTATGTTGTTAGTCAGCGAAGTACCCACTGCTTGTCCTTTTGAGCGGACGAAGCGCTTTCTTTCCCAGCTTCAGGTCAGAAAGATCGCTCTGGCGGTTGCTGGTAATTGCCATGTGGCTGCGCGTGTCTCTGTGTGTGTACCTCCGTTTTTTAAAATGTTGGTTCTGTTATTTATGTTGTTGTTGTTTTCTCTTTCTTTTTTTTTGGGGGGGGGGTGGAACCTGAGTTTTGTTGGCTTGACATGGAAACCGGAAGGAGTTCATGCTGCCCTGTTTGAACCAACCCCATGTGACTTGATCGTACCTCTCCTTCGCAGACCTCTCTCGAATACGTGTCGCTGCTGCGCGCACGATGGCGAAGTGGACCAAGCGCTTGGCACCTCGCGCGCCCCTGCTGGCGTCTGGCGCTGCGCTGGTTTCTGCGCTGAGTGACGGCGCAGCGGCGCCGCGCTTGGGTTTCTGACGGTTTCAGCGAGCACCCCCGAGTTTGGCGCCCGAACCCTGGTCGATTGGGGGCTTCGTGGCCTTGTCGCTACGGCCGGTGCCGGCGAGAACATCCCTGCGCTCTGGTCCCGCCAGATGCCTCAGGTTCGTGCGAAGCGGGCGGGCGGGCACATAAGCCCCCGACCAGAGCGAGCGGGCGGGCGCGGCTCTGGCGAGCTTACTGAGCCGGAAGGGGGGGGGAACGAGCGATGCAACCCGAAGTTGGGGGTCACCATGGGGGTCACTTTTTACCAAATGCAGTGCTGCCCAAGTGCAGTTGTTGAGTGCGTGGGGATACTTAGGATACTTGCTTCATGTTGAATCCCCTGGCATGGCTTGATGCAGCTTTTTGCCTTGAAGAATTCGACTCAGTGATTCAAGACATCCCAGGTACAACGAGCTCATCAAGACAGGCGCATCCCCAAACAAGGGGCCGGGAGCCAGGCGGCCAGGCCCCTGTGAATGGCTGTCCAGCGGACCCCAATAGAGGGCCCCTTAACGGATGCAAGTTTGGGCCAGTGTGTTTTTTCCATTTGGCTGGTCAAAACTAGGGTAACCCCAAAATGGAACCCTGAATAATTGGCCACAAAGTAAACCTGCGGTCCATATCCTGGTGGCTTACTTTTGACCCACACCCATTTGATTCAGAAGATCCCCAGGAGGCTCCGGATGCACCATTCACCCCCCCACCGCAAGTCACCGGATGGCCGGGTCTTGGAGGGCCCTGGAAGGCAGCCCCTCAGTGTGGGGCAAAAAGAAGATGTGGCTGTGGGTCAAAACCCAGGAAACCCCTGGTGAACATCAAAATAGGCGGCAAATGGATGTTCATCCACCCCAAAATGGAGCCATAGGTTATGCCCCATGGCCATGTGGTCTGGCTACTTTGGAAATTCCGATTGCCATGCGCAGCATCATTCTCATCACGCATGACGTGACTTGCCATGGTATTGAAGCTGAAATAGGGCGGGGCCGAGCACCTTATAATTACGGGTATCTTCTAAGAGTTCCCCCCCCCCACCCCCCAACGGACATCAATGCAGCCCCCTGAATTCTTTGGATTTTCTGTTCGCCAGCCCCAAACAGGGTGCCTCGAACAACAACCAAAGGACATCCCGGAAGGCCCTTCAACCCCCTCAGAAAAGTCGACTTTCCGTTGAGAAAGCATATTGGGTGTGCCTCAAAATTGAAGCGCCACCGTTACGCAGGTTTTAGTCTTTGGCTCCATTTACCAGGTGCCATGTTGGCACATGATTTTGACCCACAGCCATATTGGCCCGCGCACTGTATGTTGTGTTTAAATTTGTTCATTCATTGGCTGGAGGCCG